CGGCTCCTGGTTCCACGTCCCGCAGTCACTGTGCCCTGATCATACGTGCTACGCTTTAAAAAGCAATCGCGAAATAAACGAAGGGCGCGGTAAGGAGTGACGGGCTGCGGCAGATTAAGGGAGCGCGCTCGTTTTATTCTTGTTATTGTTTTTTTGTCTTCTTTCGCCGGCTCAACCCCGGCGAGTGGACGATGTCAGCGCTCACAAACATGACAGCCGCTCCGCTTGACATTTCACATCAAAGTAGCACATCGTGAGAAATGGGGCTCCTGCTCGTTGACTCTGATCCTATTCCGCGTGTCTTGAGCCTACCCTCTTAGCAGTCCACCGCACTCCCTTGACGACCCCCCCCCCCCCTCTCTCTCTCCCACTACATCTCCCACCGCCCGTTCGGCATGTACGCCAGCGTTCCGCGGGCGATTAACGCCCCAGACGGGGAAGTTTCACGTGCGGCAGCAGGCAACGCAACCGGCTCGGGCCGATGTCGCCGAGGTCACGGTTCTTAGTGCGCCGTGGAAAAACGACACCGGGGGGCGGGGGGGGGGCAGAAGAAAAAAACACAAGGCGAGAGACAGCTAGTTTGTGCGGCAAACGAGTGTGGGAATGTTCAGAGGAGAGGGGAGAACGAGGCCAGCAAAACTCCAAAGCCGGTCGACGACACTCGATTGCCAGTCGCAAAGGGGCCATCCATTTAGTAGGTACGCAAAACATTGACCCCTCTCCCCCCCTCCCTGTACGCACGCGTACTTTTTTCACCCCCCCCCCCCCCAATCCAATCCTATAGAACGGCCGATATTTAATCCACGCAGAAACGATCAAGGATGAATAATATTAACGTGTTTAAGAAAACAAATAGTCCACCATCTAACTAATTTGAAGGCCAATGTAGACGAATTATTATCGAGGTTTCACACCCGCCCCCCCCCCCCCCCGATGCGTACGCACATTGTCAGTTGACACCCCATACGCAAGCGTACGCCTTTGAGTTAACCCCCCTCCATGCGTACGTACTAAATGGATGGCCCCAAACGAGTCGACGCGGTGTCCGACGTTTTTCTTTGCTCCCTCCCCGCCGTGCCGAACGATGCGCGGGTACGAGCCGAACACCCCTTCGGAGAGCCACATGCCCAGTGATCGATGGCACCGCCGATCTTGACGACGGTGGCGGTGCAGTGCCAGATGATCCTCGTAGCACAGGTAGCTACATGTGTAGTAGCTACATGTGTAGTAGCTACATGTGTAGTAGCTACTACATATGTAGCTACTACATATGTAGTAGCTACATGTGTAGTAGCTACGGGCCCCGCACTTTCAAGGGCCCCGCGCTAAATGCTTTCAAGCTATCAATTGCAGTTCAGTGATTCTGCACTTGCTCTATTAATATAGTACTATACCGCCTTCAACTTTAGGAACGACTGGGTGTTTAAGGTTAGCGTTTCGTCGTATCATCTGGGCTGTATAGCAAATGAAAAAATACAATTACTTTACTGTGCAAGTAAAAAGTTTATGTTTTTATATTTATGTTTTTTTTTTATTTAGGGCCCCTTTATAACATCATGCTACAGTCCCGCACTAACTTAATCCGGCACTGTGGCGGTGCGTGCGGGGTGTGCTACGCGGCGGTCTGTCAGAGACGCAGAAACGATGCTGTTGGAAGCGTTGTGACGTAACAAAATTGAGCGATACGATCTTGGAAAGTTACTTTTTACCGTGTAGCGTAATGCATTTCATCTGAGCGAGATTAAATTACGCAGTGTTTTTTCCCGGCAGGACACCAAAGTGCAAAGATTAAGCGTCGCGATAGAGGACTGTATTCTAAGAAGATTACGCATTCCCACGCAGCTACTGACGTTGCTTATCTCGAGGGGGGGGGGTACGGGGGAGACAGTGGCTTTTAACACTTCAGCATTTGACAGGAGAGCGTGAGGGGGTCTCCATCATCCCCCCGCGCGATCGCTTTCATCTCCCGCATCGCCTCGCTCCGAGCGCGCCGGATTGTCGTCAGCCGACCCCTGGCGCGCAGGGCCAACGGCCCTCGTGCGCGCGTCGCCGCGTCGCTGTGCATGAGGCCAGCCCACAGCGATGTTCAAAACACAACATTTCCTGCCGGCCGACCGGCCAGCCGGCTGGCCGCCACCGCCGCTGCCGCCGGTGCGATCCCTGCAATTTTGGTCTTAAGAGTTCCAGACCGCCCCCGTGGCGGTGTCGCCAGAGGCACCGCTCCGTCGAGTCTCCACAGCGACATTCGCCCTCCGCGGAAGCGTCGCGGTGCACCGGCGGTGGTTTTTGTGAACAACGCCCCTTTCGCGTGAAGCAAAGGGAACAACACAAAAAGGCCCCCTGCTTGGTCGGTTGTCGGCGTTTGTGGTTTTCGCACTCGTGAGCCGCAAGTCAGCGTGCGTGTAAAAAAAAAACACATTTAGCCAAATGCCCTCTCAATTGGAAACTGAGAGAATAGCCACAGCAATACGGCAAAGATGAATTCATCATTACCCCGGTCATAATCACAACCTTTTGCATGCCGATGTGTTGTCGGGGGTTGTACCGCGTGCTGTTCGGGATTATGTCCAATGTTCCCGTTGCACCCGCTGCAAACTGAATATTAATTTCCTGAAGAAGGTCCCACCACGTGAAGTGAAACGTCAGACCTCGTGCGGAACACGGCACAACCCAACAAAAACGTCGGAGAGCTGTGCTGGACAGCCGCGAAAGCCCTCCGTAGTGGTATCATTCGGTTCATTTTCTCAGTCTGTTTTTGTTTTTCCAGCTGAAATTCTCATCCAATTCAACACTGATCATTGCAGCCTGATTATATTCGTCCGCGACGTGCGATTTGGATCGACGGCTCCGTAACCGGGTGGCTGCACAATATTCTAGCCACCGATTGGTCAGGCGCGTTGGCACTGAACCAGTTCACGTGGGGTCAACGATTAAATTCCTACCGCTGCCCGAAAATGTCTCTGGGTCATTTACCCAGAGGCATGCAAACTGATGGGAGCGAGTGGTTAAGGCATGTGACGGGCACGTTTCTCAATAATACTAATACATCATATTTCTGTGCCACAGCTTGAATAACAAAAAAAAAATACATCCTTAACTACAACTAGAATGTAATAATAATAATAATCATCAACATTATTATCACTGCTCTGTTTAGAAGAGCAGCTGCTCTCCGTTGCAAACGAGAGATTATCTCAACGGGCTTTCACATGGTTAAATGACAGGAAGCAGGCATACAATAAAAAAATGGCTTATTTCTTTAGCTGTTTCATAAAACTCGAAAGGAGGTGATGCAGAAGCTCCCGCGTTATTACTACGTATTACAATTGCGTCGTGTCAAAGGAAGGTTTCTCGAGTGATACCCGATGCCAAACGTGTGCAAAGAAACAGATGGTGTAAACACAGATCCTCAGTCCACATTGGCCGTCAGGGACATTTGTGTGTTTCATCAACGAACATTTACAAATATTTAGAAGTTCCTCCGGCTACGCACGTCCAAAAGAACTCGCTGCATGCAAACAACTCCTGAAAAGAAATATTACACGACACCTAATATGTACATCTTGCCATTCCGTCTGTTGCTGTTCCGTTAATGAGGTCATGAAGTTTTTAGCGGAATGAAAACTTTTAAAATATAACAAGATGCTTCTTCTGTTTTACATTCAAATTTCATAACAGCATCTGGAAGTGTTTCAACAAATTACAAAACTTATTTTTCCAGGATCCATTGCTGCTTACTTATCTTTCATCTGAGTGTACATTATATAAAAGTTCTCACCAGGTTTTAAATAAGAGCATTCATGCGTCTATGTGTCGACAATCCCAAGGATGATTGAGTGCCACGTAAAAGGTGGACATTTTAGACATTATCTCCTACCATGCCTACCATACCGTAAGGTATGATTATGATTTTTAAAAGCCTCCAAATGCGACTGCATGGGACATAAAACAAGTTACGACACAAGCAAACCGCACCGAGGACTGCGACACTAAGAGGCAGGCGGTGCAACTGCACCGAGGCCCTCTAGTCGGAGATGCCCAGGCACCCATTTCATTCTTTGAAACCAGTGGCTCTGCCAACCATGCAATGCCAATGCTAACACCGTGGTGGCTAATGATTCGAGGTTGATGAGAGGCACCGACATCCATTCTCGGTTTTTTAACTTTGGGGCGACGGAGAGAGTGAGAGGGTACAGGAATATGATGGAGCCAGTCCTGAGCAATTGTCAGACAGGTTATCCTGAAAAGTCACGTGGGCCTCAGTCAACTCTGCTGTCCATCAACAACACAATTACTCATCTCATCATCTGCCATGATCTACACACTGCTAGATGAAGACCTCCCAAAAGCCACCGCCATCTCTCACAGTCCGACGGTGCAACGATCCGTGTAGCTCAATTACCCAAAAAAATATGCCACAGTAAAAAAAAAATGCATCTTGAAAAGCGGAATTTTTTCAACTGGTTGGGAGGATTTGTTGAATCGAGTATCGACATCTTTAAGTCACCAAGCCATTAGCACTGGCGTTTTAAGGGACGGCAGTGCGAGGATGGGGTGGTGGGGTTCTTAGGAGCAAGACTCGGAGGGCGTAAGAGGGAGAGGGTGAGCGTAGAAGGTCGTCTGTTTGACCCCGACCCTGACGCCTGCTGTATATTTGGAGTTTGCATGTTCTCTCTCCCCGTGATTGTGTGGATTTCTCTCCGGGTCCTCCGAGTTTCCCTCCACATTCATAAACATTCGTTTAGAGTATTCGGCTATCACAAATGAGCTACCATCTGAGCTATCATTTGTGATAACCAGGTCGCTTCTGAAAAAAAAGAGAGCTATATTGCTCAGTGGGCCTTACCTGGTCAAATATATAAAACATTGTTAAGTTTCATAATGTACAGTTAGAAGAGATTAGCGAGGGTGCGAGCGAGCGAGCGAGTGAGGAAGGGAGTAGTTCAGGGAGGGGAGCGAGGGGATGAGGGAAGGAGCGACGGAGCGAGGGAGGTGCTCACCTTCCAGGAACGGAACCCACTCGTAGTAGCGACCCATGAAGGGCTTGCCATTGTAGGAGGAGCACTGCATCTCGCGGGCGTCGCGGCTCCCAGCGGAGCACGCCTGTGTGGGTGGGGGGGGTGAGAGACGAGCACGCAGCCCGACGTCACGGCGACGTTGACGCACCGGTCGAACAAACAGAGACGTCGCGGCGAGCCGTGCCGCCTTCTTCATGTCGCTCTCGTTATTATTTGTACCACCTGAAAGCGCATTTCGGACCATGTGTGTGGACAGGCAAGCACGCGAGTGAATGGGACGATGGGCACGATGTTTGTACGTCCAAAAACAACTTCTCAACCGGCGGGCGGATTGAGGTTGTTCATGAAACGAGAGCCAGGCAAGGCTCAAAAGCATTTTTTTAACCATCTCGTGGACAAAAATAGTGTTTAAAGCACCGCTGGGGTGCAGTATTCTGACACACCCCTCCATTACTAAACCCATTGAGTGGCTTATGCATAATCCGAGAATTTAACACATGCCAGAGATCCTCATGCCCCATGCCAACTTTTCAAAGCTGCCAGGCCCTTTTTTTCTCTGTAAATAAATCCTGCGCCCACAATAGACATACCCCCAACGAGTTGTTTAACCGTAAACACTGCCACATTCTAATGAAAGGCTCGCGACGACTACGTGCAGCTCGATTGCATCTCTGAAGGCAACTCGTGCAAACCGACCTCCGGGCTCTGCCGTTTAGCGTCTCTCGCTCGGAGCCCACTATTCCTTCCCCACGTGGCCACAATATCATCGGATTCAATTAACACGGGGCGAAAGGCATCCCGACTTTCGTCCAAGTGAATATGTGTGCCAGATCGGGCCGTTTTTTGTTTGTTTGTGATTTAACGGAAGAGCATTACGGGGCCCCAGTGCTTGTGTCATGCACAGCGTAGCGCTGGCTTGGTGTGTTTACAAGTCTCCACGGCAGCCTGGCAGTGGCTGCGTTCTGTCACCGTTTCTCTTCGGAGTGGCACTGCTCCACGCCGCGAAAATAGCGGCGTCAAGCACACAGCGGGCGCGCTGAGACGGATCTGGAATGGCCCCATCCTCGTCTGTCTCCCCCACGCAGGTGCTCACGAAAAGTAACGTCTCCTCCGGGTGCCAGGAAAGTAAAGAGATTGTTATACAACCACTGATTAAGAGTCATCCATTTATCTATTCACTGCGGGATGAAAGCCTCCTCAAGCCACCGCGATCAAAATAGCTTGCGTGCACATGAGCCAATTTCAATGCTCCATCTCCGCGATAGAAATGGCACGTCCCCTCCTTTGGCTGCTACTCCGTCATTAGTCTCAACCACCAACCGTCATCACTTCTCGTGACGAGCCCGACCTAAGTGCACTTATTTTTCTCAACGCTCAATATGATGTCAATTAACTTGTGCATGTTCCCTTAATCAACGCACTCCTTCGACTCTGTCTCAGTGTAAATAACGCTAAGCGTGATGACAGCGTATGGCCTCGAAATAACATGGATGCAATTCAGACAACGAGTTAACGAAACTGCAGCTGCAAAGGCCAGCACTGACAAAAGTTTAAAAAAGCCAAGCCAAAGTAATTTCCCCACTCACATGAGCGTTGGAGCGATGCTCAGCCCTGAGCCAGAGGTGGAAATCACTCATTCCAATGACAGGGGCCAGACAACTATTGTCCTTCTCCAACAAAGTGGTACCCAATTTATCACCCCCAGGGGGATGATTGTCTGAGTGAACCCCCAACCAAGGTTTGGACGCTGGCAATGCAGGGTCGTGCGACCGACATGTTCACCTCTACAGCTAGGAGAATCGACGCATTTAACCATCGAACAAAAAGAGTCACCGCATCGCGCGCTTTCAGATGCGCTTTAAAATTCAGATTGAAAACTGCTTTCTTTAGAACTTATTTTTGTGTTTAGCTTGTTGTCCTTCCCCCGCAACCGCCAATCAGCACGGTTGGCTACGTACGGTGCGAAAGAAGTTTAACATACATAAATACATTGTGAAAGGTAGCGAGCGGGATAAATGTGTGCGTGGGAAAATCGTTCATGGGATGCGCCGCACGCGACAGCTCGCAGAGGCGCAGGGCAATAAATTCCGCGTGCAGCGGAGATCCGAGTTATTAATTGAGAGAATCCATCACAAAAATACCACGGGATTACAGGGCCCCTTGGCAGCCTCGGTCAGCTCACAGATAAAGCTGCGGCAAGACCGATAGTTGACTCGCGAAATACATTGGTGCCTGTGATAATGTAATATTTGCCCCGACTCTAAATGTAGTAAAACTTTAATCCTGCTCATAATGAGCGGAATTTAACCTTCGCGTCCGTGCCTGCCGACCGGGTAAAAAAAAAAGAAAAAGGGTGTGCAAGAACCCGCACTTAATGCAGCCACAAGAAATGCATCGACCTGTTGTACTATAGCTTTGCACGTCACGTCTCTCCGTGCGATGAACTGTGGGCTAAACCGTGAGACGAAGCTTATTAGATGAACGCACGCGCCCTATTCTGTGCGCACAGGTTTGCTAAATGAGACAAACAAACTGATTGTTGGAGAGACAAAGCTGGAAAGCGCAGAGGAGCGTGTAAATCGTAGGGGAGCTGTTGAAGGCAAACGGGGATGAAACTGATGGATTGAAGTGGGATTTTGTAGCGTCGCCGGACAGCGTGGGTTGGTGACGGCGTGGGGGGGCCTTCATCCGGGGGTGGACAGAACAACGTCTGATGACGGCTATGAGAAGTGACCCTCCCCCCTCTATTCTGTACAACTCGTGGATCGCAAATCTATTTTTTGCTCGCCTGACTGTCGCAGCGGCACCAACAGTGAAAACATTCTCGAACATTTCCAAGCCATTGTACCGTAATCATAACAGAAACGGGGGGAGTAGGAAATTAAAGCGAACGGCAAGTCACGAATAAACACAATAATTTCAAGAATGAACCGAGCCATTGAAAACGTGACATTTCATTGGCATCAGAAGGTGGGAGGCTGTTTCCATCTCGCTGAAGGTGTTTGGCAGCACTGCAAAAGGGGGGCCCGGGAGGGGGGTGAAGGGAGGGCGGCCTGCGTCCAACTGCTTGGAATGCAAAGACGATAAAAGCAAAACTCCCGAAGCAAGATTCATACAATCTTGATTTGAAGCTTTCGTGACTGCAGGAATTCATACTCTTTAGTTCGTTCGGTAAAGTCACGTGGGGTAGAATTTTTTTTATAAAAGATCACGACGTTTCGATCGCAACACAAGCGGTCGTCCTCAGGCGGAAAAAAATTAATCCAGCAGTGGAACTGCTGAACAAGCTGGTTCATCTGTAGAAATCAACTTAAGAATATTTAAATACTGGAGGAATCTGATGAGCTATGAAGCTCTTTTTCACGGATGTCCAGTAGATATTTTACAGATGTCCAGTGTCCGGTGATCAGCGGCTCGACACTTCTCTAAAAGTGGGAGCCATCCGAGGGTGATTCGAAAACTTTTGGTCTTGACGTGACACCTCATCGGTTTATTCACCAACCTCAGCGAGGTGCAGCTCAGCCATCTTGACTCTGCAGTGCAGGGGTCAGGAATCAGTTGCGAAGATTATTGCGTCAATCTTGATTTGATCTTGGTTTGAAGCTTTCGTGACTGCAGGAATCCACACTCTTTTATTGCGTCGTTGTGTGAAAACCGCTGCCAACAGAGTGCCAGGTTCCACTCGGGGCACATGAGCCCTAAACAGGTTTGCGATATTTGCACGGATATGTTTAGACGACGCTTTGAGTCGCGGTAATTATAAAGAATCAATGCATTTGCAAGGTGGAGTGGTGGTGCAGTGTATATAATGCGCTGCACTATCAACCTGACGAGCCGAGTTCGACAGCGAGTGATATTACAACTGGGCCTGGACCACCACCTCCAACACCACCGCTTCACCAACTCGTCCTAACCAGTGTGGTGAAGTATGGCCAAAACAACCCTCGCGACTTGAACATGGCATGGGGATGCCTTAATCCAGAAGTGGATTGACGAACGGCTGTACACACATTGCATTTGCAGATTTGATGCGTGTGCTAAGCCTAGGGTACAATTCCGAATTGTGCCATGCAAGATAAAAGCTAGACGTGAGGTTTGTGAACGATTGTGTTGCAACGTATGTTGAACTTCTTTCACACCGTACTTGGCCAACCGTGCTTACCAGAGATGTGGAAGGTCATGTCTATGAAACACCCACAAGTTGATATCGTGGACGTCACAATTCACCGACTAAGCAATTAAAATCGACGTCCTTAAAGCAAGGCTTACAGAGCAATCGATCATCGGTACGAACATGGCGGTACAAATGAGTTGAAGAGAATCGTGACGATTCATCAAATCAACGGGCATCGCCAATCTTACCACCCACCGTCAACATCAATAACCAACGGCGGTGAGCAGAAAATAATTCATCAAATCAACGGGCATCGCCAATCTTACCACCCACCGTCAACATCAATAATCAACGGCGGTGAGCAGAAAAAAATACATCGAGCAGCCAACGGAAATTGTAAATGTATTCGCAGACGAGGATGAGTTACTACCACGCTGTCCACATGGTGGATTCATCAAGAACGTTTCGGGCACCTTTAAGTGATTTCGAAGACGCGCTGAATTAACCGCAGTTCCTCCCCGTGGGCACAAGTGAGTGAGCTATGGGGGACGCGTAAAGCGCGTCTACCGGGTCCACTATAAATTACCGCCATATCCCGCTGCTTTATCAGTGCGCGCGCCACAGTGGGCCCGCAGGCTCTGTATAGCTCAACTACACCGGCGGCTCAGATAAGACAACGCCACCAGTTTCGATTTAAAGCTTTTGTGACCGCAGCAGGGACTCATCTTCTTGGTTCGTTCGGTAAAGTCACGTAGAATGGAAATAATAGAATAATAATAATAAAATATGATAAAAAAATTATCACGACGTTTCGGCCACAACGCAAGCAGCCGTCATCAGGTGAAGAACAGGTCTATCGAGAAGACAGAGTCTGTCTTGTCTGTCTTCTCGATAGACCCGTTCTTCACCTGATGACGGCTGCTTGCGTTGTGGCCGAAACGTCGCGAAAATCTGTCTTGTCTGTCTTCTCGATAGCCTGTTCTTCACCTGAGGACGGCTGCTTGCGTTGTGGCCGAAACATCGTGAGAATTATTTTATTATGTTTTATTTTTATTATTTTATTATTTCCATTCTACGTGACTTTACCGAAAGAACCAAGAAGATGAACGCCACCAGTGTCACTCTCAGCACTCAAAATGAGGGCGTTGTTTTTGTTTCACGCCCGTACTTTGTAAGGATGCCACTTTGTAGATAAGAATAAACAGTTGGCTTCTTATTCCAATGAGCGTCTCTGGTCGTTCTTTTCTTTTTATATATAAATTAACAGTTTTGTAAATGCATTACTCGATTTACATATGAGACTATACCGGGGGTTATGAAAAACTAAACTGGGATATATCATGGGAACAAGAATAATTCACCAGACCGGAAAAGGAGACAACCGCATTTAAATGACTCGTCTTGAGTCGATTATCGTCACGCAACTGACAATATCCCGGTCTTTTAATGTCACGTGGAGACTTACAGATTTCCCAGGACAGCAATTACCCCAAAATGAGGATGATCCTATGAAGACCTTGACACGTGGCAACCAGAGACCTAAACTGGGGCTAAGCGGTGCAGTCAAGGCAAAGGATAGCCTTAGAATGTACAGTAAAACGTCGTCTGCTTACCCCGAGCTCTCATACTCTGATGGTACATTGTCTTTGAGTTGTGTGCCTTTTGGCCTCATCTGGTCCAACACCATGTGAGACTAGGCTCTAAGAAAAGCTGTCTCGGGTGTGGACCAATCAATCTCAAGGACAGTGAATACATTATCAGAGTTGTGTTTTTTGTTTGCATTCCGACCGCAGGTATTGTGGTCAATGCAAACATGACTCCTTGTAAAAAAGGTGTCAGTTTTGTTGCCAGATAAAATGGTAAAAAAACAATTATCATAAAACATCGTCCCTTTGTCTATACACTGCCATTGGTGGATGAAGGACTCCCCAAGGCATGACAGACACGGACTAAATCAACACCAAATTGTAGCTTCTTGCTCTTCAATGTACGACAGTGGCGGCCTGCATCAGGATAAACAAACGTTGATGTAAATAAGAAGCAATCTCCTGACTTGGTGAACACTGAATAACGTTGGTCTGAGACACCATGATGCGTTGAAGGTTAAGTAAAAAAATGAACAGGTCAAACAACCATTCCTTATCTCATGCAGAAGACATAACATCAATCGTGTACCAAGAAAAACAAAGTGCAGAAAATGCCCTATATATGGTACCATTGCTATATCATCATTAGCCATGGTCGATCCACTGCTGGATGAAGGCCTTCCCAAGACACCACCTCTCCTCCCAGAATGCAACGGGTAATCATTGCACCAGAACAAAATTTAACCACAAATTGTTTTAGATTTTTTTCTTTACGCTTCATAGCAGTGTGTGGAGTGTTGTAAAAAGAAAGCGAATTCAAATTCCGAGAGTGCTTTCCCTTTTGTGTTTGCACAGAGCCAAGGATCAAACGCTGTAATGGGCCGCGTCTGTGGCCGTGGCTTCCCTTTTACTACTCTCAGACGAGAGCCCATAATTTTAGTGGGGAAATGACCTCTGTGGGGGATTTTCCTTCCCACGTCGTTTGGGTAAACAAAGCGGAGGAGCCTTCGAGCTCTGCTCATTTGTGCAGATTATACTTTCTTGCCGGGGGGATACGCACTGTCTGTACGCATGTGTGTTGAACTTCTATCGCACCGTACGTAGCCAACCGTGCTGATCGGAGGTGCGGGGGAAGGACCATAAATTAAACACAAAAAGCAGTTGTAAAATAATTGAGTTTTGAATATCAATGTAAAAATGCTTAACTCCAGTGGCTTCCTAATATCGGAAGGAAGAGCTTTCCAGATGGCTGCCGAAGCTCATCTGAAAGCACGGCAGTGCAGTGACCATCTTTGTTCGACGGTTAGCCAAAAGCTGCCGCAATGATAACCGGAGTCTGCGTGATGGTTTATGCTCCTTGACGAGATCAGCAAGGTGTTGTGGTTCCTTTCGTGGAAAGAACTTTGCGTGTAATGAGAAACGAACCCGGCTTGGTCTCGCTTTGGTTATACGTGCCATTAATAGCATCGCTCTGCTGGCGATCGCAAGTCCCCCTCTGCAGAACGATGGCACTCCGTTCCATTCACGTGACACCGCACATTTCACGGAAGAATTTCACCAAAAAAAGGGCTTCGCGAAAGCCCGTGAAACATTTTTTCGTGTGAAAAGAGACACGCAACATATTTTAGCGCAGGCGCCGTGGCAAGCAACGAGAGAGCATAAAAAAAAACGAGAGTGACAATTTTATCGTGCGCGCCGGACTATGGCACGCCCATTTATGTCGCCGTAAAATTTACTGCGATTCTAGCTCATCCGAGGCCATCGTTTGCCGTGCTCCCATGCCCTGCCCCTCGAAGCCACTTCCTGGCCAACAAGTGCCGAATCGCTTAATGCCACAACTCATCTTGCGTGTCCAAAAAGTAAGAACCCGCACGGCGGTAATTTTAAACTTTAACGTGGGATTTCTTGAAAAGCAACTCTTGAATAATATGAGCGGTTTGAATTAATTTGAGTGCAGCAACGGCAGTTTCAGTGAAGTGGTTACCGTGGCAGGTACAGTGTTGTTATCTGCACCACCAATTACATTTTTTACGTTTTTAATAAATGGTTGTTCGTCAATCTTCAGATAACCCTACAAACGATTGGCGCCAGGTAGGGCATTTGCAACGCGCTCTCCGACTTTTGCCTGACCTAAAAACAAAACAAAAATACTTGAACGCATACAGTTCAAAGGCAAGAGAGTAAGGAAGCGAGAAACGGTATAAATAAACAAGCTAGCAAGCCGCACAATGTGCGAGCCCCTGAGCACAGAGATGCCATAGCCGTTACACATACCGCGCAAACCACAAGCACACACCGCACGCACCGCACGCACCGCGGAACTCGATACGCCCCGGACACAGGGGGGCTCTCCACTGAAGCCGCGTGCGGATCTACCCGGACGACGGCGTAGCAGCTGTGCACAAGTTGGCATTAACACATCAGCAGGGGACGCATTTGGCCCGCGCAGCACAGGAGGACAACGTGGTAACTGCCACATTTGGGGAATTATTTAGCCTCCTTCTGTTCACTCCCTGCACTTTTAAATCCAGATTTTAAAAAGAACTGCTTTTTTGCGTTTTGAAAACTAATTTTTTGAAGAAATGCTTTTTTGTGTTTAGTTTGTTGTCACCCCCCCCTGCCCCCCGCACCTCCGATTAGCACGGTTGGCTACGTACGGTGGTGCGAAATAAGTTCAACATCGTCCTGGCTGTGATGTTAAACTGCACCCAAACGGAACGAAATGGGAAACCACCTCAAGTGTTCCTCCCTAGTTATGGCTCACGGGCACTAACAATTATGGTGGGCTACCAACGCGGCCTAATGCACTGGAAGTGGCTTCATATTTGGCACTCACACAGAGATCTACAGACTCACCGAGAGACCCATAGCCTCACGCATAGACAGGTAGACACACGATCATGTTAGAGACCCACAGACTCGCACGGAGACCCACAGACGCGCACAGACACCCATCGACTCACGCAGGCCTATAGGCTCGCATGGGGATCCGTAGAGTCGCACACGTAGAGACCCACCGAGTAACTGGAATTCGCTGGCGGTGGCTTCATCACCGGCCCTTTCTCCACCAGACGGCCGCTCGCAGCCCACGCAACTTCCCAGGAGAACCGGTCTGGTGGTGGCCGGCATCGGCGCATCATCGCGTGTTGCCTTTGCATTCCAATTATATATCTACCCGCACACGTCACCTGAGACTGGAAGACCCATGGCAGCGTTTGTACTGCTGATCTCCACACCTCTCCCCTCCCCCCCGCCCACCTCTCCTGTAGAACTGGAGCCAAGCACCACCAAAACTCAAGAACCCTGCTACTAAGTGTGGCTTTGTGAGGTGAAGGGAAGCAGGATAGGGTTGAGATGGAGGAAGTTTGAGCAGTGGATCTGCCACTGGGACGGAGGACCTAAGAGAACAACCGGATCGCCGTGTACAGGATGAACACGCTCTCTTCCCATACCTGAAGGTTGCAGAGTTTGTACTGCTTGCCCAGTCCGGAGCACTTGAGCTGTTCTTCCTCGGGACTGCGCTTGCTCATTCTGTGCTGCTGCTGCTGCTGTCGGCTTGCGTCCTGGCGCGGCCGGTATCCGTAGGGCTGCTCCGCCCTGCTGTGCGCATGACCCGCAAAGCTCTCCGCGACTGGCTGCGGCGTTCCCGCGCCGCCGCCACCGCCGCCGTGGTAGCGCGGGTGAGACTGGTACCACTGGAGGAACGCTCGCTCTCCGCGGCTTTGCGTTCGACCGCCGCCGACGGGCAGGCCCGCGGACGCCCGGGCTTCGGGACCATCGAGCCGCGTCAGGGGGTGACGCGTGCCGTTGGACCACGGGAGGTGGGCGGGCGCAGGCGCGGGCGCGGGGCGCTCGCCGTCGGCGCCGCCGCCGTGAGAGGAAAGTGCGGCGTGCCGCGGTGCCGGGTGCCGATCTCCGTGCGCGAGCGGCGTCCCGCGCTGGTCGGCGTAGAGGGGCAGCGACGCGATCCCCGGGGGCTGCGGCTGCTGCTGCTGCTGCTGGGGGTGGCCGGCGCGCGCCGCAGGTTGCCGCGAGCGCCACGGAGGCCGCGGGGTTTGGTTGGTGCCCGCGGCCGCGTCGCCGCGGCTCGGCTCGCCGTCGGCGGGCTTGATGGCCGAGTACATGACGGGCATCCGCCCGTAGCCGTATCTCCCCGGCCGGATGGAGGTTCGGGAGGACCTGTCCCCGTTAAAATGACATAAAAAGGGGGGAGAATGGAACTTTTTTTTCTTTTGTGCATTCACTAAAGTTACGCAGGATAGAGGAAGAAATATTGTTGTTACGTCCGCTGTGAAGATGGCAGTGATGATAATTGTGTCCATCACAAGCTAGATGGGTTGTCGCATCACGAGGCGGTGAGATGTGGCGATAGCTTTGAGAGACATTCATCCAGCAGTGGATAGATCAAGGCTGATGGTGATGCAGCAAAATGCATTATACAATTCAATACATCGGCTCCAGTTTCTGTGGCATCGAACCTGCCTATTTAAGATCGACAAACACGCGGACACCGCCATTCACCTGGAATCAGTCGGCGACGATTCCGCCTGTGCGTTGGGTGCCACGCCGGACGATGACGATGCGGCGGTCGAAGAGGAGTCGCCCTCACCGTGCAGGGGCTGCACGGACATCGCCGCGCGCGAGCCGCCGCCGGCGCTCCCCACCGCGCCCACCGTGGGAGCCTCGGAGCCGGCGTCTCTCCCGTCCGCCGCGTCCGGTCCCTCGTCGGTCCTCGTGTAGAGCGAGAAGGCGGCCGTCCTGCCGTAGGCCGCGCCGGGGTAGGAGGGCTGTCCGGCGGTCGCCCGACCGCTCGATGGCCTGGCGTAGCCCCCGCCGTGCCAGCCGGTCGACGGAGGCTGGCCGGGCACCCCGCCGGCGCCGTGGAAGCCGCCGCCGGGGTTGGTGCCGTAGTTGACACCGTCGGAGTAGAGGGGGCGCATGGAGGAGGAGGAGGAGGGCGGCATGCCGCCGTGCCTGCTACCGTGCGGAGGACGACTTGCTACGCCGTGAGTGCGGCCATGAGGCACCGGACGGTGGCCGCCCTGGCCCATTCCGGGCGTGTATCTCTGGCCGTGACCTTGGCCGTGACCCTGAACGTGACCTTGGCCGTGACTCTGGCCGTGTCCCTGGCCGTGACTCTGGCCGTGACCTTGGCCCTGACCCTGACCGGCGACGTGGCTGTCCGGCATATACAGCGACACGGAATGCAGGCCCGTGTGTGTGCCTCCCCCCTGGTGTGGAGGCACGGCCGGGTGATGCTGCTGCTGATGCTGCTGATGATGATGCTGCTGCTGCTGCGTGAATTGAGACTGGGGCAGGCACTCCCGCGTCTGCATGCGCACTCCACCGCCGCACGTTCTGCTGCAGTCGGACCAAGGGCCCCAGGGTCCCCACGTGCCCTGTCCTGGGGGCCCCGTGTCAACCTCCTCGGCCTGCGACCCAGGCAACTGGCGCCTTATCCTCTCGCGAACCTACGCACGGGGAGAGAGAGCGCGTGTAAATCGGTGTGCGCTCGGCGGTGGGGGGGGGGGGGGGATGAAGAGTTAAAATAGGTCTGAAGATGAATCGTTGAACTATCAGAATCTATATTTAGACTGGAGGAATCCGATGAGCTGTGAAGCTCTTTTTCACCGACGTCCAGTGTAAGCGGGTCAGCAAATATAATAACAGTTTTGTACATCATCGCCATTCGCCATGATTAATCCACTACTGAATAAAGACCTCCCCAAGCATATGCATATCCTTCAATACATGCCTAAACATTTACTGTAATTTGTCCAAACATATGAAGATTATAAAGTACGTACATTTGCGGCACGATGCGTAACCATAATATCTTCTAATTTTACGGGCAATGAGATCCAGACTAAACGTTACCATAATAAAATAAGCCAGTTACAGGCATGCCCGCAGGATTCGCCATATCTGCCCCCTTTTTTAATACGTGACAAATTTTGAGGCAGACCGGGCAATACCTTTGATGGTCTCGAACGTCAACAACGCGAATTTGAGAGGAGGGAAAAGCGGCGTCCCCTAACGTTACTAAAAAAAAAAAATCTTCTAACAAAAACTCGCATTGTGCATCGCATTATTCTTTGCACAGAAAGGGGCGTTTGTGTGGAGCGCATGTCGGCCTCATGAAAGGCATGGACCGCGTGCGCAGCTGGGTGGTTGCGGAGCGGGGGAAGAGTTGGCGTTGGGGGTGTGGGGGGGGGTGAGGGGAGAGAGTGAGGGGCCCTCTCGGTCACGCCACGCCGTGCCGGAGACTCCTTGCCTTGCGATGCTCTGGCGGGATCTCGTGAGGGTAAACCAGCGCCGCCGCTGCCACCAACCTGGTGGACACCGCCCGGCACACGGACACAGACAATTATTTTAACGACCGCTTTGGCAAATTGCTGTTTCTCGGAAATATGCTTGCACTTCTATCAAGGCCTTACGGTGTAGAGTGGAGTCGCCCGTTATTGTTTCGCTCTCTGGCCTGTCTCTCTGCTAGGAAGGACCACGGGCCTGAAGCGTCGCCTATGGTACACTTTTCATGGTAGTATGTATGTTGAACTTCTTTCACACCGTACGTATCCAACCGTGCCAATCGGAGGTGGGGGGGGGACATCAAACTAAACACCAAAAGTACTTCCATGAAATGAGCTTTCAATCGAGTATCATTGCTGAACAGCGCTATTGATGAAAGTGTGCAGACGTTACGTTCGTGAGCGAGTGCTCACTGATGCCACAACAGCCACATCCAGCCTAGCCTGCCGATGTCACCAAAATTCTGACTGTGATGCCCCACCACGCCGTTGCACTTGATGAACAAGAAAGGAAAAGGTTCCCTTTTTATCCATTATATTATATTATTTTATTATGTTTATTTTTATTATTTTATTACTTCCCTTCTACGTGACTTTACCGAAAGAACCAAGAAGATGAATCCCTGCAGTCACGAAAGCTTTAAATCGAAAAATAAAATCCATTCGAACCTGTGCAGCCAATGCGGTCAGCTACGCTTAAGGTCGTCGTGGCCTGCAAGAAGATGATCGGGCCAACATTAGACACACGAAGCTTCTGTTGTATCCGGGGCCTGGCGGCTAGAGGGGTGTTGAGGTGGGCCCTGCACTACCAAGGTCCCTTTGGCTGCCCCCAAGTTCACTCACCTCATTGGCATATCACTGTCGCTCGACCACTACTCCCCCCACCCCACCCCGCGCCGCCCCCACCCTCAATCCGAGAGGAGCTGGAGCCGGGCCTCGTTTGTGTTCCACTTGTTTTTTTTCTTTTGACCACAAGCATGCAACAATAACTCACTTCAGGTCAAGTCGACCTGTGCTCTGGCAGCATATGTTAAACAACCTGAATGGGGTTTGTGCGTGGTCAGGAATCGAACCTGGACACCTGGCGCTTGTGGTATGGCGTTTGCCTAATATGGAACAACTGCACCCCATACACACCTGGGCACGTATAAGCCAACAAAGACGCTCATAGGCCACGGGATCTGGTGATCTTAAACAAGCATCTATGGATGTCCACCACCCCCCCCCCACCCCGACAGAGACAATGTCACACCAGACATGCCCACCCACACATACACTATAACCACAGACGTATACACACACACACAGGCACATTTACAAACTGATTATATGCCCACACGCAATAAACCACACACATGCATACACACGGATGAATAGGCAACACACACACAGAAACACCCACAATGTACCCAAAGACAAACCCATCTTCAAAAACACATAAAGACGTACCCACATGAGGCACATACAATGTACAAAGACATACATACATACAAACACACACGAGATGCCCATACATACACGAAATTCCCATACACATGTACACTCACACATAGCCTGTACAGGCTGTTGGGGCAAGTCGTGTTTGCCAGCGCATATGAAGGCCGGCACGGCGCACGAACGAGTGCTGTGGCCATCAGCACACTACCGATGATTCCACATCTCACCAGGCAATGTACCGCACTCACTTAAGGCTGAGTCGACCTGGAGAATTCCCCCCGAAACCACTTGAGATAATGACCACCGATGCTGTGCGTGCGCGGGAATCGAACGGAGGTGGCCAGGTTTGAAGCGCCGCGTCGCTCCCACACACGCACAAAAGACGAAGACCCCCGATGAAGGCCAACACAGGCTGATTGGGGCACGTGCGCGGCACACGAACGAAGGTTCAGTCGGTGGGTGGGTGGCCAACACCACGCCCGGTCAAAATTACTCGCATGCAGAAGTAAAGCGATTCACACACACACACACAACCACACCACGAATCTATGTGCGCCACAAACAGGAATCCATATTTCACAGGACCACCCATCGTGTCTTTGTGTTAGCGACGATGACCGCGATCAGCGGCCCCCAAGTTTAGCTCCGAGCGCAGCGGGGAGACGCTGCCCCTGCGTCGTCTGCGCGAGGAAGGTTGACCCGGGCGAGGGCTGCTGCTTCTTGTTGTTAGTTTTATTTTAGTTTCTCTTTTTTTTACGAGCTTGAAGGATGGAAACCATCAGCCCCTTACACTCGGTGGAACCGAGCGGACAATGATGGGAAGCTTTGCGGAAATATTTGATGACGGTCTTAAGCCTCACCTTACCATATTAATAAAAAAAGTGTGCCGTTCCTGGCCCTTTCCCCCTTAACCATTATATATACGGGGTAGTATTTCTTGTGATCTCTCATTTACTTGATACAGCTGTCGTGGCTGTGACGGTTCCACCTGAAGGCGGAGGCTTGTGTTGCTTCCGAAACGTCGTGAATTTTTTAATTTTTTTTATTTTACTTTTATTAATTTAATTTTTTTACCTACGTGGCTTTACCGAAAAAACCTAAGAGTATAAAAATTCCGTATTCTCGTGCGTTCTCCACTAGTTGAGAGTCTAGGGTCAATCGGTATCTTCATTGTCTAAACCTAAAAGAGGAATTGTAGTCACAACGAGATTGCGTTTGCCGGAGTTTTCTTCTTTTCCATTTTCGTAGCTGTAAAAATCTGCACACGTACGAATGTTTAATAAATAAATATACATGATTCTTTCCTTCTATCCATTGAATTACAGATGTACTCATTACATACCTGTTGACACCATTCCATAGCTTCTTCGGCTACATTTGTTTGTTGCTTTCAATTGCCAAATTACGTTTCCCAAAAGCCCTCCAAACCTGCTCTCCTCGTTCGCCTCTCTGTATTTCACCGTGTGATCCCTGATCTGCCATCAGAAATCGCCCGCGGTATACACAACCACTCCGCTGCGTTTTCTCCAACAACCATGGATACTTTTGTCCTGGAAACTCGCCGTGAGTGTCTTTGGCGTCAACTCATTATCAATACTGAGCCCAACTTTGCAGTCTCCCGTTTTGCTAAACGTAGCGCCGCATTATTCGATTCGGTTACATTTCTGCCTACACCCCCCCCGCCCCCCCCCCCCCCCCAGTACCTGGCAGAAAATCGTGGCCCTCCTTTATAATCCCCTCCGCTATTCGCAGGTCGGAAAAATGTTTTTCTTGAAATAGCTCTGAACGAGCGATTAAGGAAACAAAAACAAGGCACGTGCTGGATACTGAGTGGCAGGTCCAGTAAGCGGGCTCTCAACATGAAATCTGCACCCCCCTGACCCTCCCGCCGGGGACGTAATCTTGCGAGGGTGGCAGTGGAGAGGTGGCTAGGAGATGTTAACTACCTCGCCTGGTATACAGAAGGCCGTGGATTCGATCCCGACACTGACGCCTGCTGTATATTTGGTTTTTGCGTGTCTCTCTCTCCGCATGGTCGCGTGGATTTTTCTCCGAGTCCTCCAGTTTCTTCTCCTTCCACAAATTAGAAACGTGCGCCTACGAGTGTTTGGCTGCTATAAATGTCCATGTGATAAGCCACTCCAACTGAGCTGTCATTTGTGATAGCCAGGTCGGTTCATAAAAAGAGCTACGTAGCTCAGTGGGCCTTACCTGGTAAAACAAAAAATAGTTTAGTTTTAGTGAAAGGGACACACGGCTCCAGTTCACGAAGGCGTGGACAATGAAGGCAAACGCACAATCCACACGGGAACCCTGCAATTATCTCTCAAAGGAGCGGAAGATGCTTTTATTTAAATGAACAATAATGCCCTCCGCGTGTTCTGGAACGTTTCGCCGATCTCTTAAGACCACGAGGGTCCTGCATTGGGATATTTGGGTCAATCCTATTAACGAGTGGTTTGCGTCTATTTGTAATAATCGTTATGTGTGTATATATTACGATTATGCTAATTACATAGTGGCCACCATAGCCAAAAGCACCACGCCTATCAATCCTTATTTAATCATTAAATATCACGCTGGGTTACTCCCATATGTAAAAAAAAATCTCCTTAAGAGAAAAAGCCCTGCAAATGTGGGGAAACTACCCCAGCTCCGGTACAGATTAGAATGAATTCACTTTGCTTCTTCGCAAATATTGCAGCTCCGTGGAGTCCAAATTTTTTTGTTTACAAATATTCATGATCTACCAACACTCCCTGTGTTACAGTTGTGCTCTGCCACGCACCTAATAATAGAGCGCTCCGTTCTGAAAATTAGCCCCATCAGAGTGTTCATTTCAGAGCCGGATCAGCAGGGGATCTTGTGCAGCCCCCTTTAATGTATCAACATGATCACGCTGTGAGACTTCTCGAAAGAAAGCCCCGGGACTCCACTATAAAAGTGGAGGGGGGGAGTTATACAAAATATATTCGCGTAACTAAATGCATTTTCTTTCGCTGAACGTCAATGGAGTTAAATGCTTGTGCAGACAATATCATACTTCATTGTGGGAAATAAGACCACAATCAGAACGACAACGAAGCGTTAATTGCCTACTGGACGGCGCTCAATTCGGTTTTGTAGACAATATAACAAGGCAATGGGGTGGAGCGGTGGCGCTGTGGTTAGCACACTGTGCTATGAATGCGGCGATCCGAGTTCCATTCCCAGCCACGGCTAACTTTCCGTGCAGAGCCATGTCAGAAGCTCAGAACCGGTCCTGACAAACCCACATTGACCGGCGTGGCGAAGTACGGTCAAACACCCCCCCCCCCCCGCCCCCGCAAAACCATTGTGGCTTGAAAAGGCCTTCGTACACGGGACGGGTGGATTGAGAATGGCTGACATTTATTTATGCATCCATCTGTTTGAAAGAACAAACCGCGTCGAGATTTAAACCGCGGTGCGTGAGCGAGTGTTTCGGAGTGGGCTCTGGCTACGCCGTGGGCCAATCGGAGCTCCGTAAGCACGCAGGTGCGTGACCCGGTGAACCCGTGGGATCAGCGCTGCCAGAAGTTATCGGGTATCGGAGGCCTCCCCTTCGATCCACGCCGCGACAAAAGCCCTTGACACGGCCTCGGCGCCTTAATCCGTCGACTCATCCCCGCCAATTGTTGCGCTAAAACTTTAATTAATTGCGCTCGTAACCTCCCACCCGCCCGTGCAAAGCGAGACGGCGTATTATATAACGAGAGAGACAGAGAGAGAGAGAGGAGGCAGAGAGAGAGGGGACAGAGAGAGAGGGGAGGAGAGCAGAGCGTGAAATCTTTTGTTTAAAAAGAGGGGGGGGTACATAAAGCAAATCATTGAAGAAAAAAAAACTAAATGATGAACGAAGCAAAGTGCCGACTACACCGAGCATCTTCTTGTTTCCTCTGATCGTTAAAAAAAAAAACTGAGAGAGAATCCCGGTAAATCTGCGAGTGCGTATGCGACTCGTTGCTATTCACCGAAGGTTGCGTAAACACACGTGGTGCTGTTGCTGCTGCTGCGTCTGCGTTGTTGGCGCTGTTTGGGAGTCGAAACAAAAAGCAGTGCGATTGGAACGTGAAACTTGTGGGCGTTGAAAATGGCATTCCGTCGGGACAAACAGCCCCGCTCAGGGCGACGTAGGGAGGCGGGCAAAGTGTTTGTCTTTCGCACGTGATCGTTTCAACTCACACGAGGTGTAAACATCGTCATCCCTGCCGATGTTACCACACCGCAGCTAACAGCCATGTCATCGCAAACACCATTATTAAACCCCCTAACACCACCGCCGTCGCCACCTGCACTACGACGAGTAGCCACTTACCATCCGCACCACCGCAACCGCAGCTAACGCCGCTGCCATCACAAACATAACCAACACCAACACCATAACCATCACCAACACCAACGTCACCACAAACACCACCAGCATAGCGGTGAGCACCCCCACGAATACTACTTACCACGTACACTGACGTAACCACAATACACATTACCACCTAAATCAACACTGACACCATCACCAACACAGTCAACATCACCACCGTCAAATACTTGTCAGCACAACCATCAACAGCACCGCCCACGTGGTGAAATGAAGAACAACTGAATCTAAAACTTGTGCTCACTTTTATGCATCTACGCACTGATGATAGAGTGCGGTTAACGGCTGCACCACTGTGGATATTTTGCAGCCTTCGTCAAACCACTGCTGGATAAAGACCACCCCCATTCCCAAATCAGGCATGGGGGCTGCTCGGCCACACTTCGTAACGCCGGTCAGCGCGGGTTCGATTGTGGCAGGGTGACCCATGACCGGTTCTGCAATGGCTCGCCACGAATGTGAGCCTTGACGAATGGGACACAGATCCGCCCGGTTCGTTGCGCAGCTGTACTGTAAATAAAAGTTTATTTGTTCCCCACGTATCAAATGTAAACACGTAAACACGTGTTTCTGGACGATGAACGAGACAGTAATAAATGGGGCCATGTTACCAGCAACACACGGCACGCAGTCCCCGCATGGCTCAACGGCGGAGGCCTCCAACAGCGACTCCGCAGAGGACGTCCCTCGCTCGCTCAGCTTCACCTGCGCAGGAGACACAAAGACAAAGGTCCCCTATGCAGCCTAAACAGACGTATCGGGGCAAGTGCTGTCATAAAAAAAAATGTAGGGGTTAGATCGCGTAAACATAAATGCGTCGTTAAACCCGCCACCACCCGACACAGCCACTTAAACAAAACTTGCCAATTTGGCGTCATCTGGTCCAACCCATGTGAGACTAGGCTCTAAGGACAGCTGTCTCGGGTGTGGACAAATCAACTTCAAGGACAGTGCATATATTATCAGAGTTATGTTTTTTATTTGCATTATGGCTGCAGGTATTGTGGTCTATGCAAACATGACTCCTTGTAAAAAAAGGTGTCAGTTTTGTTGCCAGATAGAAGGGTAAAAAAACAATTATCATATTTTTTACTGGCAAATGAGGTTCCAATGGTGTTGCCAATTTAGTGACTACTTCAGCACACCGGTGTGTTAGAGAGTGCCGTCAGCGAGCTCCTATGAATGGCCTCAGGGCACACGTTGGGGCGGTGTGGTCGGCATCGCCCCCAGGGCTGCCTTTGTGACACCCGGCGTTGACATTTGCACACCGCACCGGGTACTCCTTTAAGGCTGAGTCGGCCGAGTGGAGGCCCTAGTACCTGTTCGGATATTCCCCACCGATGCTGGTCCGCGAGCAGGAATGGAACTCGGGTCTTTATAGTGCAGCGCGCTAACCGCCACGAGATGCGCGGAATGACGCAGAGCTCCCACGTGTCTCTCGGCGAGCGAGAGCTAATCTGGAGGCATCAGCAGCAGTGGCACCGTTTCTGTTGTTGTGTTTTTTTCCGAGACCAAAAAGAGCAGTGAGGCACCGCTGCCCGATTTAACTCGGCTGCCAGGCAGACCTTGGGAGTGTTCCATTCGCTGGCAAAAATTGGGAATTCAAAGGTGAGTGTGTGTGCTCGCTCTCCCAGGCAGACACGGACGCAGCTCACACAGACCAAAAACATCAGTGCGGCACCGCTGCTCGATTTAACTCGCCTGCCAGGCAACCTTTGGAGTGCTCCATTCGCTGGCAAAAATTGGGAATTCAAAGGTGAGTGTGTGTGCTCCCTCTCCCAGGCGACGCGAAGTCTCTCAGTGACAACATCATAGCGACTGAGGAATCCACCAAAAATTAACTCATTAAATAATATAACGTTTTGTCCATCGTAATTTTTATCACATTTCACTCACTTGCGTTGTTCTTCAGGTGGGTGAATGTTTTAAGCAGAAGCCGTTATATTTTGTGGTGCCTCTAAATTATAGAAGACTGAAATTCTGATTTAAAAAAAATATAACTGCTGGTGGATAATTTGGGATTAAAATGTTTATTTTTATTCTATTTATTGACAAGAGTGGCAAAGTCGGCCCACTTTAATTCAGTGTATTTGGAAGACTGAGTGGGCATTCTGAAGTCCCAGGTAATAGAATGTACCTACTCCCCAAGAGACAGGGGGTGATATAGGTCAGTTGACAGGATGATGATGATGACGATGAGACAGACACAGGACCAATGCCACCACTAAATGAAAACCACTCTCACTTGATTATTTCCTTAAATGATTATCTCACGATCAATGACGATCTCGCGTAAACTCCACTCAACGCTCTGTATTCCACGTGAATGGCAGTAACCGCGTTGCACACCACACAAACGCTGCGCTGGGAAAACAAAAAAACCTCGCTCTTGTAAAGAAATAAAAATAATGAAATACGCACCTCCACTGTAACTCTGCCAATATTCTTGTTTTAACACTCGGTCATTTGTAGTCCGGTAAAAATCACGGATTTACGAGATAATGCCTCCTTTTAATTGGCTACGAGCCACCACGCTCTCTCACCGCAGCCCCCCCTCCCCCCACACGTTATTTTAACCAAGGCAAAGTGCTGTCCGCCACGATTGCTTTATTTTGTTACGCCGCTTTAAACTAAAAAGGCGCTTCCCACATTTAGTCCTGGCTGTTTGACGAGCATTTAGGGCGGTTTTTGTTCGGTCGCAATCATTCATGCTTTCGAACTCTTTTTTTCTTTCTCCCTTCATCCTTGAGAGAGCGAATCGCACAAATCAACGGGAGCCATGCAAACCTCAAGCTGAGACTCTCACCCCCCACCACCTCCCCGCTCCCGCCGAGCCAATCTCAATCCGCGAGCGGCAAGCGACGTTCCTGACGACAAAGAGCCACCCGCTATTCCACCACAGCCCTCCATCGTGCATCTCAATGCAGGCCACCAGGACCGCACGGCTGTCGCGTTTCGCCCTCTTCCCCTGCGCATTTCCTCGAACCCCGGGTGGTCCGTCGTTCAAGTCCGGGCTCGTTCTCTCCGCATGAAGCGATCCCGAAACGTCAAAGGGGTGGACACTGCTGGACGCTGGGCCCTCGTCTCGTTGTGGGATGGGAGGTGGGAGTAGGAGGCAGTGTGGTGGGGAGGGAGGTCCAGGAGAGTGGTGGTAACTTTGGGAGCAGATACCGCTCTCTCTCTCTCTTTACGGCCAATAGCACCGGCGTCTCATCCTCTTAAAGCGCAGTCCTCTCCCTAATGCGTCCCTCCTGACCCGTTAAAGTAAATGGACGTGGCGGCAGAGCGCGTGCTGTGGCCCCGTAAGACGCGTGTCGCTGCTCAGGGCCTGCGTGCGATGAATTGCGTTGGGTTCAGGAGAGCAGTTTGGGTTCGGGGGAGAGTTTAGAGTCAGGGTTTTAAACGATGTTATTTACGGCGCGCTGTCAATCCACTGCTGGATGAAGGCGTTCCCCACGCCGCGTTAGTCACGGCGGTTGTTTGACCGCACTTCTCCACGCTGGCCCGCGTGGGTTGGTAAAGAAGGGGTCCGGAATCGGTTCAGATATGACTGAAATTAGCCATGGGCAGCAATGGAATTCAGGTGGCCCAGGTTTACAACGCGGTAAACTAACCAACGCGCCAATGCTACACCACAGAGCTAGGGTTCAATATAAGGTGAGAGTTATGCATAGGGTTAGGGATGAGTTAGGGGATAAAGTTAGCAAATAGAGTTCGGTTTTGGATTGCATTCGGGTTGGGGATAATTTGAGTCATGGATAGTCATGGATAGAATGTGGGCGTTCTTGCGTGCATTGTTTGCGAGCGACAGGATTGGTGGTCACAAGTTGCGTGTGAAGAATCATCGGCGTGGAAATCACTGGGGCCACGTGCTCGCCCCCTCTCCCACGCAAAGCATTCGGGGTGCCCCATGACAACTGGGCCAGGACCTAACCAGGCGCTCAGTCACACCCCGAGCACTGAGACAAATGGGGCATACTGCGCTATGAACCTAGTCGCCTGGGTTTGGTTCCCATCAAGGGATAACGTAAGGAGCAACGTGTTATCTGAACCTATCTGAGACCACCTCTAGGTAGACTCGGCCTTAAATCACTACATGCCGTGATGAGTAAAACTATCAGACAATAGAAGCTGCGAGGTGGGGTGCTGACCACAGCAGCCAACTCGTGTGCTGTGCCCTGCCTCCACTAAGGAGTCTGTATGACTTACACTCGGGTTCACTGTGTGTGTGTGCGAATGTATGAGTGGGGAGCGGTGGCAGTAGCGGTTTTGCGCCCTGCGCTACGAACACGGCGAACCGAGTACGATTTCCGCTCACGGCCAACACCAGTGACGAATATCTGAACCGGCCCTGAGCCTCCCCTAGGTCGACTCAGCCTCAAATTAATACTTGGTGCGGTGTGTAAACCTCGCCACTGGGGCGGACAAAGGCGGTCGGGCGCGGTGCTGGCCACCCACACACTCGTGTGCCACAGTGCCGGCCTTCATAGGTGCTACTCGCTAACAGCACTTGCCCCGACAGTCTGTTAAGGCGACAGCGGGGGGTCTTCGCGCGCGTGTGTGCGCACGTGCTGGCACTAATCGCTGGGTGGTTGATGAGAGCGTGGCGAGCAACTAACCGCCCTCCCCCCCTTCTCCAACCTCAACTCACTGCAGCGACCTCCAAGAGAGAGATCAGTATCATCTCCCAGAACGCTCGTAATTACACCGGCCAAGACAAGAGCCGGAATTAGACGCGGGCTGTACCGACCCCCAACCCCCAAACCCCTACAACAACCGCCTCTCTCGTTGGCGTGCGGCGTTTAGTGCAGGAGGGTTGACAAGAGGGGGGGGGGGTGGGGTAGGAGAAAGGGGAGAGGCGGAGTTGTCCCTGACACCGCCGTGCATCTTCGCAAGTAAACATTTCCAAGTTTGTACTCGGGTCAACAAAAAAAATGTGCCGCGCGCAATCGCGTAAAGATGCGTACGCGTACCTGTCAACCCCTTATCAGCGCCTACATTATTACAGACCTAATTCACACCTTGTTAGTCACCCCCGTGCCGTTATCAATCTCAACGTTCATCCTACAGAGTCCCATCACAAGGGAGAAACACAAACAAATCGACAATTTTTCTTCTTCTCTGTATAGAAACGGCTGTTCGCCGTATGGACCTGAAAACTCAATTGTCCCTGCACAAGAATACGGGGTAAACCGTATGTGTTGATAGATATGCGTACGTGCCAGCTCACACTCAGTGCACACACCGTCACGAAGACACAGATCCCACGTGTAGCCTTAACAGATGAGTCGGGGCAAGTGTTGAAGGCCGGCACAGTGGCACACGAGCGGACGGGTGGCCCAGCAACCACGCCGGGGCCGCCTTTGTCTCCCTAGCAAGTAATGTTGTTGACTGCACACCGTACGCATCTGAGGCCGAGTTTACCTAGGGGAGGCCCAGGACCGGTTCAGATGATCGTCACCGGCGTTGGTGGCCGTGAGCGGGAATCGAACTCGGACCACGGGGTTCGTAGCGCAGCGCAGCGCTAACCACTGCGCTAACCAGCTCCCCATACACCGCACGCACGCAAACTGTGTCACACGATACACAGCACATGGCAGAGTCAAGATAACACATCATACAGACTGTGAGGCAAACGTTGTCGACGGTGATATATTGACTGCGTAGGTGACGGAATTGCGTGTTGAACGCGCGTTCGTGACGTGCACGGCGTTCTGTTCGGCGCGGTGTCTGAAGTTTCGCTCCGCGGATCTTCTTCGCTGCTTCAATACTCGACGAGCCCATGGCAGGGGGAAGCTGGCACATCATCGCGGACGCGTGGAGCCCCTGCCACGCAGCAGGACGACTCGCTCGCCGTTCCGCCGCCTGTTCTCCCGTCTCTCCCACGTGTGCGGCCCGCGTGTGGAACTCACTGACAATCGAAGCTCCCCCCCCCCCCACAGCACGTGCATCGGAACGTCGGACATTGCGCCGGATCAGCGCGCGCCGCTCGTACAACCCGAAAGCAAAACATCAAAGAGCTATTTGCAGAGCGCGGGTGGGGGGGGGGGTTGTGTTTACATCGCCTACGCCGTTACTAAAATAGTTTCTTCCCAATGTAATGGATAATTTGATTACGCGGTCGTTGTGAGTGATGATGTGAGCTCGCACGGCCGTGAATGATGGCGACGATGACGATGATGGCAGCAACGGCGAGAGGGAGACGCGGGCACGGAGAGAGACCGAGCAGCGAGTTTGGCTACCGAGCAGAAACACAAAGCTTCTCGCAAAACAAACTCCAAAGAACGGAAGGTGGTGGAGGGGGGAAAACTGACAGTGGGAGCAACTGGGAAGGTTCAAACAAGCGCATGACGCAGCGCGCCCCTCTGCAGGTCGACGGGAGATGGGTCCAGGTACGGAGGGCTCCGCGTCTCGACGACGCGCGAAAGTTCACTGCAACTCTCCCGATGCGTAAAGCGCTCTGGTTCGTGACCGCACACAATGTCCGACGTTTCGGCCGCTCGCGCTGGGGAGCTCCCGGCGGCAAGTTTGAATGAATGAATGAAGATGGAGCATGATGAACGAACGTGACGGGCGGGGGGCGGGGGGCGGGGAGGGGGGTGCATGATTTACGAAACGTCGGACAATCGTGCCGCCGAACCAAACACGGCGTGTTACAGCAACCCGAGGACGCGCGACGTTTTATCCCGCACAGAAGCGCGCAAGAGTTTTCAAAGGCGAGCGCACTCGCTCCACTCGCTCCTCCAGCGGCCAACCCGGCAAACTCGATTTTTTTCCCGGCATCTGCTCACCGCTCACCTGTCGGTCGCGTGGACGCGGAACCCCCGCGGCACGCGCGCCGGTCACTCCGACGACGTTGGCGTCTCCTGGCCCTCCCTTCAGCCTCCTCCGTTCACGTGGCGCCGACAGAGTCTCATGGCAGCGCCAGTGAACGTGGAAGGGTCACCTCCGGTGTGCTGCGCCGTTAGCCAAGCACGGGGTGGGTTTGTCGTCTTTGGGATAGGTCAAGTGAGTTGTGGGGCCGGAGTCGGGGTGGGTAGGGAAGTGGGGGGGGGGGGGTTCCCTGCGGTCCGGAGTTGTTGCTCGCTCCGTGCCTCGGCTCAAAGTGGGACGAGCGCGGAGGAAGAGACAGCGGAGACTTTCTCTCTCTCTATTCTCTGTCCGTCCGCTTGTCTGTCTGGCTGTCTGTCCGATTCCTCGTGCCGGCAGGTCGGCTCGCGCGTGGCTCGCAGGTTCCACCGTCTCGTCGCGTCGCAAGCCCCGCCGTTCCCCATTCAACGTGCGAAGTTTTTAATCCATGCGCCGTTGAGGGAGGCGTGGAGCCGGAGTGCGTGACGTCAGGGCGTGTGGTGGTGGAGGAGGAGGAGGCGAGTGGGGGTGACTTGCCTTCCGGAGAGCTTGTCACGGCGCCAGAGGACCCCCACACCCATCTCTGTGCATCCCCCCCCTCCCATCCCATTCCCCTGCCGCATCCTTCTGCATCGAGCGCAGTGGTTCTTCTGATGAGCCTGGGGGTGCACCCTGCGCCCCCTGGGGGTGCGAGATGCCCTTTCTGAGCGTGCGAGACGTGGGCAGATTTGTGTTTTTAAGCTAAATAATCGAAGACACAAATTAAGCACGGACACGTTTGTACAACTACGTTGTTTTATCAAACCTATGTATGTATGTATTAACAACATTATAGAGTTTTTTTTCCGATTGAGAACCAAAGGGGGTGCAAAGCTTGCAGTGAAAGGTAAGAACCACAGATTCTAGCGAAACCTCCCAGAAACATGCATTAGCACATGGCCAATTAATAGAATAATTAGCGAGGCTCAGAAGACGGTCTCCTACTTGGATGTGATTGTTAAGAGCACCGCTTTTACGAAAACGTTGCGTTGGCTTCTCGTAATAATTTTCTTCGTTTAAATTTGTAGGATTTTTTTTGTCCCTTAAAGTTGTGCTTATCATACTTTCATAGCAGCACTTATTCCCTGTCTATCATCCGCGCTCTCTCTCTCTCCAGGTAGGCTCAGCAGATGAAGGCACGCGTCTCCGGAGAGATGTAGACATTTCTTTATCTGGTTTCCCCCCTCCTCTCTTTCGCATAACATAAGCGCAGCTGACTGACAGTGACCTCCGCGAGCGATTGGGGCAAGCGGCAGTGCAAACACGAGCGAGCTCTGACACATCATCATCATCGCCATCACTATCACACCACGATCATCCAAGCCTCATGGGATGAGTGACCCATTGGGGGGTTGAGAGTTACGTAGCGTCACCCACGGTTACATCTCTCCCACAACTCCCCTTCCCCAGGGAATGTATGCCCCCCTCCCTCTGCCCCCCCCTCTCTCTCTCTCTGCCCCCCCCCCCACCTCTATGCCCCCTCAATGAATGTTTCATTATTATAGAGGGGAAGGGCTCATACTGAGGATTTTAGAGCCTTAAGCATTTCTTTTGAAGCTCGCAAATTATCTCTAGAATCTGCTCAACGGTTAGGAGAACACGACTGTTAAACCCAAGCTGGGCAAAAGAAGAAAACAAAGCCTTGCAAGAATTTTGTAGGTTATTTTTTTGTTAAGTCTGGATTTCATTTACCAGTCTTTTTATTTGATAAATACGAACGCATTCTGAATTCTGGAACGAGTGGCAAACCACCTGTTGACTACGTGGACGGGTCGTTTTAACTGCAGGTGCATTTCTTCGGAGGTGTTTGTGGCCACTAACAGCTCAACGTTGCATTAAGTTTCCGGATGATGAATCCCATTAGCGAGAGAAGAAAGGAGGAGGAACAATCAATCTCACTCTAGACTCGAGAGGTTTTAATGATTGACTAGAGAGCCCATTTCGCTCTTTGAGGAGGGGGGGGGGGGGTGAGCAGGCGGGCATATTTTGATGGCTAACAAAGCCGGTGACGTTCATCCGTGGAGGGGAGGCGTTTCGGTCATTGGAGATCTGAAAAGTTGTTTGTTTGCACTAAATTGTAAGCCATTGATCTTGGTGCAATACCACATGGAGGAAATGAACTCTCAAAACTTGCCAACATTCCTAATTTTCTCGAACGGCTAATCGGAGTGGTCGTATATTTTCAGGTTCCAGCATTGTTCAAGGAAGTGCAACACCATTAACTTGCATCGATTGGAATCCATATTCCTCTATAATTACGGCCCTGGTTACACATAAGAGTGGTTGTGGACAATTACCTGAAACCAGATCCAGTATAAGCTCGCAGCTTGTTTATACCCAACAATGGAATTTTGGAACTCGCACAGCAGCCCCCCCCCCACACCCACGCAAATCTGAGTGGCGAATCGAGCCGCGTACTCTAACTTACGAACCACGGTGCTATTAGCCAGCTGAACGATGAAGGGGGTTGAGAGTTTGGTTCACCTGCCTGATAACCCACCCCCGTTGTTACTGTGTCCCATGTCACTCTGGAGATATTACTTACGACAGCGCATTCAACAAGACCTTCGCCCAGAGGCATTTCCAGACGGGTCAAACCCACCGGATTGTCGCACTGTCTCACTGCATCACTGTGTCACGCAGCATACCGAAGAAACGCATGCAAATCCAAGTCGTGATGCTGTGCTCCTAAAATAATCGGATCATATTGTACTGTAACCCATAAGTGATGCGTGCGAAAGAACAAATGGGGCATTATTGTGCCACTGTGTTTCTGGCTAGCGATTAGCCTGTCACGTTGTTGCCTTTGTAGACGTTAGGAAAACAACTGGACTGAATTACGGACAATTAGCGCAAATGTGCATGACACACATTCAAACTCCCTTTTGCCCTAGAATGCGTTCACAGCCAAAGCACGTGCGCACGTTCCTCCGCTTTTTCCTCGCACACAATCCTTTTGCATAAAGCGGGGATTAACGTTCGTTCCTCGCGGTTGTTTTTCAGCAAAGTAAATGACAGCAATTTAAATCCGCTTTTTTTTTTTACAGAGGACTACAAAACGTGCTTTGTTTTTTTTCCCATTGCCGTTGTTGCTTGTAACAAGAATTAGGCGAGTGCCGGGGCGATCTTGATACTCGATCTTCGCAACAACAAAAAAAAAACCCGATCTGTGTACACCGAGACCACGTGGGGGCACCTCTCTTGGGTCAAGTCCACAGGTAAATCGAATTCCCCTCCAGCAGCCAGTGAAGCTTCCCCCTGCCCTGACACGCACGAGGATGCCTTGGTTGAATCGCTGGCATACTTTGCGGTCGTCATACAGTATGGCAAGACATTTTTTTAACTGTATTTATTTTTCTGCCACTGATTATTTTTTGGAGGGGGGTGGGGTGGGGGTATATATTAAAAACCCGTGTGCTTGTTGGCTGTTTTGTTTGCTGGCATCAATGTCTACTCACAATCAATGTACACAATGTTGTCGCAAAATCAAGAGATTCTCAAACACACGTCCTTTATTTAGTTTGATATAACTTCAAGGCTTGCGCAAATCACACGTGCAATAAAATAAATAAACTTGCAATCACCATTCACATCAGGGCTGACATACTTCAGTAAAAAAAAATTTAAGCGAATTCAGTGCACGATTTCTCACAAGAGAAAATAAATATGTATATAAGACTGTGCACCGAGCAGCGAATTGCTTTGCTTTTAAATATACCAGGAAGACAAAACATGTCGTTGCTTTTATTCATAACAAAGCGTAGGCCCCAATGAAATGGAAAAACATTAATTTACCCAAAAAAAAGCCTTCAGTAACAAGACTCATTTCATGAAGGATCTCTCGCATTTGAATCGTTTGGCCAAAGAGAACATTTTTTTTATCGTGGAAGGCAACCGGAACAGCCGGAGCAAGAACCACAGAAAGCCCACAAGGGACGATCACGTCAAACGCCACGCAGATAAATCAGAAACGCACTTTGTGTACCAGCAGCACCGAATCACCGAGCAGGCCACAACTATCCGATCCAACCTTTCCCCGCCTTCAAGTCACGAGAATTGCAGGCGAGTGTGTGCGCCACCGCACGTTAACGCTCGCCATTCGCCGTTCAGCAACTGTGCCAGCGACGTTGAGAGATTTATGCGTTCACTAAGGATGTGGTGGGTCCATGGTTTGACATCTCGGTCCATTACTCACACAAGTGCTAAAACCATCCTTGCTGCATGGCACTTGTCACAATAGCAGCAGATGTGTGGTTGGCTATATTTAGTGAGGTTCCCTCATGCTTGGAGAGACGTATCACTTCATCAAACTTCAGTTTCCACCGCGTGCTTCCTGAAATGTGTGGCCACGATGGCTGTGATAACTTAAAGCACTTCCCTTCAAAAAAAGGTGAACACCACTTTGATTTAGCTCTCTGCTTACATCTATTCATGCATTAGGATTAGTGCAATGACATACAGTATATGTCAATATTATGTATATACTGCAAGAGTATACACTTGTTCAAATGTGCCGTATATATTACCATGTTGAACCCATGAAGTAAATACACACACGTACACGCAACTGCCACCAACCAATTACACAGTTTTAAACACATTGATAATGCTCCGGTTGCAGCTGTTGGCAATATTGCACATTAGCCGTTTCAGCAGTGCATACATACGTTTAAGCGGAAGGCAATGGATTTACCACATTTGAGTTAGATACATGTATGAGATGCTTAACAAGCTAATGGCAGGCACGCAGCACACCGGTACGATGTGGTGGTGGGGCGGGGGGGGCTGGCCTCCTGCGGCTTCCGTGCAACGAGGCTTGTGGTAAATGTAAATGATCTCCCAAATCAGGACAAGAATAATTTTCTTGGATACCAAGGTAAGTATACTGAGACAGAGCTCAATATGTGGCCATTGCATTTTTTCTGCGATATTACAGTGACAGGTTTTTTTTAAATATCTATAAAGACAAAATAAGCGACCAGTGAAATTGAAATGTTTCACCATGTTTTTCCTTGGACAGATCTTTGATGTATTCAACTGATTGAAGAAATCCATCGAGATGTATAAGGTGTTTACGGAGACGCAAGTATATTCAATGTTGCCACGACTGTGGAATTGCCTATGCCGAGCCAAATAAATAGAAATAGTGATAGGTAATACATAGATGTTGTTTAGCTACAGCACGGGCAATTCCACAGTCATTGTGTCTATGCAGTAAACGGTGAAGTGAAAATGAGCAGAGTTATTTGACTCCATTCTGTGAATACTTTTGAATAAAACCCACGTTCTTTAATTGAGGATACAAGTACCATTGTTTGTTTTTCATTATGAAATAATAACAGAGGGAAGGGTGGCCATCTAACCTGATACATTATTTTGATTAAGCACTGCCAATAATGGTGTAAGTATGAAGCAGTATCTTGAAGGAAAATACTGTCTTGTCCTGGACTGTGTCCATGCCGTCTCTTCTGCGAGAGCACAATTAATTCGGTCACTTCCTCGCCGCAAAAGTCTGAGAACCACATGGCCACATGTGTGCATGAGAGCATTTCTTTGTTGATTTTGTTTTGTTTTACAGCAGCTGGGATCATATGTGCAGCCTTTGGTTTCATCTCCGGCATCACTCCTCAGTCAGCTCCTTCATGCGCCTGGACACATACGTGTCGGAATCTTGTGTCTCAAGAACGGCATCCGTGACCATCTCAAGGAAAAACTGGGGCCAAATTGTTTGCAACGCCTCCAGTTTCTTCTCTTGCAGAACCACTCTGTCCACCAGCTCTTTCACGTAGTCTTGGCAGAAGCGCCCCTTCTCCTCCTGCTCCTGAAATATGACACGCATCGTGACATTTTCACAAGGGGCCTAACCCATCACGAACAAAACGAGAAGAAAAAAAATCGAGATATTTGGTCGCCAGTACGAGAAACTTTTCACCTGCTGGAAAAGTTTTTTATATCTGCGATCTCAGGCTACAAAGCATTTCTAAGGTTAATTCATCTAGCAGATCTATTTCAAATAAAAACACTTTCATTGCTGAAGAACAAATTATTTCGTTTATGGTTGCTACACAACTTTTGTGTGTGCTGTCTTGTCTCTATCTGGATAATGGAATATGATAGCTAATCATAAGATGCTCTGAACTAAAGATCACATGCTTGTGGATTTTCCACTCTTTCTGTTTACGTAATACCTTCCAGGTGGAACCTATATCTTAAAAACATTGAAAACAGGTGAGCAACTTCATCGCATGCCAGAAACATTTTTCAAGGTCCTTTATAAACCAGTCGGGCAAAACTTACCAACCGTACTAAAGTGTGCATGCGGCAATTATGCAAGAGACGCACAAATCAGATCGTCTCAGGCATTTCTCAGTGATACAGGACGCCCATATATTACGAAATAATTATTTTAAAAGTTTTCTTCCACGCTTGCATTTTACCCACGTCTCCCCGCAACGTAATTTTATTGCCCGTTACTCCTCGTGCGAAACCCGGCACCCTTCCGATCGCCACTCTCGGCTGACGATCGCTGTACCTGACATATCCTGCCCAACGCCTCCTGGGAGTAGAACTGCAGGCCGGCGAGGCTGGCCGAATCCACGGGTGCCGGGCCACGCTCCCGCCCATCGTCGGCTCCTCCACTTGCCCTCTTGCCCTTGCTCTCGGCAGTGCACGCGGCAGCAGCAGCAGCCGCCGGCGGCTTTCTCCTAGCAGAGAGATGCAGTGAGAGCACTCGTACAAGTACTCTCATCCGTGCCGATTCGAGTTAAGCACATGTTCTAAATCACAATTCCCACACTGCTGATGGTTTATGGGGGTCAGAATATTTCACGTATATATATGTCACAGTATAACCATTCACTCAACGCTTTACTTGGCAAGTCACAAAATCGGCTATGGAGACGTTTTTGTATTCTACGAGACACGTCTGACGCGTGTAATGCACGGCGATTTGCTAGGTTGCGCATTTACAATGACGCGGACACGTGCCTCGTTTGATTGGGAAATACGGTACGACAAATCCTGTAATTCGTTTATAACCAATTAATAGCCCATGAAGCAGCTGAAAACATTCCATGAAAGTATATCTAGCGTTCATAATGTTCACCTGAAAGCCATCGTACTAATGTCTCTCCTTTACAAAATCTGACTTTATTGAGGTCACATTATTCGTGGGGGAAACCCAAGCAGCTACAGTTAGTAGTAAATACATGTGCTACATTTATGAACACATTTTAAATTGGTGAATTAGGCTATGAGAATATTCTACTTAAAAAAATCGGGGCCACTGTCTTTAACATCCACTTAACAGCAGACGACATGCTTTGGGCAATGCTGTCAGGAAATCATCATGTGGCCTGATCATATAGACATATGTAAGGTGTTGTGTTTGCATTGTATATAGATGCTGGGTTTGCATGCTTTAAAACACAGCATTATTGCTGCCTCGTATTTCTTAGGCCGAACGGCGAGAGCGTGGAGATATTATGCAATTATAATGCCCTCCTGTATATCCCTCTTGATCTCGGGGGCCCGTTACCATTCAAGGCCTAGTGCTCAACTTCTGAGATTAACCAGATCGTGATGGTACGATGGCCATGGGCCAATTGGCCGCCTTTCTCCCCCTTCCCTCCCAATCAGCCGCTTTCACCAACCTAACCACTCACAGCTGGGGGCGCCATGGAGGAGTGCTAAGTGTCTAGCTTGATTTAGTGTGAGATGGTGAAAATGTGTGCGCAAATGAGGGTCAAACAGAGCGTAGTGTGCCACACATTTATTACGCAAGGCCACTGGTGAGAACTTCTAACTGTAATATGAATTAAATAAAACCACAAAAACTTTGATCTTCCTCCTTAAAACGTATCTGGCACAGAACCCACAATTCCGAATAACAAATGTTTAACTTAATTAAAGCAGGTGGTATGTGGATCGTAGTTTTTTTTACAATTTGTCCTCTATAACCTGTTGTAAATCTAGATTACAATTTAGCATGCACACAAAAAAACTTTCATTTTATTTATTTCCCGTAAAAAATTTTAATTCCATTATATTTATTAGCTCTTGAGATAAATCAACTTATTGAACCTTCAGCTAAAATAGATTTGCCTGCATTCTACAAAATTTTGGCGGTACGCTCTCCTTCCTGCATTGTGCATTAAGCACATTAAGCACATGGGGCTCCAACTACAGATAAGAGTTGTGGAATTCGTAGTGCATTTTGTGCATATAAACATTTAAAGTGTGCCCTTTTTTCAAGGACTTCGTGTAGGTGGCCAAAACGGGAGTACCGCAGCATTGGATTTCAGTTTCTAACTTATTTTTTTATCAGCCCTATAATCAATGCTGACGGTCGGCTATTAGGACATTGGAAGCTTTCTATGACTATGCTGTTGATGCCACTGGAGGTTGGAGTACACATCTGACTGACAGCATGCTCAGACCCCTTTAATCGCTGGAATCACCATCCAGTGCGAACAACTTTAACTTTGATAACAACACTGTGCCACTCACATTCGGCCACGCGTTTGGAGCACTCGGCTGTTTTTTTCTTTCCGAAAGCTGTTAAAGAGCATTTTAAAGCACCGTCAAATAAGTAACACGAGTTAACTTATTCGATAAAGTGGCTGCTGCATTGCTTCAAATAGATATCTTGGGCAGGGCCTGTTACCACTTAGAAATGGCATGTTGAAACTCAATGAAGTAACCAAGCCCCAGCGTTTGTGGTAGAAAAGCCTTGTGTTCTCACCACAGACCATTACACATTGCCACTTTTTACCCCCATCGTGTCTTCCGAGTTCCCCCGGCCATCTGCGGGGAAGTTCACTGACCACACGAGAGGGGTGGCAGCATCATAGTGACGGGGCAAAGTTTTTTTTTTTCCCCCCCACACAGGGTTGTGGGCTGCTGTCACATGCTAAAAAACACATTATCATTCTTCACACCACAACCACGTACAAAGTTGCTATTTACCGACAGCGTTAACTTCATTGGCGAAAGCAAATACGTGGAGATTAAATGCTACACATACAAGTTGTCCTGAATGCAAAGCAAATATTCCATTATCACAGATCACATCGCTTGCCTACATTCTCCCAAGACAAGGCTGTAAACCTTAGGTAAACTGAAAGAGATACGTGTAAAACCACCGTTGGGTAATTTTTGGGCCTGCAACAAAGTCCTAAAGCCCACAATGATAGACAATAATTAAAGTCAAAGGGAAAAAATGCATATACGTAAAGAACACCCTCTGCTCTGGACAAAATCTCAAAAACGTTAAGTATACCTGAAAAAATGTTAGCTATTTCACAACCTCAAAGTGACATCACACGTAACAGTTCCCTCAGCATGTGGATGTTTTCATAAAATAGTCATTTAACTTTGACAAGATAAACCCCATGTCCATCCATCATCAGCCATGCTCAATCCACTGCTGGATGAAGGCCTCCCCCAAGACACCACCACCCTCTTGTGATCCTATGATGTGGTAATCCACTTAGCACCTGCACATTAATGGGTTTCCCCGCTCCATCTTTTTCAGGGGACATTCTCAAACCGTCATTCCCACCCAATTCAGAACAGCACTCGAATGCAAACTGCTGCACCAGAATTACAAATCAAACGGCAAGTGATGTAACCAACATGATAATGTTATTGACATATCCTCAAACATCACACCTCCCCGGCTTTGACATTCCTCGAAGACACTAGTGCAACCATCAACAGGCCGATGTGCAGGCCTCCGTGAATGGGAATTTTAATAAAAGCCATTCAATCCAAGCTATGGATCACATCGTAAATAACTATTGCCTGCACTCCTTCAACAGAAAAATAGTAAAACTACACCAAATGTTTCCTGCAGCTTTCTTGTGGCAAGCAGACCTTGACATTGGCATTTATCTCCTGAAAATATTGCCATATGCAAGAATATAAGATAACGTGAACATAATTAATCACTGCAGTTGTATGCCTTGGCACAAATATTCTAAGCAAAACTTTCTTGAATGATTATCTGAAAAATCTGAATTACTATCTTACTCCCGCTGGGACTTGCCGCGCGGGTAAAGTGGCGCTCCCGATTTTTCATCAAATATCCAAATAAAGATTCACTCAGCGCTTGTTCCATACTCTCCCCGATGGTGACACTACAGGCGAATCCTTAAGATCTCTCACAGCTGAGAGCGTTGGAAAGCACTCGCGTTAGACACCAGTGACTTCGAGCACCTGCCGCTCTTCCTAAAGGGAAGTGTGAAGGCACACAAGGGGCACGTGGGAAGCTCCCGAGTTGGGATGGGTTTTTTTGAAAATAGTTGGAAGCTTCAGCAGCTGCAGCAGTGGGGACCATCTGCACCCCCATGAGAGTCGGTCGTTTCTAGAGTGCCTTTGTTGTTGTGCCCAGAATATCTTTCCCAAGATGGACATTTATTTACGATGGCGAGGAGGCTTACGCAAGTGTTCACTCCGAGAGGCATTACCCTCTGACACTGAGCTGGCCTGCTGCTCCCTTATCTAGTTTTTTTCCCCCTCTGTTGACATTTCTGCAGGCATGTGTACTGTTTTTGTTTTTGTTGTTGTTGTTGTTTAGGTACGAACGTCTTCAAGTAAATATTTATTCTTCAGAACACACAGATTGTGCACACGTCTTTAGATATTCGTCTCCATCCATGACATTTATTTTAAAACGTCTGTTAAAAGAAACTTGGAGAAGCAGGATGAGAAACCTAAAATAAAATGAGACCGCAATGTAGCACATTGCTTCAGTCTTTAAGAGTAGCAGATAAGGCGGGGTGGTATGCAGTAGCTCCAGCCAGTCACTGTATAAGCAGGCCGCAAGCATCCCACACTATTACTCCACCAGCCAACATTGCCGCAATAACACCCACACACCAGGACAGTGACAAACTACAGCACGACAAACACGTGTGACAGTTCTGGCTTGCATTAAAATGTCACGACTACCTTTTTCCTGTAAAAAAGGATATCTCCCACAACCGCTGCCCAATAATCTCCATTCCCGGTGGTTTCCCGAGCCCAGGTTTGTAACGGGCACATTGACAAGCCGTTTGTGTTTTTGCAATATTCCTATATCCTGTTCCTATACAGGCCTTAAGACGAAGCACGGAGTGGTGTGGGCGTTGTTCACTTTGGCCACAAATCTCTTGGGGTGCGTGTGAGCCGCCATGCGTGCGTGCGTGCGTTCGAATGTGTGTGTATGTTCACGTTTGTTTCTGTGCATGTTCATGGATTCATTTTTTTTATGAGCGGACTGTGTTCTGCCCTTGTGTGTAAATGCTGTGAGTCACTTCGAAGTAGGCTTCTCTTCGAATGAAAAATCCTACGTGAAAATTCGTGCACGTGTTAACTTATGGGGGGGGTGGCACTGCGCAGTGAACCCAGAAACCTGAGTTCAATCCCAAACAGGGCCAACAAAGTGGTAATTCCACCCCTGCCCCCCACCAACACTGAGCAGCGTTGTTGAAGTACGGTAAAAGAAATCACCATAACCGACATGGCATGGGAAAGCCTTCATGCAGCAGTGGAAGGATAAACGGCTGTAAATTAAAGTTTTCAATTATTTACAAAATAGCCGCAACTTCGATGTTACGTGTGAACTTGTAAGTGAACGGTGTTTTGAAATAAACATGGTCAAAAAGTCACCACGCACTGTTCTTCGATAATGAAGTAGTTGCTTCATGCGTACTGTGGCAATCTAGCCCCGAATAAAATGCATGGGAACGGAAAATTGATGACAAATGTAATATGGCAATGGAAATGCCAACCCCCACACCCAGGGCCACACCCTCACTCTCACAAACACTCACCCCTCAAGGGTCAATGGGACACAGGATGTACCAAAAATGCGCATGTTGCACTTCTGTTACGTACCTTGAGATGGCGTGACCTGCGATGATGCGGACCAGGGATTTAATTACTCCAATGCAAAACCCACGCACACACGCACGCAATCGCATAAAAATACAAAACCAACGTGCGCGCTCGCGGGCGCTTGCACGCGAGCGTACCTCCCGTCCCCGAGCGACGAGGTCGATGCCCGCGGGGCAGTCAATCGGGCGAGGGAACCGAACATCGCCTCTGCAGCTGTGACATCTGTCGCCGATATCTGCCAGACAAAATAATCGCACGTATTAAAAGAATTGTCACGTTTGATCGGCCAAGTCTCCGTAAATTCCAGCGCTTGTCACGACATCGTTAAGCTGTAGGGTTGCACAATTCTGGGGGGGGATTTTTGGGCTTCCAGGACATTCTGTGAGGACACACACACACACACTGACTACCCGTCAGGCTCCAGTGAAGAGGTGGTAGCCAAGATGCTCAGTTGGCTGTCATGCAGGGTATCAAGTGTTATTGTCAGTGGCAATGCCAAGTGTTTGGTAACCTTAGGTTAAATGATGCATCACATGGTATTACCTCCCACCTTGCCAAATGCAAAAAAAAGGCAGATATTATCTACGTATCGACACGACTGAAAAATAAACCTGAGATGTTAACGCCACATATCTGCCAATAGACGTGTTAATCGATATTAAGCAAGAGACGGAGGTTAATATTAGGATTCCAAAGCCTATCCAGACAGATTGATTGCCGTTTCTAAATTAACACTTGCCATCTTCAACACCTCATCGAAAAACGCGCTAGAGACTGACCGGACCTTATTTACTTGACCAAAAATAATTGAGCCGCTATCCTGTGAGCAAATTCGAGCACAAAATAAAATTGCCCTCTGCAAGTGTTGCAATGCTGTAGGACTGCAATTCCCAGGGATGGCTTTGAAAGCACCGCAATGTCAAGAGCAGTATTCCCCCCTCCGTGGTTGCGTAGGTCTTATTGGTGTTTACTTTGGAAGCAGCCGAAGAACACGGCCTCATTGAGCGGAGTCCTGTAACTCTGCTGCCTCGTGAGTAGGAAAGGCCCAAGCAGATTGCACATGTCCTTTCAACGAGTTAACAAATTAGGGTAACCCGATGCTTGCTGGGACCCACATAATGAGAAGGGATCATTGATTTAACACCCAACCGTAAGATAAACTGTTGCATCAACTTGAAACACTGTTTAGATTAATTCACTGCTGTAAGGGGCTGCTAAATTGTTCGCAGGTTTTGCTTGTACCAAGTCCAATGGTTCAGGAATGATAAATACAACAGGGCCAGTGGTTAGTCTATGTTCATCATCATTTGTGCTGTTATTGCAGGCACTGATGAAAGTAAGGATGTATAACAATAATAACTATTGATCTCCATTACATATATCATTTAGGACTACTACCAACAACCAATCAATTGCCAATTCCGTGCGCGCTAACAGTGCATTAATGCCTTTTTCCAATATATATTAACAGAGATAAAATGTGCGTATGAATTAATTCAGTTAATTGTGCATGTACGAAACGACGCAGAGTAAAAGAGAGTCCAATTAAGCCAATATCTAGGTTCTCCATTTACACACGAGCATTACAAACTATACTACAACCCTTAATTCCACCTCCCCCCCCTCCCCATTTAAACAACAAAGTCTATGTGCCCCGTAGACCAGTCTAAGCGATTGCACATTCCTCTTTGTCAAACTGTTAAGCAGAAAAATTGATTCAACAAAGCTTGTGTTTGAGCTTAGGGAGCCTTTCCCCCTTTGACACGGAGGTGTTTGAGCAAGGAGGAGAACGTCAGATATGAACAAAACAAAAAAAAACACAACAGCCCCAAATTCCTAGCATAACATTTCTGACCTTTAGAAATAATTCTGCGTATTCAAAAGTTGACCTTAAGCATAAAAAGCGGTTCAGCTTTACCTTTTAATTGGAAGAAAATTGGCTAAACTGTTGGAATTCCCCTGGGAGTGGCACACTGCGAGTTCTGTATTTAGACGTCGCTTATAGGACTGCAGGCTGTTTCGGCCTTATCAGGTGAGCCTGCCAGACAAGGCTGCCTGTGTCGATTCCGTGGGTACATTAACACCGAAGTGTGGCCCCGCTCTCCCTTAACGCCCGCGGCAAAAGCTTTAGTGTACTCACAATAGGTGATGGGTGTACAGACAAAACGGGGCCAAAAGGCAGTGAACACTGTGTCAGCTTGTGGAATTCGCAAGTCTCGGGCCAAGGAGACGCCCAAAAAGAAATAAAAAAAAACCGCACGGCTGTGTACATGGCTCAGCTCAACTTGTATTTTTAGGCCAACGTGCCACACACTTTTACTCTCATTAGAGGCCAGGAAGGAGGCGTAAATGCACATTGTAGCCAACACTTCAGCACCTTGTAGCGGTAAGTGCATGTACACAACGAGTGTTGAGAGATTACGAGGCCGAGTGTGCCTCGCCCGATCGTCTTCATCCTTAAATGACGTGTGTCAGCAATTTAACGTGGTAAAAGTAGGGTGTAACAATGCGCAAACGAGACACAAATGTGATATATTTCACTTTGAAAGGATGTTTGATAAAAAAAAAAATTGCATAAATAATTCAAAAGCAAGTCACTTACTGCATTACCACAAAATATCTCACAGCCGTAAAAAGAAATGCAAAGATTTCAACGCACATTTGTGTAGCTCTCAGAGGAGGCCTTCAAAATACGTTCTCACTGTTACGAGCCAACATTTAGCTTCATTAATAAAGACTACACAAGCATATAAATGTAATGGATGGATTTTTTAAAAAGTACGTGTTTTTGTGCTCATCGCTTGGGTGAAAATAAGAACGAAAGGAAAAATCTCAAACCCGACACACCTAATTATAACTATAACAAATACTGGGCGCGTGTTGAAAGGTATGCACGCACAAGGGACATTGAGAGCAGGTGTGTGTGTGTGTGTGCACGCGTTTGTATGCTTTGGAGGAGAACAGCAGTGTTGGACGGTCAGGGTCACCTTCACGTCTCCTCATATCGTATTTCCAGCAGTGCATGGAGTGGAAAAGGTCAAGTTTGCTTTTATCTGATCTGTACCAATGACTATACTCGATGGCCATAAATACTGCCTTCACAAGTCAAGTTAATGACTCGACATATGGCATGTATCGGAGACTACCAATTGTACACACGTAATTCCTAGAGAAAATGCAATAAAACGACACATTGGCTACAATGCTAAATGTGCGCAAACTGCTGACGTAATGCTAAAGAGCAGAGCAGTGCCAATACGAGGTGGACATGGCAGCAGAGGCAATCTCATGCGGCGAGCATCAAGTGGTCCTTCAGGAATAGGGTCAAATTCTAGGTTCCACATTCCTGACACCTGTTCACCCACCAAGCTTGAGATAGCGTGAAAGGAAGCTGGAGTTTAATACTCGTGAATTTTCCTGCTGTTTCGTAAGTGCTTTAAAATTGTACCTTAACATTGTTGCAGGCATTTTGAGAAGCGTAGGAATTGCAACTACCAAAAAATATGGCTTAATAGAGGTGTTCAAATGTTGTGTGACCGAGTCTTGTGGTGCGTCACATTTTAAAATTCGAAATGCCTCTTTGCTGAACTACCACACCGCCAAAAGGAAACAGATGGCACATGGATGATATGCCACATTGTGAAATGCAGTGAGTTGGTGAGGATATATATGTTCTCTAAAACTATTTCTGCATGCATGTGCTGAAAAGAAAATCACTTATACGATTAGCACGTTGTTTTATATTTCTCGCACGGTACCCAAACTACTGCTTAAGCTTTTCTTAGTTTCTTAACAAGCAGCTAAAATGTCACTGTAGTAGCTCAAACACAAAGCATTCATCCAGAAAAGGCAGCAAATGAATTGATCAACTTCTGCTTTTGTGACAAAGTTGCACGGTACCAAGTATTGACATGGTAAAAACGTGTTAAGCTGGCCTCATGTGAGCTTCATCTGATACATTTGCTTCACAAATATTACTCACGGTTTATGCAATGCCATGTACACTCCAATATGACTAATGGACTATACAGGTCTAGGTTCTCCACTGTATGTCGAGTTAAGTATTACACTCAATTCTCGTGGACCATGGCCACTTTTGTCAATGCTGTCAATTGATCTTTAACATCCACTTCTGTAAAAAGAACACAAAGTTTAATAGTGCTCCCAGTATACACGCAAGCCTCCATCAGCGGTATATGGGCATACTTTCTAGATATCCAAAAATCACGAATAAAATATATAAGGCATAGAAAGCACCCGGACATCCAAACAATGCACATTTTGGAGAAGTGCTTATTAGTGACACATCCATGTCAAGGGTTTTCAAACACCAATGGCCCAACAAACACGTTGTGTTTCGGAGTCAATTACACATGCATGTGCAGCCTTGCAGGCACCACCACGGGGCATACAGGTGGTGTGAGCACCCATCACAGAGCGTTCCAATTCCTAAAAAGGCGAGGTCGTTCCCATACACCTCACCTCCCCGCGTCGCCTACCCCCAGCCACTGACCGCCGCCACAGCGCAGCTGCCCACCTCCTGCCCGTTGATACGTCGCAGTCCGAGGTGATGGAGGCGAAAGGTGGCGTAGGCCGTCCACAACGAGAGAGCCGTCAGCGAGTTTCCAGCTGGGTTCACGGTCAGCTGCTCGATCCGACGCAGCTGGGCCAGAGCGTTGAGCTGCTGCAGGTTCTGCAGGTTGGTCTCGGTGAACTGGAGGTGCTGTGCAGGTTGCGGCAAGAAGCAAGCGTTGATCGCAGTCACAAATAATCGTTCGAATTTTATTTAGCGAGTGCTTTTTACAAGCGATTGGTGTACAGTTAAGAGCGCTGGACATGCAATAAAAATAAATAAATAAGGTTGTCAATGTTATATGCGAGTGCATGTCAGCCCACGTAGACACAGAGCCACGTGACAGCCTTCTCCAGTACGTGCATGGCAATTTTTCACATTGATCGCTTATTATGAAATGCAAATCCGTTGCAGCTTGCTCTGAATTTGTTTTACATAACTGCCTTTCGTAAGTAACTATTGGTCACCAGCATCATCATTACCATATTCGTCATGGCCGTCATCACGATTGCACTTACAATCATCACCATCGGCCATGATGTATTCTCTGCTGGATGAGGGCCTTCCTAAGCTGCCATCAACTCTGGGTTTCATGATGCAAAAATATAACGCTTACACACGAGATCATTTCATTGCTCCATCTCCCCTTTGGATGGTCAGACGTGTTCCCTCACTTGGCTGCCACTCCACAATCAGTCCCGACCACAGGCCATCATCCCATCTAGTGACGTGTCCCAGACCAATCCCATTTAATTTTCACCATTTCACGAACCCGCTGTAATTTTGTTTTTAAATAACAAACGAAAAATAGCCGGGCAAGAAGTCCTTGAGCCACAGGTTGTCGATTTCTAACCCTCAAAGCGGAGCTCACCGCCGTGCCAGGAAACCTTGTGCGCAGCTTCCCCAAGACGCCGGCCACTTCGTCGAAATCCACGTAGGAGAATGAGACGGCGGTGACGGTGGCGGCCGCCTGCGCGCCCCAGCTCCGGTCCAGCGCCTCCAGGGCCCCGCGGCCAAACAGGCGCAGTGTGTCACCCTCCATCTCAGCCAGGTGCTCCTCCGTCAGCGAGAGGAGGCGCAGCGAGTCTGCTAGCCCATCGGCGGGGAGAGGTCTGCCAGATCAAGGGAGGAGAACCGGTCAGCGACTTGCCGCGCTCACGTTGCAACACAACTTCGAAGCACCGTTCCGAATCTAATTTTTTTTTAAGTGAGGATGATTTTTCGATTAATTTACTCGGGTTGTGTGAAAAAAAAACTGGCTTTTAAAAAAATTGTGCCCAGTCTGGTTCCAGATTAACTGACCAAGCTGTTGAGTAAAAAAACAGCTCCCAATCATATTCTTGTTGTTGAATCAAGCCCGTCTTTGCTGACGTGACTCAAATGGTAGAAACTGGTCCAAAAACGTGCTCGCTTAGACAAATGCTGCTATATAATATTGGCACATTTTGTATGGTTGATGGACTAAAGAACATACTCTTAGGTTTTTTCGGTAAAGTCACATAGGTAAAAATAAATAATAACAAATAAATAATAAAAATAATAGAATAAAAAAGATAAATCAAATATAAAAATAGTTTTCTATTATTTTATTATTTCTTCTATTATTTTAGTTATTCATCTTTTATTATTTATTTTTACCTACGCGACTTTACCGAAAAAACCTAAGAGTATGAATCCTTGCAGTCACGAAAGCTTCAAATCTAGGACTAAAGAACAGTTTACTTGAATGTAGAGAGATAAGTAAAAGACTATTTATTTGTTATCCGGAATACTCCACAATACTGCATAACAGGTATTTAAAGGTACAGTAGTGCCATTGTTCTTAAGATCTACTAAAGAATCAAGTCAACCAGTATTCCACAATCTTTCAAATCAGTGATTCAGACATTTATGCTTCAACAGTATTTCTCATCATGAACAGCTCATTACAATCTCTGAAATAGTTGTGATTCTAAGGAGCATGTTAAATGGCACTTAGGTGGCTTGATAAAATGACCTTCATATGATCACCACTCATTTCTCTGCTGTGAAACTCCAAAGTGATGCACTCGAGCAAGAGTTGCCAACAAGTCCAGTCCAGGTGAAAGCCAGACTCCGCTGTGGTTTTTTTTTTGTTCAACGTGCCTGACACGTGTGGGTAGTTACATGCAGCTGGCCAATTGGCATGGGATTCCGACACAACTTGAATTACCTGAATTAAAACATTAAAACAAGTAACAGAGTCCACACGCCCCTCCTGGACCCCGCAAGTCTCTGATCACCCTGACAAGGTGTGATACTAAAGACCATATCAAGCGCTACCTAAACGCTTAAGCTTTTAATCCACGTCTTTGAAACAAAAAAGGCCGAACGTTTCAAAGCGATGGTCAGAGAGACATGTCTAAGTAGCATTGTCATCATCAAAAGTATGTTTTAATCACACAGTGGAAAATACCTTTGCGGTGCCAAATCTGAACTCAAAACTGATATTCACCCCCTACCATCCCCTTTGATGGCTTGGTGTGTCTGGTGTGTCTGCTGTGTCTGCTGTGTCTGCTGTGTCTGCTGTGTCTGGTCTCGCTGCTGATGCTGCTGCTGGCTAAGTCCGAATTAGAACGACAGAGTGGCCATTTGAGCAGAACTGATATGGCCCTGTCCTTGGGGCATCTGGGTGGCTTCAAGGAATGACATTAAGTGGTGCATTAAGGCCACTTTGCTGAGCATTGTGCATAAGATTCATTGCTTTAGGAAATAACTGAACAGGTATTTACTGTCCTGGAGCTGAATTGTTAATAGAGCTGTGTAAAAGCCTTAAAACTACTGATAAGCGAGCTAATGGCTGAGCTTCTGAAAGTCACAGGGTGAACGTAGGACAGCAAAACCTATCCATAACTGACTTTGCGGAATTTAAGAAAGTAATATTAATGTCAACCATGAATTTAATAAAAAGAATTTTTAAAAAGGTAATTATATATATGGCAAAAAATAATGGAATATTCCATAATTTATTTGAGTCAAGGTAGTATTATTAAAAATGGAAAGTACCACCAATCACACCAACAGTTTAGTTTTCGGTCCATATGAGCAGCTGAATACTCCCCCCGATGGAGAGACAGCCACCCTGAAGCTGACACGCCAAACAACGCATCTAATCACGACAAAAATGCAGCTAGGCAGACATGCAGTATTTCTGCAGTCGTGTATGTTACGTGCCACCAAACGTGTTAAAGTGTTAAAATACTGTGGCCCCTCGCTGGAATATGCAAATAAGATCAGCCAATGTCTTGATAAGTCTTATATTAAAAACTCCATGAAATACATCTTTTGCAACCAAAAACAGGACCCATATATGTCTGACACCTGCATCAACAATGCATGTCAGATTTTTTACTGAAAATAAAATCTTAAAAACTACGCTAACATTTTCTTTTTTGCAATGACTCTTCTTTAGAGTTTAAATATTACAGGTTTTAAAATTGTACATATATATCTCACCTTCAAGCATCCTGACGAAGGCGAACGGGATAACATTAGTGAGCACCTACATTTCGGGGACTTTGGTATTGAGGATTGTTTTTTGTATGTTGCCCAACAACTGGGAAATTTTATAGTCTAAGTGCATTCCCAGTGATTGAACGGGGGTCTCTCTCAATGCACAACCAAGGGGTGGCGTCTCTTTACCCTGCTCCAAGAGAACAAACCAGCCTCCTGTCCTTCACCCTGGATGCTGTATTCCCAAGCTGTAAAATGTCGGCTTTTTGTACTCGAACACCATCATTCAGCTATCCGTCTTCCTTTATTTCTCTTCCTCACGATTTCGGCTGCTGGCTGCATTTGAAAGCTTTCTGAACATTAATGTTTCCACTGCTCCTAAATCAAGCAAGGCTCCAAAAGGCTCGAGTGAAAATGCTGCATTTACCACGCAGCCAACTTCTAATGGGACTTTAAATAGCAGGGTGTGTTAAGAGTCTCTGCATTATGCCAGCGTTTAAATACAGCACGTACCAATGGCAAAAAAAGTTATGATACTAACTGCTGTAAACTTTCCACACCATTGTTCAAACCTTGGATGTACTCCACTACCCATGAATGGCAAAGTGTAGCTAAAGGCTCCTGGCAATGCAAAGCCAGACACTTCATGCTTTGCACTCTAAAAAAGCCATCTTGCTCTAGCCTACAGTATTATCCTTCGAATGCGTTTTCAATTTACAAACACACGTGCTCCGGTGCCTCTGGGTCCACAGATGACAACTGTAAACAAGGCAAGAGAGCTGGAAGTATATATAGGGGGCCATCTTTTGAAGGAAGATGGAAACTGGACGGTCGTGATAAATCACAACAACTTACACCAACCTGGAATTCACATTCCAACTTGAACAAAACCACACTCTACCATCGCTGTAGAATTTGCAACACACGTTTTTAATTATTTTGCACAGTTGCGTATCCAATATCTATATGTGCAGGCCAGCACTGCTGCCCTGTACCCCCAAACAGTTCACACCACCATGTACGAACTTTGCAAGTTGTAAATCACAGCTGTCAAATGTTGCCCGGCTACCAGATGAACTGCAGCCCACAACAAGCGACTAAGGAGAACCAAGACAAATCATCATTTTGCCATCTGGAAAGCATGCCTGGTGAAAATTAAGTGCTGTTACTTGCAGAATTCAAATCCATGTCCACTGAGTAAGCAGGTCCATATCTCCAGCGTACTCATCCTGGTCGATGCATGCGCAAGTCCCGACAAAGAACACCGTTCAAAAATCGTTCTCAGTGAGCATCAATGGCACCAGCTGTGTAACTGGCAGAGGGTAGGTGTTGGAAAGGTGTGGTAGCATCAATGGTTTCGACCATTATGACATCTTGATATTCATCAATGGCAATGGAAGTGATTAATGTTTTAAAGAAACGCGTAGAGATCAGTGCCACCTTAAAGGACACTTACATTTTTAGCCAATATTAGATTTAAGCAAATTTAATGTGATAACTCAATGCAACAATATTTGCATTGATCCCAACATGACACCATGGTAAATGGCACTTTCTTTTTCAGGAACACAGCAAGCTAATTTTGATGGGTTATTTTAGCTCTGCGGTATTGTAGTCAATATAAATGAAACCAAATATAAATAGCCAATCTGGTGCTCAATGTGTTCTCATAGAACACCGTAGGGAGCTGTAATTGACAGGAAAATCAATGGATGCAGGACATTGCCTTAAACTGGTCCGGTTTTTAACCGCGTTATGAGTTCTCCCAGCAGCTCCGGGGACACAAGAGGTCTCCACCATTAAGGCCGATTTGTCAACACTACTGACACCATCGGTGTCGTGTTGCAGCCTCGATGGGCACAAAACGTGAGGTGGCAGCGAGACGGTGCCATGGAATGAACGGGCACGGAATGACCGGCAACTCAAGCTCTTCTTCATTGCCTCACCCGAGCCAGCAGAGCAATGCGAGAGAGCATTCTCAAAGACTGGGTGCAGGCGTTGTGTGACATTATTTCGGGGAGTGCATGAATCACAAGCTGAGAGAGGCAGAGATTTGGCAGTGCTCAGGGCAGACAGGGGGCGAATCGTACCATTCTGGCATTTGGTCCCCGCTGTGTGCCAAGAATTCCCTCCAGCATGCTCAAAGTGCCTCACTTGATGAGCATTCACAGAGACAAATAAGGTCGCATCCTCGAAGCGGCGATCGGAATTTTTGCTCCTTCGAATTGCATTCACAGTACCAAAAACAATAAAGTGCTTCGCAGAGAAGAGAATGCTGTAAATATGTCGTGTATTAAGAATGAACTTGGCTGTCACTCAAGGGAGTGTAGACTTCAAACCACGTGAAAAATAATGCATGTCCAGCTGCCACAAAGTTTAAGAGGCAATGTCCTGAAATTTTACATATTTTGAACACAACACATTTTAAAATAGTGTGAAACATCCACCACCATGTAATACTTTGAGTCGTTTTACTCATTGCTGAGTATTCATCACCTCGATGATGACATTACTCCAGTAACTGTGATTTTGGGCTTTGCTATATTGGTATACGGTCCTCATTATTACATTTACAATACTAAAAATGTTCATCTTAGTCTCTGTCTATTAGTCTCTATTCATTCTTCCTTCCAATTAACCAAACGTCAACACTTTCTCCAGGCTTTCCCTGTGGAATAAATAATACTGAAAGTATAAAATAAAATGTCAATCAAAGAAAAGAAAAAATATCTCCTGACCTAGATGGAATATTGTTAAGATTAGACAGTTTTGCATGTCAAATTGCATTTAACCTGGCCAAAATTATTTCATATGATCAATTATCATTCAACTTATACGTAATTTTATTCACTTTAGAGTCAAATAATCACCTTTATATAACAACATAAAACGAATGGGGGCATACACGAAGCAACTTTAGCAAAAAAACTGCCAAAAACCATTCCAAAATGCTCTGACCACTTGCACATGTTTGGCAGAGTACATAAAACCAAGAGGGAAATCTCAACAAACATTTTCATTTAAATTCCTACCACACAACATGCCCAAAGTGAATGCAATGTGAGTGGTTTTTATTTTAAAAAAATACATTTCAGATCTGGCATAGCAAAAGTATTAATGGTCCCGTGATTAGAACGTTTCTGGAGGTTAATTTGACACTGCCCAAATTGGACACAGATAGTTCTGTACTTCTGTGTCACATATTCTGGAAAATAAAAGCCAAGAAATGTTTTTCCCTCGAGGGACCTCTTGGCATTTTATCTTGCATGGATTGCCCTTCATAACAAACAAAAAAATAATACCACCCAATGGGAAGCCGTGAAACGATCCTCTCATTAACACAACTAAGTCCATCCCATTACCTCTTGGTCTTCATCTGCACCCGAATGACCATCCCTTATCGGTCTTCCTCCACGAAGGCAACCAGTTGATCTTCAAGATGTTTGCCTTGTGCACTAGACTGACTCAGCCTGCAAGCCACCTTTATCGTGGCCACGTTCCGTAATGCTCGGTGCGTCCTGGGAAACGTCTTTTCTCGCAAGTAAAAATAGCACTTTGGGCACTAAGCTGATAAATAGTAATCAGTTATGCTAAGCCAACAATAGACAATTATACATCTACCAAGTGAGTGTAAAGTATACTATAATCCCCGAGTAATGCTAGATTTCCACAAAAGCGTGAAAGCAAAAACTGTACACACGAACGGGGCGCGAATTGTGCAATTGCGTGCATTGCATGAAATAATTTACTCATCTCAAAGTGCAATCACTTCGAAGCAGTTGCCATTCTAGAACGAACTGGAAGGCTATACTACTGCGTAGCTTTTCTGGGTTGTACCGTGTAGCTGTCCCGATATTTTCTGGCTGCAGCAGCAGTGTTGTTCTGCAGTGATGCCGAACAACACACGCAGCACGACCCGAAAACACATCGCAGAGCTTGCTGGTTGAATAGTTATGCAAGTCTACAAGATCCAAGACTGTTGGCTTCCAAAAGTGGTACCAATTCTACACTGGTGACTGAAACCAGGATTCTAATCCAGGATCTCAGCTGTGCCAGCACAGTGCTCTGAGCAAGATGTTAACTACCTCGCCTGGTATACAGGAGGTCATGGGTTCGATCTCGACCCTGATGCGCCTGTATATTTTGGGTTTGCATGTTCTCCCCATGGTCGCATGGATTATTCTCTGGGTCTGGTTTTTTTCTCCTCATTTAGAAACATGCGTTTGGAGTATTTGACTGCGATACATGTTCACGCGATGATGATAAGCCACTTCATTGAGCTATCATTTGTGGCCAGGACGCTTCTGAAAAAGAGCTGCATAGCCCAGTGGGCCTTTACCTGGTACTTTTAAATAAATAACGAATTCTGCGCATGACGAGTGCTCTCTCTCAGCAGACTCTGAGAGAACGCCCTGAGCTACGATGTGCCCAACGGGGTACCTGGTGTCCGTGCAGCTGTCAACGGGGCTGGAGGCGAGCGACTGCAGCTTGCTCCCCGTGGGCTCCTCTTCACCCGTCGGAAGCCTCGCATCTCCCGCCGACAAACTCTCCCGACTGCTAGCTCCGCTTAGGAGGCTGCTTGGGATGAAACCGGGCACACAGGAGAAACGCAACGTCCATCGCCGAAACCGCCGCCGTGCCAAAGCTCATGCAACTCGGCAAAAAGCTCATGACGGCACGCCGGTAAAATTCCCCGCTGTGAAATACGGTTCGTGACGCATTTAAGGATGCATTGAATTCTTAAATATAGAACTTTAAAAGAAAGCAGCTAAGCATCCCGAGTATGGCAGTCTTGAGACTCAGTGAAGATTTCCTGGTTAAACAATCGTATACTGTACAATGCACTGTGATTAATTCAAATGTTTAAATAACGTACCAGGTGAAACGGCCGACAGAACAATCTTACGATGCGCAAAATAAATATAAAAGCGAGATATTTGCGTCAACAAATTGCTAATCACTTGTTATGCATTCAATGGGATCCAATGTATCCATAGGCTACTTAGCATATAATAAGATATGTTGTTATGTGCACTACTCTCACTTACATGTTTAAAAAAAAACAAAAATTTGGTATAATTCGATATGTCATTTTTTCATGTATACATATCCTACCAAAACACAACTTTACTACCCATCAAACACCCACAAATTCTATCAAAAAATTTACATTTTTCCGATGTAATGTGTGTCATGGTGTTTTTTGGTGATAGTTGCAGAATTCCGCCGAAAAAAAGTGAACATATTCTCAAACTATATTCAACAAAATGCATTGTCAAGCTAAGCCGTAGGCATGTAATAATCACACCAAGAGCAATTTGGTAAAACCTCAAAGCTTCGGGACCATGAATTGATTTAGCAATATATCCCATTTTTACCATTATGTTTGTTTTTTTTGGGCAAGGTTCTTTCTTCTTTTTCACTTAATTGCTCCATCACCAATTTTGAATGGTATATTAGGTGAATAACATCATCATCAGCAGCCATAATCTATTCTGGTAAATCTGGGCCTTTCTCTAACAAAGGTGACCTGCTGTCTTCTGGCCACTGCTGAGAGGAGAGCTGCTCGGCTGATGTGGATGAGCTGAGCGCCGTCTGTCCAGATGACACATCGAGGGGTTGACTCGTCCATGTCCAAGTCGGAGTGCGCTGCTGCTGCTGCTGTTGCTGCTGCTGTTGCTGCTGCTGCTGCTGTTCCCAATGGCGTGCCACGTTGCGCAGGGCCAGACGTCTCTTTTCCTGTGGATAAACAGATGCGTCGCATGCGCCAGCCAACACAATAGGGCAGCTCTCCTAACTTACACGCTGTATCTCTGGCGGAAAAGAAATCCAGATGCAGACCGGGTGCACTGGTTGTGAAGTTCTGACACTTTCATCAAAATCAAGGCTACGAATGCACTCGAAGTATCATTAATAATTGTGGAAGGTTCCAAACGGTCGAAATACGTTACAGACAAATCCTTGAGGCTATTGTAAATATAATGCCAACACAAACAAGATGACATTTGCAAATCGACACATGGACAACTATGCGTGCAAGTGGTCAAGCACAGATATACCAGATGCCAGAGCTGCCATATTACATTTGTAAAAGCCACCAAACTAGTTGACTCAACTGACACTCGTTTGATAGGTTACAAATATACTCAGCTAGCAATTATATGTAAGTGAGAAACACCTGCTTGCACTTTACAAAGGGCTTGAAGAAAGCAATGACAAATCCTGCACTTCAACGGTTTTTTTCTAACACTGTAATTTAGTTTAATAGTACAGAATGAATACTCGCCAGGTTTGTTTATATTTTGGACAAATAAAAACCTGGCAAGCAAGACTGTCAATGAACACAGAAACTTGTAATTTCTGTATTTTTTTGGCTTAGCAAAGACGTAAGCAGCAAAGATGTAAGCAGCAAATGGTACAATGTGACCCCAAACAACTGGCGTCCTTTTGTACACAGTAGGTATTTCAACCCTTGCGGAGCCGAGGCTGATCGCAGGTAATGGGCAGTGCTCGAGATCAAAGTCACCTGTTCTTGAAAAGGGGCAGCATTTTAAAAACAACGTGTAACACTACCACCCTCCGAACAACAACCACCGCCACAGAGAGGAGCAGAAAAGGCCAAAGAGGGGACACGGTGAATTAACAACACGTGGTCAGGCCGGACAATATTTTATCCCTTTTACAAAAATATTGCACTACGATCCAAGGCCTAGCTGAAAACCAGACAGCATGCACTCGGGAAGCCAAGACCGCTCCAGGAATTTCCTGGATTGCCGCCAAGCCAGCGCAAGCCCAGTGAGACCTTTTTTTTCAAACTCCGCTTAAATATCAATTTCTCTACGTCTTATTTTCTACATTATCAATACACTTTTTATATATAAACGATTTCTATTTGAAGTGTAAAAACCACAAGTGAGTAATGTATTATTTATTTGTCATGGGTAGCAGTGTTGTGCTCCCCAGCTTCACCTAACCGCACTGACCAGCGTAGCGAAGTAGTGGGGGAGGCCCACATCCAGCAGTGGATTGACAAAAGGGTTATGCATGTACTAAGCTAACTACACTTATAATTATACCAGCTAAGGCCCACTGAGCTAGTAGCTCTTTTTCAGAGACGAAATCGCTATATCTCTGCGACCACGAACCACCCATGAATGAAACTCTTACCACTTGAAAGGGCGGGGCATAGAGTTTCAAATGATTACCGATAGCTGCCTCTCCCAGCGCACAAACAGCCCCTAGCCTCAGTCATTCGCAAGACACACTGCCTCAACGTTGGATAGGTCGCACGGGACCCCAAGACTTGGCGCTACACTCTTGGCCCCCAAGATCACCCCCCAGACATCACACCCTGCGACTTTTTCTCGTGGGGATACGTCAAAGACCGGTGTTTTTGTGCCACCATTAGCAAATAATCTGGATGACCTCAAAAACAGAATCACGGCAGCGGTGACTTCAGTGGAAGAAAACACTTTGAGAGGCGTTTGGGATGAATTCAACTATTGTCTCGATGTTGTCCGTACAGCAGGTGGAGGGCACATAGAGCATTTATAAAATGGTTAGTAAAACTTGATAACTCATTAAACCGTTTGTAACTTTTTGTGTAATTATAACATATTGCCATCGTGAAATATACTGCTTTGAAATTGGATCCATCTTTATCAAACACTCTGTATATAGACCGTTACTCACTCCACAAATAATGATTATATGCCAATGTTAAAATACAGGTTAATTAACGTGGGTCCCAGCAGTGTCACCTATAATTCCGTGTTCAGTAAATAAAACCCTAAGGCACAGTTCAGTCACTCGCGAAGATTTGTAAGGGCACGGATGCATTCACGAGGGGTACTGGTTGAGGCATGGAGAGAGATCATCACAAATACTGCATTGTGGCTGCAGAAAAAACAAGCAATTTCCTTTGACATTCTTAGTCATGAAGGCAAGAGAGGCATGAGGGCTATATAATTGCTATCTTAAAGGTCGAGAGCTTCATTTGCGTTGAGTGATGCGTGCCTTGCAGTTATGGTAATTGAAAAAAAGTGCAGGATGTGTGTAATTAGTGACCTGAAACTAAAAGCCATCCGCAGATGAAGATTAGAAATGGCCATACCTCGACAAACTGGGATTTGTGAAAATACTAATGATCATATTTTTCAAATATATGTGACTGTAAATCATATTAAAATGCAATTATACAGACACAGACAATCACATAAAATTCACCTACATCAAAATCTACAACTAAATCATTTATGTTCTACCTATTATTACTTTTTGTAGCTCTTTCCTCGCAATTACATTTCAAACATGCTATCAGTCGCAAATCCTGGGACAATTGCTAACAGTGCACCACCGTGTGGATGAGACTACTCCGAGTAAAACGATATCAGATAACTACTTCTGAATACCCTTCAAGAGCACTCTTTATCCACACTAAAGGTTACACACTTTAAACGCACTGAGTTCGTGTTGCATGTCAATTAAACAGATTTTTTTTCTCATCCCACAGCTGGCATAAGCTGAACCAACATTTGACGTGACAAGGTTTTTTTTCTGCAGTAAATTGGTGACCAGACCGAGACCATCTAGTAATGACACTTGAGAACTCGGTTCAATCACAGGCTTGGTTTCAAACCCAGAATCTCAGTAGTGGCAGCTCAATGCTCTGACGTCGGTTTTTTAAACCTCTGGGTCACCCATCCACTCTAGTCACTTCTTACCCGTGTTAGTTCTTCGTAATTTTATCACCTAACAATCTATTATCGAGTGTCGAGAAGATAAAAACGAAATGTGCTTATATTCAATCAAGGAAAAATACACATACGTGTATACATTGCAGCACAGAGGAAAGAAACTGTGCATAAACTTTGACTTAAAACTTTCGTGACTGCAGGAATTCATAGTCTTTGGTTCTTTCGGTAAAGTCACGTAGATAGAGAAAATTTTCTTTTTTTAAATAAAATACAATTTTAAATAAAAAACATTTATATTTAATTTTATTTAATAATCAAAAAAATTATATCTCCGTGACTTTACCGAAAGAACCAAAGAATATGAACCTTAAGTTTTCATAAAATGTAAAACTAAACATGAACTAGGTCACGTTTAAAACACGTGAAGGCATCCACCAAATCCTGATTACATGATGTACCGATTATCCACGATCTTCACAATTATTCAGGGTACATACGAAATATTTTATTCGCTCATTAATTAATGTACGTTTTTCTACAGCAATGCCACACATTGACATTTTAACATAGTGCGTTGAACTTCCTTCGCATTGCACGTAACCAACCGCGCTAATCAGAGGTGCGGAGTACAGGGTCAGTACAGGGGTAAGCCAGAAAATATACGAAATGCAATGCAGCTGTCCATTACGTGCAACCACGCATCGATTCAGCAATTAAACTGATCACGCTCATGGTAAATGTATCAAAACGTGGGTGCGATTGTTGACCATGTTTTGATTGATACATGTTGTTTGTGATAATCTGTCCATGTGGCCCCTGCAGCCAGTGGACGTGCTGCTGACCCACCGCCGATACTTATCTTATCTTAAAGGAATTTATACAGCACCTTAACCCAGGCACTTTACAAATAATTAACGATGGCACACATGAATGTAATGGTGGAGATGAGGTGAATGAAATCTATGAGAGGAAGAAATGGGGGCAAATCTGTGATGCGTGAATTCGGTGAAAGTGAATTGATGACGGTAAATGATGATGATGAATGGATTGAATGAATGGGGAATGAGTGAAGGCCACATAATGAGAATATGAAGAGGGAACAGTGAGGGTGGTGGTTATGAGGGGGAGATTAAGGGGTCGTGGGGTTAACTAGTGAAAATAAGTGAGTTTTGAGTGAAGAGCGGAAACTCATGAGCCGCGGTGACTGTTTAACGTGGAGGGGGAAGTTTGTTCCAGTGAAGGAGACAAGATGGGAAAAAGAGCGACAACGTGGATTGAGTGCAAGGAGGAGGAGGAGGAACAGAGAGAGAGAGAGAGAGCAAACATTGAGAACGTAGAGGGTGAGAAGGCACGTAGACAGATACAAGAGTAACAAGATATAGTGGGGCAAGACCATGAAGGGATTTGTAGATCAGGGTGAGGACATCTGTGAAAAATGGCTTCATAGCTCATTGGATTCCTCCTGAACAATAAGGAAGTTTTTTTAATTCGATCGCAAAACCAAACCATGACAATCCATCGAATCGCGGGGAGGGAGGGGGGGAATGACCCCCACGACCCACACGGCTGGGAGAGGCCCTCATCCAACAGTAGATTTACAAAATTCCTGTTCATCCGCTGATACACCTTTCTGCCTTCTTGCAACAAAGCCTTAGAGATTTTCTGTAAACTGCAGAATCCCCCTCGCACACAACCCAAAGACACAGCCGACGGGACCTGTGAAGATAGCGCTGAATACCCTCAGGTGTTGGGGTTTAAACACGAGGGTGCAACAGGATAATCCCCACGTGTCCCTTGCCTGGGAGATAACATCAAGCGCCACTTCCCTGGCCACGGTGTTGATGGTGCGGTGCTCTGGAAGGCCAGAGCATGCACCTACAAAAACACGCAGCTTGTACCAACATCAGCATCCCACTACTATACACTCAGCTACATAGCCATTCCTTCCATGCACACCACACAGGGGCCCTTTCAGGGTAAGGCGTGTCTAGGGAAATAATAAGAAAGTCGTAAAGCTGTGGCTGGTGATATGACTTAAGAGGGAGGAGTTGCATGAAAATAAGCTAAATCTACTTTTTTAATTTGCCAATGTGCAAACGAAAATCGTGTTCGCCATTTTGCTTATATTTGTTTATGCTTGTCAAACATGGTAATAACAACAAAAACAATGCTCAACTCCCTCCTGCAGACTTTGCACCAATCAGAAATACAATTGGTTCCACGACCACAAGTCAGCAGCCACGACGTGCATGTGATGAATTCTGGTTTGGCTCTCGCTGTTTTAGTTTGGTCACACATTCTTCAGAATGGCGTTTAAAGACGTTTCTGTCAACACTTTTGCAAATTATCATAATGCGACCACCCAAAATACAATTTAAATGGTACTTAACACATGTTTTTTCATACATGGTGTAAAAATGTTGACCATAAGTGATCATGAAACATGTGCAGTAAATATTGGAAATTTCATAAACTGGTTGACATATCAATTTACTTTTTTTTAAAACACAACTCCTAACAGCAATGACAACCATAAAACAATGCCAATAGGAAATCAAACACTTAATATTTCATAAGCAAACCAATACCTTCCGAGTGCAGCATTGTTATTAAATGAATGTCATTTGTTATGAACTACAACCATTGAAAATACGTAAACGCAAACATAACTTTGAAAGCAGAATAATGTAACCATTATGTTGAAGCCCAAAAACAGAAGGCAAGAATGCATGCATGGATCTGATTTATCAAACCAAATATATAGAACTTCAACTTTTTACGATCTCAACTTTCCAGACCGGCTCTGAAGGACGGGCACTGAGATGCAGAGGGAAGTTTGTAAATTATCGTTGCCCTCAGCCATCTTGCAGAGCCCCCTGCAGGTCACAATTAAGGTTCACACACTGCGCCTGTGAACATTTCATAGCCCCAATAAAAAAAAAGAAAGTACGCACACAAACAATTAAAGTCATGTTTCTTTGGCAGAAAAATGTAACAAAATCTACTCCTTGTAAGCAGCATAATCAAACGTAACTCCTCATTCACACAATAACCACATTCGACAGTGGAGGTATGGCTTGGCTGAGCCGCCATACAAGGCTGGGCATTGTGTGGGACCTGTTTAAAAAAAAATACATTTTACCACCAAGCCAGCAGCGCCTGTAGTTTTTGGGAGGTCGGAAACAACCATCACAATAAGACGGACGCTAAGGGCCCACGGTGTAAGCAGAACACTGCACAATGCGGGTAAAAAAAATAACAAGCTATGATTAAAACATGTTTCACCAATAATTATTGTAATACCACTCCCGCAGTCATGTGGTGCAAGGTCTTGTACAACAAACCCACAAATTTATGAAAACGTTATCAACTTAACGGTTCCTCCCAGAAAACAACTGACAATATACAATACACCATTGTACTGCATGTATTGTTAGTCGCCGTAATTGTTGTGCAATATGTATATTGTTCAAATAATGTGCAGCTATTTAAAGCGCACGAGTACCTGCCTTTAGGAAAATATATGCCCTTTAAAAAAACACACAGCAACGTGTATATTCAATTAAAGGGTCATGGCATTATGCGAAGGGGCGGCATACCTTCTGGATGGCTTGCTTATGGAATTCTCGCTTCTTCTCCTCCTGTTTTCTGGCCAAGAGGGAGGCCAGTCGCCTCTCCTCTTCCTGCAGACCACACGAGGTGCGCAAAACACGTTGCACTGTTATTCGTCACCGTTTAATAGGGCAACATTTTAAGTTACACGCGACGTAACGTCTCTTTTTCACCCCATTTAAAACTAAAATAATCGTCGTCAAAACCTTCTAATTGCATTGATGCCATGCAATATGAACCAGACAGAAACTTACAGCATAAAATGTACGCGACTGATTTCGTATTGGCGTACACGGCCTCTACCCAAAACATTCTTACGGATTATTTCAGTTCAAATTGTTGATCTCTACTTTGAAAAGGCCACTGACAAAAATGCGACATTTTTGATATGTTTTAGCACTTGGGCCGTGTTTGCTAATGAGGGTGGTGAAGTATTTTCAGGTCGTGTGATAAGTAAAAGTATCAAATTGACAAAGCAACAGCGTATTATGCACAGAGAGAATCTGTGCCGTCACATTAGCCTGATCTGTTTTGAAATTACACATCTTATTTTATGATGCTGTATTGGTAGTGGTGCACAAGCACAATTAACAAAACGAACTCACATGCTATAAATAGCGAGAGTTCCATAAACGAGCCATTAATATGCGAGGAAAAAGGAGCATTGCCCAAAACTTCACGCATTACATATATTTTTTAAGGCAGTTCGTGTTCAGATTTTTTGGTTTTAAATTACAAAAGATACTTAATTCTTAAAACTGAAGAAATCTGTTTTGGTGACTTAACGATTCTTAGAAAACTCGTCAGTGCCTGCTGCGTGAAAGGTAAAAGGAGAGTCCGCGAGCGATCGCTGCTATCGCTCAGATAAAATGTGAGTTTGCGTGCATCGCCATCGGGCCTCGGTAAAGGCACTCGGGCAGATGACGAGATGTGGATCATCAGTAAAGGAATCCTGATGGTCCACAGTTGGACAGAAGCGATTGTCATGGCCTTTTAAGCACACTCAATAAAGAGGCCATTAGTACAGCATGAAGATTTCAAGATTGCACCTTAAAACTTCTGTAAACTATCAACCGCTCCAATTGTCATGTCTACGAGAAGCGTTGTTCTCACAGTAGCAATGATGAAAACGGGGGCATTGAGTTTCGGTACATTAAGACATTCGGTCTCCTTAAACTTCCTGACAGTTCAACTTCACAGGTCTTGTGACGTTAAACATTTTTTTATCGCGCACCAACGAGACGAGCAGGCCAATTGTGGTCACAGAACCTCTTCAAAATTGAAAATTCACGCGTGTCTTTCGACAATGGCAAATCAACTGATCACACCGATAGATGTCATGCCCGAATATAAAAAAAGCTATGAAAAGCATGGGATCATTTTATCAGGCTACATATAATGTACCCTTTACAAAGCCCTGTTTATACAAGTGCCCTGAGAATAAAAGCCAAGTGAGGTTTAAGCAGTGTAAATTACGGATAATGACATGTTGGGTGGCTGCCTCCTTTAGCAAGGGACAGTGGAGTCTTGGAGTCCAGGAACAGGTAATCATTCATCAGCTTTATTATCCTCTTAGAATCACGCAGTATAAATTCCCTCCCTTTGTATAAACATTCCTAGAATTTGATACAATGTCAGCAACAAACCGACCACCCCCTCCATGTTTTATGTGTGCCTTAAAGTTCTCTAAATAGCCGTACAAAGAACATGTTTTTGTATCCACCCCTTGGCCAGACAATTACAGATCTCAGCAGACAATGCGGATCAACAGTGACGGTAAAGAATACAAATTTTTTGGCCATCCTGGGAGAACTCCAACAAGTTTTGCGAGACGATGCAAGTACAGTGTTCTCCATAAAGCACGTGAGCAATTCAACAGTGCTCGCCTACATTGCTACGAACTTACCCTTTATAGGTTTGTTATAGTTCTAAAATACTTTCGACGTCACAATTCATCATCATCATCAACGAGTTTTAATCCTCTGATAAAGGAAGGCCTCTCAATGCCTATGTAACACCAGTCGATGGTACAATTGTAGAGGGCGGCTTCTCAATACTGATGCCACTGACCAGGATCCCGTGAAGGTACAATGCATCTTCATTCCCACATGTATCCTGACGTTGTCACTGTTCTCACTTCATCTTGCTCATTCCAAATAATTACTCGTTGTACCAACGGGCATACCTTCTGGAAACATTTCCCGTCCACTCCCACCTTGGAGTGACGATGATGTCTAATGTTTGTTTGTTCCGACTGTTAAACCTGTTGGTTCATACAATTTATAGCTTGCCTTTGTTACAATGAGTCAAATCTGTTTGAGTTAACCTTCGAGAAACAAACCCTTGCTCATGTCCACAATGGCAAAGCTAGTGATTGAATAGTCCTCGAAGTAATTTTATTTTTTAAATCGCAACTACCGGTTAAAACAAGTCACCATTCATGCCGGCACGACACACATTGCGTCTCCCGACTGCGATAATTAGGTTGGCGCAAAGTGTGGCTTGAAAATAATTCACAGCCAATGGCGAATAACCAATAGCCACGCACGCACAGTGCCAAAAGTGTTCGTAAATTGGCCATCTCAACTCCAGCTGCTTGGGGCACCGGCGTCGCGCCCCTTGCATCGGCCACACCACCTACCCGTCCCGCACGGGACACACGAAACAGAACGGCAGCAACCGTTTGTTGGCTTCTTTGTACGACTCCACATTGGAGTGTGGACGAATGGGAACCCCTTAGTCGAAGATGCAGGGAATATTAACGCAGCTGCCAAAAAAACTAAAATGACACATTGTTGAAATACCTCCGGGACGTACGTAAACTTGGGTCACCTCGCCGCCGCACGAGTGAAATTAAGTAAGGAGTTGTGTGCAATGAAGTTGGCAAAGCCGCGATATTTTCATTTCCAACCAGAGAACCGGCTCATTTCATAGTAAACTCAAAGCTGACATTTACGCTAATGTTAGGGCTATCAAATTTAAGCTTGTGACATAACACTTCAGTTATATTTGCCATCAAAGTGCGAGCACATTATTTTAACCCTAAAGCACCCAACTTAAAAAGAGGACGATTGTGTTACAGTCCGTACGTGAAGAAACACGAGTATGTGCACTGCACGCACTGGCTGGTGAACACCGCTCGCCACTCAAGCCATTTCCCAAACAGGGGACACTTTGATTTTCGATTTAAAGCTTTCGTGACTGCAGGGATTCATCTTCTTGGTTCTTTCGGTCAAGTCACGTATTTTGTTTCTATTTTATTTATTTTATTTTATCATATTTAGTTTTTATTATTTTATTATTTCCCTTCTACGTGACTTTACCGAAAGAACCAAACAGTGGACACTGTGGTTTCCACAGCCACCGGCGTATATTCATACGGGGCCACGAGCAAAGCGCGCCATGTGCCGTGAAGCAGCCACGCAAGGTCGTGCGGCATCATTTGCAAAAAATAGCTCACCGCGTGCCGTGTCATCGCGCAAAACCTCATTTTATTATTACAATAGAAAATGTAGATTTTTTATCAACGGTCTCTCAAGTTCGCCGCTGTTTTGGGGCTGCAGACACCGGTGATGAAGCAATCACTTTGGGAGCTGCGGTTTCATGAGAACCGATACCTAATTTGTAATCCAACTTTCTACGGCTCTCAGTTTCATGCGCCGATGCCTATCCAAACAGGGGATTTAATCCTAATAAGACTCCACCGCAAGAGTTCACGCAAGCGACCTGGAAAGATTTACAGCAGCCTATCCGAATGCACCGTTTTTCCCCTTTTTGGCCCAGGACCAACAGACACTGAGGCTCGATTAACAGGCTCATCCATGAAGCTGCAACGCAATGCCGCCTCACATCCACATTACACGCTCACTCATGAGAAACGGAATTCTTCAAAGGACTTCTTTTTTTCTCGAGAGTTCATACAAGTTGAAAAGACCAACTTTCCATATTCCGAATGGCTCTATTCTATACGTTTATAGTAACATTACAAATATTACTCTTGCATCGTGCAATTTTGCAGCAAGATAATTTAATGTCCTTTTTACATGCTATAAGTGTGCTGTTTCATACTTTTAAGATGTTCATTATACATGATTAAATGTGTGTATATAAATTGTGCATCAGTTGCTCATTGAACTGCCCACAACATTCAATATTTTTTCAAGTAATACCTAGGACACCAAATAATAGATGAAAAAAAAACGTGGCTTGCCACTCAAATGACCATGGGTTATTGCTCGTCTCTTATAAATAACCCTTATTCAGCGGTGCAAAAAAAAATCCACATTTCTATTACAGGGGGAAGTCTGTCCATAACAAGAACCAGTGCGTAGCTTCCGATAAAGCAGTACTCAATAACCCACAGGAATGAGGCACTAAATCAACACCCGGTCGGGATTTGAACTCGCAACCTCACGTCCCCGGCCGGATCCTATACGCACACACACACACGAGAGTTATTTATAATTTGACAATTTAATCCGGAGCTACAACGACGCCTTGTGACTGCGGTTGTGCCTCCAGCGTTCGCACGCCGTGCTGATTTCACTGCGGTTGCCCTTGCACGTGTGCCCACCGTGACGCGTTTCATGTCCAGCTGCCTCAGCTGCCCCATGTGGCGCAGCGCCGTCTGTCGGTAGCATGCTTCCTGTGCCAGCGGATTCCCATCCAACGCAACCTCGCACAGCGACGGCGCCTCTCTCAGGCACACTATCCCGTCGAAGCTGAGCGTTCGCACACAAGACAGAAACACACACGACACAGACGCACACGCGCACACGATGTTGAACGAATGCATGCATATTCACACATACAAAGGCACGGATAAAAACACACACAAGTGCATAGAAACAATATGTACGTATTGTAGATATATGTGAACGTATCTACACGCACGACTGCACGTAAATGTCACTTTTTAAATGCACAACCCATTCTTTTTTTCACATTCCATTTTTTATGAAGCTTTTTTAAGTCACATCTGCTATGAATATTTGAAATGCCACATGACGCGAGTTCAGCGGCGGGTTATGTTGATTTTCCAATATGGGCAGATTGTGAGGCTCAGATTAGAGCAAGGCCTGTTGTTTCACCGTGGAATTCAAATAGTGTCCAAGTGCTGGGCGGTGATTTTCTTTTTGTTTGAAATTGTTTTGCAGGAGGTTTGTTTGAACAACTTACACAAAAACTCGAAACGCAAAACAAAGGAAAAAAGCTCAAAAATAATACAACGCCACATAGAAGCCAATATTGTGTGCTCTGACTATAATGGTATCGGGCGCTGAGCTAAAACTTCTGAATGTAAACACATTGATAAGTGATAACCACACGTGAGTTGCAATCAGCCGGACAGCTGTCAAGGAATTCATAGACATATTTGCTTTGCTTTTTTTTCACCCTAAGATTAAGTGGTGGCATGAACACGCATAGACTTCTTTTTTTAACCAATGAAAAAAAATACTTCTACAACCGCAGAACCCGAGGTGTCACCACCACTTTAAAGGAAAACAAGCAGACACAATGACACGCCAAACAGGTGACAACCGTTGAACAAAATCTGGAGCAGAAATGGCATCGAGTAGAAAACAATTTGCTCAGTGAGACCAGGGCTCGTATAGCCATGAGGTGGTGGAGTATCAACAAAATAAACTATTAAAACTAAAACATTTTTTTTTTTTACCAGGTAAGGCACACGAAGCTATATCGCTCTTTTTCAGAAGCGACCTGGCAACAAACGATAGCCCAACAAAAGTGGCTTACCTTGTGGAAATGTATAGTAGCCAAATATTCTAAATGCATGTTTATAAATGTGGAGGGGAAAAAAACGGAGCACCCGGAGAAAAATCCACGCGATCACGGGGAGAGCGAGAACGTACAAACTCCACATATACAGGCTTCGTCAGGATCGGGATCGAACCCACGACATACCAGGCGAGGGAGTTAACATCTTGCCACTGCGGCGAAGCACATGGAAGGCACATGGAGACACGGGAACACTTGTGACTTCACAAAAATGGAACCAAATGTACCATGTTTATGAGGTATAAACATTCCACTTTAAACACCAGACAATAAATGTAAGTAGATCTCAAGTCCTCTTTCTTCTTGGTTGAGGGAGACATTCACACACAAAAAAAAACCCCCCACAGAAGATAGCTCATAACAGTGAGTGGCAAGAGAGACTCTGGGTCACTGATAAGCGATGACCGGGGCACGGGGTATCATCATCTCAAGGAGGAGTGTGACGTGACCAACGAGTGTGCAGGTGCGCTGGGTGGCTCACGTGATCAGATTGTGTGCACACTGATGTCAACATGAATGCAGCCTGGTGCATTAAACCTCCACACGTGTGGTCTTTAATCACCCGTGCTCTTCTTTGACCTCGGCCAAAACGCAGGTGCACAGTTTAACGTTGCACATATTACTGGTGGAATACTGTTTACAAGAAACAAAATGACGCCATTCATCATTTACATTTACAAGGAACCGCTCCACGTTACAAGTTACACTCCATTAAGCGTTTTCTGCCCATACCAGAACATTAGCCGCTCGTATTTGTTTTATGACCTGTGACTATGCACACTATACATACCATAATATAATGCCTCAGAAGTCTGATTGTGAACAATTCAAAGAATGCCGTACGAAGCACTCAAGATAAAAATGCAGAAGGGTAAGTGGAGACCAACCGAATGGGCAAGGGGCCGACTGGGAGGCTCGTGCAGAGACTTAACTGTACTGTAAATATTGATGTCTACGGGTTCAAGTTCAAGTAAGCAGCAGTCGGGAAAGGTATGCGCGAGTCACAAAAGTATTTTCCCACATGCTTTCATTGTATGCCTGTCATAGCGGTCATTTTTCATAACAAAAGTAAAATAATAAACGCCACATATCTCAGCAGAATCCCGTTATGTTGCCACCTGAACCACGGCACCATGTCGTCCAGTGCTCGCTGAGGTCCATTGGCTTCCGGTTGCCGAACGAATACATGATGAGGTTGCACTCATGACACGCAAAGTGCTTGCCACAAATGAACCACGACACCTTGCTGATCTCATCAAGGAGGTTCAACTATCACGCAAACTCCACTCATCCTCGCAGCGGCTTTTGGCTAACCATCAAACAAAGACGGTCTCTGCATCGCGCGCTCTCAGATGCGCTTCTGCGGCCGTCTGGAACGCTCTTTTCTTCCGATATTAGGAAGCCACTGGAGCTATGCATTTTTAAATCTAGATTGAAACGCTCATTTCTTAAGAACTGCTTTTTGGGTTAGTGTATCGTCCTTCCCCTCTCAAATTAGCGCGGTTGGCTGTTCATAGTGAGAAAGAGGTTCAACATACAAACATATATATATAGCACAATGCGTTGTCCATCATATGGACCCCTTTGTCGGTTTCCTGCCAATGCTGTGCAAGATGAAGTGAAAGCCACTACTTCCAGATGTCAGTGGCTATAAGCTTAGCTCGGCAACATCACTTCAATAGTGTCTCTTGGTACATGGGAGCCTCTGCTGAAGTGTACGCCAGAGAACACGTGACAATATTTGTACACTCGGTGCTACGGGTCATGCCTGAACGACCAAACAAATAAATCAATAAGTAAAATTGTCACTGGAGTGTCAAGACCAAAAAAGTGACTCGTGTGAATAAAAACATTCGTAGAAGATGTAAACTACAATAAAAAAAATTACATTATGTGAGAAATCATAAGTTAAAATACGATAAGGTAGAGAAAAACAAGTCTAACGATGAAAACGTATCACCAAAAAAGGCTGAAACCAATAACAAATTAAAGAATTCAAAAACTTAAGTTAACAATATGGGCATTTGCTGGATTCATACAATACAACAAACGTCCAGCTAGATGACGGTAAAATGACAGCGTTGGACATGGATGAACGTGGAGGTCAAAAGTTACGGGTCGGTGCTGTAGTCAATGAGCACGTCTGATAATAAAATTGGGGACACGGTGAAAAGTCAAAGCAAAACCTTCTCTACAGGTGACCCTATCACATCCAAATCCCTACATTTAAAATGTTTCATTCCCAGCACACCTGACACGTACGAGCACAACCTTTGGTTTTACTGCAAAGAAACATGCATGCGCGTTTTTAAACCTCTAAATATTGCTTGTGCTCATCTGTGATGCTTGGTATTCTTAAATTAAAAAAAATTCAACTTTTACAACATGTCAGCCTTTTTGGAAATTTGCTCCCCAGCCCCTTTCCTGCCACAATGAGTCCCAGCAGTTCCAGCAAGAAATTAGTAGCAGACACTTAGATGATGATCACGCAAGAGGGACAAAGACAGCGTGCTCAGGAAGGACAAAACAGTGAAGTCCCTTCAGCAAGTTCGCCTCCCTGCAAACGGACAGATCGACCATTTATGCAAAAGTCATGAGCTGTATTTTTTTTAGTTCTTAAGCTTGTGAGCAAAATGCATATTTTTTGGAAAAACCGTACAATTCTTGTCGAATTGGCAGCTACAATTTTTTGCATGGTAATGTCAGCAAACATATTATAATTTGTTTACAAAACTACAGGCTATCGCACTGCCTACGTGCAGCTCTTAAATTCCACGTGCACCTCAATGTTTCCTCCATTATACACTGTGTAAAAAAAACATTTATTATTTCCTGGATAGTAAGTGTTATTTTCCAATTGCTTATGCCTCAAAAGTAGAGAAAATGGCTATTATTCCCCACAAACTATGCTTTTGTGACCAGGACAGTATTCTGAAACTTACCTATTTTCATTGAGAAAACGTGGTGTCCATTTGTGTCATTCCTTCACATAAAGTCCTGGTCACAAAAGCAAAGTTTGTGAGGAATAAAAGCCATTTTCTATACTTGAGGCATAAGCAATTAGGAAATAACACTTACTACCCAGAAACAAAAAGCGTGTTACATAGTGAATTATCAGCTTGAATCCATAGATATTGATTGTCAATATAGTGGCAAGGAGAATCTTTATAAAAATTCTAAATATGAAGAAGCGTAAACACATCATGGGGACCTCCTTTGCTAGTACCAAAATATGATAATAGGTTTTCCCCTTTTTTTCTGGCAAAAAAACAGGTGTTAAGATGTTAAAACACCAAACTGAAACCTTTTACAAGGAATCATGTCAGCATTAACCACAATGCTTGTGGTTAGTTCACGTAAACACGTTATCAAACTTGTTTTAAACTACAATGTTCAATTGCCCAGAATGTTGAACACAAGAGACCAAGCCAATAAGTAAAAAAAAAACTACTGTGCACTTTGTGACCAAATCACAGTAAATGCACCTGATCGTACCAGATCAGGGAAGCTAAGCAGGTATTTAATTTTAGCTAGTACTCGGATGGGAGACCAACCAGAGCGTGCCAGGTATTGTAGACACGGGGCTGTTGAAGTGTGGCCAAGTGATGGCAGTATTGAGTGTCATCGCTCATATGAATGGATAACTTTCTCCAGGGTCTGACGATTTTCCTCAAACATGCCAAACATTCACGAATGGTATTGACTAATAATGTCAATGCAGGACCCTCAAGTGTAAGAGTCTTGACACACAGCGACGCATTCCTGGGTAATAAATTGGTACTATTATTACTGCAGAGCAGTAATTCGTTTGATTAATGCATTTGTAGTGAGTCCAACTGAGTTGCAGACGTTGTCTTCGGAGAAACACGTTTATTAACCATTTGCACAACATACTCCAGGCTATTCACACAACATACTCTCGGTTGGTGACCACCCAACTAACTACGCTACGGCGGAACTAGACACGGTTCCACTATCCTGGTCCGGACCACAAGCTGGGTCCCGGACCGCGTGGCTGGAGGCTTCTTCAAGCTTGACATGGATCTCCTGCCTCCCCAACAGTAAGAACCCCGAGCCCCTCACACAGGGCCCCCCTTATATCGGGCCAGGCTGGGGCTGGCTCCGCCTCTCGCCCCGCCCACCTTTTAGATCTCTCTCGCCCCCTTGCCCAAAGGCTCTCGAAAGTTCTTCCCGGACCATGTGACCACCCATTGGCCCTCTGCACCGGTGGTCCCCCTCCAGTATCATCCGGTCACATGTCCCCAGGTCAGCCAGAGTATCATGCCCCCTAAGTAACCCCTGCTGGCTGACACTCTCTCGCTCTCTCAACGGGAGCCCGCACCGCACGCTGTGCGTGGTGTCACCGCGCTAAACCAGCGCTCACCCAAGCCCCCACTAGGGCTGGTACTACACCCCGTGTCCGGAGTGTGCACACAACAGTAGACATCCCGCCATGGCCTCGCAGGCCCGGCACACCACACAGTGACATTCCCAGTCACTACACATTTATAGTTATTTAACATCTATGTCATAAAAAAACTCCCGACAGGACATATCTGTTTAATGTAGCTGACCGAAACACTCTAATCACAGTACGGAACTGTAATTATAAAGTGCCCTTTCATAAAATGTCAATGTCACCTTTAAATAAGATTGACATTTTGCTCTACAATTTAAGATTGCTGCTTAGATTTCAGAAACACGTATGCAACAACACATATGACAGTACTCCATTTTGAGATATTAGAGAATGCTTTTAAATATACGCACTAATCTGTAATTGTACGATATTTTTGATATCGTAGCCCCACACATTCATGCACCTATATTCCAACATTAGTTGGGGCTTATTGCGTTATCTTGTGCTTGATAAGGTTTCTATTGCCCCTAGTACTCTAATTGGATGGGGATTGAGCGCAGTGGTTAGCGCACTGCGCTATCAACCTGGTGACCCGAGTTCGATTCCCAGCCGCAGGCAGCTAACAGCAGTGGGGAGTAATATCTGAACCAGTCCTGAAGCCCAATTTCACTCACCCTTAATTCCCAGTTTTGCAAAGTATTGCCAACAGACCACCAATACGGAATGTGGCTTACATACTGTGAATTGTACGTACATTTCATGTTAGAGAAGGGTTGTGTAGTAAATATATGATGCCACGTGTTATAATAAGTGTTTAACAAATCATGTAATAGCTCTTTTCTCATATTATAATTGAGAAGGAAAAGCTATGTACGGACTATATCATAAGGACAGTACATGAGTCCCATTTATAATCACGATGGTCATAAAACTCTACCCACTAGCTTGTTGGCAAGTTACCAACATAGCCATTACTGTATCAGCTCTATTCTATTTCATTATAAATATATCAAATCTGTGGGCTGCTTTGAAAGCAAAAAAAATGTCCGCACTCCCACAATTGACTCAGTGGAAGCTGCATTGGGCCTCCATTTCTCTGCACACTCACCGTACGGAGATAAAACATCACAAATCCTGACTTTCATTTATATCCTATTTCTACAAATGTAACTTCCAACTGTTGGAGTCTGATAGTACTCCCAGAGAATATGTGAAACTTTGTGATGCTCTGACAATGGTGGCTTTTTTAAATGTGTATCACATTTCAAGATAATTTTTGCATTAATAAATCGTAGCTTTACAAAATATATCAAGAGTTACAGTTTCTAGACATGGTTCGTGAGCATTTATACATCATTAATGTGCAACCAGATATAATTCCAGTAATATATATCATTCCTGCTAATTTTTTAAACATATATATAAAATGAACATATACTTGTATGTCATAGGCGACACTTAAACGTAATCTTCTGAAGACTTACTTTGCAATGTTGTTGTAGCTAAGAAAGAGACGCTGCAGAGAGGGCAGACAGTCCACCTCCTTCTGTGGGTACACACACACAGCACACAAAACAGCAGAGAAATGGGTAGGTGGAGCAGAGGCAGAGAGTGGGACAAGCACCAAACGAGACAAAGTAATAAAAAAAACGAAGACAGATAACGGAGAGACGATGAGACGTGAAGCGCTACGTGACTCGTGCAGTGGGGATGTGAGAGGCACACCTCTTTCTAGTTATTAGGAACCACGTGTGCTCTGGGGTACGGCTTTCTGCATGCTCGGCATGGCTCGGGGCAATCCCATGCTGCGCCCAGCTAATTCAATAAAGCCCTGGCTCCCAAAGGCCACCACGTGACCAGCTGCTGGTGAAGGTAACTCTCTCCCTACACAGCACCTGCTGACATCAGGCCTTCTGGTGGAGCCATAAACGTCGTGCTCACATCACAACAGGGGCCCCCGACAATGCCAGTGGCATTGGGGGAGAAGCTCACCCTACTTTTATTATTTCCGGTTTACGCGTAATTTAAAGCAACAACCGAAATAGACTCACGGATAGGCGCACGCACACTTCGTTTCACGCCAGAAGAGTAAGGGCATAGCAGGGTGGCCCTGTCCATTCCGTACTCACGTAAACCGCTCTGATAAAAATACCACGCTGCTGAGCACACTGTACAGACGATGTACTCGTTTCGGCTCTTAAATAAGTAATTGTACATAAAAAAAATAGATCGTTAAATAAATAAATGAAAATTAAATACATTTAAAAGGAAAATCATTACGATTATGCCCTTTTAGGATTACAGAAGAGATAAACCGATTTGTACGTTGCATCGCCGCACCCAGGCGTCCGAACGTCAGAAGATCATTTGCTAATCGCCCGCGACAGCCAGACGATGTATTGACTTTTCTAAAAGCAGATGCCGACATCACTTTACCCTATACCTTGGGTCACCCGCACTGTCCCCTCTGGAGGAGAAACATGATATGAACTGAAAAAGTATTTGCTAATGCAGAAGGAAATGAAGAGGAGCTGCATCGAATCGAACATTACAAGGTGACACTTTGCAGATAGGCACGCGTGGGCAATCAGCTCTTATATGAACCAGAGCCGATCTTCTTGGAGTGTTTTTTACATACGTAAGAATTGTGGCTGCATATTACGAGCACGTTGCTTATCGCAGCTTAACTCACGGATTGCATAGCGTACATAAATGCATTACCCGTTGCATTGCTTATGTCTATCATGCATAATTAAATTTTCAATGTTATTACTACGATACAATGCAGGAGCCTGCGGACAATTACGTGACAAAAAAGCAGGATGGCGGAAGATGTTTCAAAGTAATTCCACCGTGGCACTTATTGAGATTGGCATTGCAAAAAACAAGGGGGGGGGGGAAGAAGGTTTTTTTTAAGTATGCATGAAATTAGCATTTCAGTAGGAGCCCAGGCAAAGGAACTAGGACAGAGCGGAGGCCACGCACGCCTAAACTGTTACGACATAATCACATTCTGTTCCTCTCAGAGAAGCGACATATGCTTTTGAAAAACGCACGTTGACATCTTGCATAACAAAGAGCGTAAGAAGGATCTTGCCCTCTAGGGGTTCCCACCAATATGCACTCTTGACACGATGGTGAGGGCCACAACCATGGTCACATCAAGGCCAGCCAGCATAATAGGACATTTGCATTTGCCGGGTGAGTGTTTTTAACAGTTGGTAAAACACGAGGAAACTGATAAGCCATCAAAGGGAGGAGGAAAAAAAATCAAGGCTTCAGCCAGTGATTCTTCTTCATCAGAATACCATGAATTATACATACAGGGCATAATGCAGCTTAATTAATTGCAATGCTTTAAGAAATAATGTCTTGGCATTAAATTAATGGACGTTGAAGAGTATTGTGGAGACTAGGAATTAATAAGTAAAGACAGCGCTATCAATAAAAATGTTAACAAATTCCATTAATTCAAATACTAAAGCAGCACTTGGGAGAAATAAATAACCCTCTGCAAAGACCCACAATGTTAAGCTTGTTTCTCTTGTTACTCTGGAATGGCCTCTTGTCGATGCAGGTCCCAGAAATGTGCCATCATCAAAATAAGACTCTAGCATAATAGAAATGTCTATATGCTGATGAACGGCGTAGGACATGTCAAGTCCAATCTTTTGAACGTGTTACAGAAGAGTTTATTGGTTTGGTCATGTCGTGGGCACAGATGAAAATAAAAATTTGCAGCGAAAAAAATGTACGTCTGCCACTGCAAGTACAACACATGGCAGGACACATGGTATGCACACGAAATCCAAAATCTACATTCTGATCTTTGCTTCATGTTTGTTCTCAGTTTGATGTTCTATGGCAGCTCTTGGGTTTAATAATGGGCAAACAAGATTAAGGTTCAGCAGTACATTAACATGTTCATTAAAAATGTGCATGTCAGATATTGACACTTTATGTTACTCTCATGCCAGCCCCAAAAACGTATCTATTTCATCAATATCATAATGATGCATGCAATGGTCATCACCAAGAGGTCATAACATCCTTTAATATGTCTGTATCATGTGCACGTGCACAGACCTTAGTCAATCCACTGCTGGGTGAGCGTGTTCACATGCCAAATGGGTCAATTTACTGCTCGATGTGAGTCTTCCCACACTGTGAAGGTCATGGAGGTTACTTGGCCATTTTTCACTAAGCTGGTCAGTGGTGCAGTTTGGCGAAAGCAGAAAGTGGAGATTTGGGAGCATGGAAGTACAATACAATGTTGTACTGCACACAACAGAGTGCACACCGTCAGTAGAAATATCCATTTGGATGTATGTCAGATAAAAAAAAAACATAACAGGTAAAATAATGTATGTTGAACTTCTTTCGCACCGTACGTAACCAACCATGCTAAGCGGAGGTGCGGGAGAAGGACAACAAACTAAGTACAAAAAGCAGTTCTACAGAAATTAGCTTTCAATCTAGATTTAAAAGTGCATAGCTCCAGTGAATTCCTAACACTGGACGGCCGCAGAAGCGCATCTGAAAGCGCACGATGCAGTGACAATCGTTATTCAATGGCTTTGTTCAAACTCAAGTAGTCCTGAGCTTGAGGTGGAGTGGGGTCAGGTCAGCCTTACCATGCTGGAGATGTTGTTACGGCGGAGGTTGAGCTCAGCCAGGGAGTGCAGTCCCCGTAGGCTGCCCACGTGCGTTATCTGGTTCCCTGCCAGGTTCAACACTCGCAGCTCCGACAGGTGGCTCAGATTCTCTATTCGCAAAATCTGGGCACAGAATAAACCACGACCATCATCACCAACATTCGTGCTGCTCAAAGAAAGAATACATTTTTTTAAATGCAACTTTTATAAACATCTCTCATATGCCCTCTCGGTCTAAGATATCTAAAGTTCACGATACACTTGCCTGCACTGTCTACACATGGATGATTATTACATTTTTGTAATTCAATGGACAAGGTTCCGAATTGGCATCAACACATGTCAGGCAAAACCAGATTTTAATGACATTTTCACACCTTGGAGACTTTGTTGAATAAGGCACCCATTTTGAATAAATTATATTTGATGAATATTGAATCTAGTGCCAGAAATCACGTCGTTATATTAAATAACTTTGATCTATTTCTTGCAGAGCTTCACAGTGTGGTGACATTCTGGAATCTTGCTCAGACAAACAATCAGTCCACGACATGAAGGGACCACATCCGAGCAGCTGCTGCTCAGCAGTCAGTTTCTTGTACAAGTGTGAAAAAAGACAGGCAGGGCCATGGCTCACATGACATTAAACACACAAAACAGGTGTGCAGGTATGAACACAGTGGCCTTTTTTGGGAGAAAGTCAGTCACAAAGGATGCTGTAGGCATGTGGGGTCTTTTTTTGCTGGCTGTGAGAATGAATGTTGTGGCACTCTGCATGTGTGGCCAGAGGCGAACCACAGGGTTTGTACGGCATGACAAACAGGATTTAAGACACGGAAATTGTAGGTCAGCCACTCTCAATAAACCATGTACAACTCCAACTGCACTGCACTAACGCGTTCTTTGTAATGCAGACAAATGAACGCATTCATAATGGGCTTTTTGTTCAGGTCATTAGCTGACGAAGGCAAAAATACTATACTTTAAAAAATTGCTCAATCACGTAATTTTAAGCCAGCCTGCAGCTAAAATAAATACAAGTTTATGCACATATACAATTACGCATATACTGAATATATCATGTTATGGTTATTGTTGTGTTTATAATTTTCTTAATGGCATCACTAAAACTAAACACTTGTTTATCACTGTAAAACATGACAATGGTCCAATTGGGCCATCTTAACAATAACAAAAAATGCCATGCACGATTTAAAACGCTCAACCAACTGCTTTAATGCACGTGAAATTTACAGCAACACAACTTAGCCATGGCGCCACGTCAGGGCCCATACGTCTGGATCTGGTTCTCGCCTTTGACAGCAACCGCAGAGAGTGAAACATCACCACAGGGTCGAGAAGGGCAAACAGCTCGCTTTCAGCAAAGCACGTAGTGTGAAGACACCACTGGGTGGAGGACAATGCAGTGACAGAGATTGGAAGAAAAAAAAGACAGACGCAGACAAACGCAAAGACAAGAGAGCGATAACATACACAGACTAAGACAGACACACACAGATATGGAAAATGAGAGCAAACCAGAGCATAACAGAGACAGATGCACAGAGGGACAGCCAGTGAGTGGTGTCCCATGCGTGGCCCCATTGCAAGGCGCGTGACTGAAGCAGGTGTCGACAGGGGGTTCAAGCTCAACTCTCCAAGGGTGAAGCGTAAATCACGAGGAATCGTCATCCATGCTAACTGCTCTCCACTCTAGAGCCAGTGTGGTTGCCGTTGCAGTGCGGGCTCTGCAAATATCCCACGGTTGCTACAGTTATTGTTTAGTTGGGAGGAGAAACTGGGCATACATGTGGTCACAATTATAAACATCAATGCAAAGGAGAAAATCTAGAAATAGAGTTTTCTTTTAACAAGATTTACAGTTTTACAGTTGACATTGTAAATGGTAAAAGCTCTTTTAAATGTTTTTATAAACTCCATAAAATATGATTCACGGTGCCCACATGTGTGGTAATAACTGCATAGACCACGACTGTAGCCTGAATTAAAGTGCTTCTTTGAAAGTTTTATTTTGTTACAAAGTTATTTCCTTCAAGCCAAATTATAGCATAGGTTGTTTCAATGCCAACACAATGTCTGATTGTAATTTTTAACAGCACGTGTAGAAATGCCAAAGTGCATTACAAAAAAGGTAATGTATCCAAAAATAGAGCTAATGAAAACAAAACCTCCTTTGGAAGCAGTTGCAAAATCATTTTCCAACTTGTACACCGTACTGTTAAATTGGTTTTGCAAATGTAAAGCTGATATAAAGTTTGTAAATTGATCAGATAAAATCAGTACTCGAACATGCTTAGCAAAGCTGCATTCTTACACCAGCCAATGAGCTTTCTGTCGAAGCACTCAAGTCAACTTTTGCTCAGTGGGAGGTCACTCATTCTCCTCCGATGCCCCCATGGTCTGGAATTCACTTCCGCATGCCATTTGTACTGTCAACTCCCAGCCTCTGAATCAAGTCTTGGTTCAAAACATTACAATTTGCTTTGGCCTATGATGGACTGCCTCTCTGTCAAATAAATATGCCTACATGTTCTTGTCACGTGTCTTTAAATGTGGTCGCATCAACATGCAATATGAATTAAAAGTGTGTTGTATTCTACAAGGCATAGTCTTGCCCATGCGTGGAACTGAGAACGTAATCTCATATCAAAATGCAAGATTAAGTCAAATTGTCATCTTAATTAGCAGTATTGATAGTGCCACGACTGACTCCTGCCTTAGTGTTATCATGGGACACAGGCCTGACTTCGAGTCAGACCACTAGTAGTTTTCCCTCATTGATGTCAAAACAGTTATTATTGGACAGACGAACGACATCAAACACTCCAACATCTGCTCGAGGCTGGCAGGACTTCAATCCGAATGCAGCTCCAATGGAGAGGGACCAAATGTCGAATAGAATAAAACAAAAATATGTGTGGGAGTGAAGGCTGCTCTTTAGTGCATTTCAACTAAAGTAAATTGAACCAACACACCAAATAAATGGTTGCAGCTTTCCTATGTGAAAGGTCATATCGAGTGTATTTACAGTATTCTGTTTTATAGGCTATTACTAACGTACATGATCTATTTTAAAGTGAAGATACGAGGTTTGAAAAAAATAAACAGGTTTGAAAAAATATACAGGTTTAAAAAATGTACAGAGGTTTGAAAAAATAAACACGACAGAGTATATGCCTTTGTGCAGTTCATTAACGTGGGTATATTTTATTTCTATTGATCCAACTAGCCATTGATCTTAAAGTACTATAGAGCAACTATAACTCACCAAGAACACGCCTCTATACGTACATAATGTATGTATTAAAAGGAAAAGGAAAGTAAAATAACATACTGCAGTATTAGGCGTATTATAGACCATACCCTAGCTTCTGCATATCTAAAAAGCATTGTATTCCCATTTCCCGCTGAAAGTTTTATAAAAAACTAAAATGCGCAATCGGTAAATGAACGGTCCCTGCAGATACTCTCTACCATGGAATCATCCCAATTTAGCAAAGCATGAGTCACCGGCTTCCACCACTTTATAGCGGCGATTAAAATGGGCGCAATAAATGTGTCAAACGGAGCATACGCTTCCCTAAATCCGCCGGCATAATCGCCTACTATACAGCATTGAGAGAGATGTGGAGAACACCGTCCGGTAATCCGGAGAGAGAATGGTATGGGATTATCCTTTTATTGTGTGGACCCCCCGCCCAAAATTTTTAACAATGATAGAAGGCATCTTTGAAAGAACTGGGATTAGCATCCACAACCATTCAGAACTGGAATGCCTTGTAGAACCCATTTCTGAAGCTGGTAAAAGTCTCAAATCTAGCCTCTGCATGTGGTCAAAGCTCTAATTAAATGCTTCCCATCGCGATCTGAGGATTGTGACTTATGTGACACACAGACACTGCTCCTGGTAAAGAGGACGCGTCACACGAACCGCTTAATTAAATGACATCTTTGTACAAAGCCACTGGGAAAATCCAGTGTTATTAAGGCAGCAGTAATCTGTATTAGGCTAATGTCTTCAATCATTAAAACATTCCCACCGCATAATTCCCATTTTGGCTGCAAAGAATGAACAGAACTTTCCCATCGATGCCAATGAGAGGGAATATCGTCAGAGTAAATTCAAATGCCCCGTTCCTTAAAGACGTCTGAATGTGAGCCATGCCTGCTGTGTTTTTCCTTTCCCCTCTGTCCACTCACCTGGTTGCCATGCAGGTCTAAGACGTCCAACTTGGTGAGGCTCTCCAAGCTTGTGATCTTTCGGATCCTGAAAGGCAAGCCGGGCACAAGATGATTAAATTAACATGAAAACGACGATGTGCTGTTGTTCAGAAGGGGCCGGCAGGGATAACGTTTTGCAGATCCAAATACTGGAGAACCTATAAACAAAAATGATGTCTGTCTTTACACATCATTTATACAAGTGCATTGAAAGAGTGACATGTGAGAGTTCCTGCATTATGTTCACAGCGCCATGTCAAAACACACGACTGCTGATCCCCCATGATATGATATTAATCCGGTACTATATGTGTGAGCAATATATCCCTAACTTGTTATTAAAGAGACTGGTGTTTAAGCAAGTTTTTTAAGACTCTACTCAGTTATCATTATGAGCAAGTGCTTTTACTTAATACAGGAAAATAAAGTGTCCAGTTCACATGGACAAAGTCTTATAATCATATTAAGATTAACTTGTAACACCGTGCAAGTGCTGTATTTTTTTTACATCTTCAAAAACCATCTGTATTACTACTGCCTTACAACTTTGACTTTGATTGCAGATTAAAACATAAGTGCAATGTCAAATAAGTTGTATTAAAAGATTATTGTGTTTTTTTTTTAGTCAGAAGAGGGCCATTAAAAGGCAATGGCCTTTGGATGATATGCAAGACCCCAAAGCTTTCACATGCTGCCTCCTAGCACGTCAAAACACATCACACGGCTAATTCCCCTGCTCGAGAACAGGAGGCCCACTTATCCTTGTAATTATAAAACTGACTTAAGCTTGTCAACGGCATTATTAATGCATGACCAGCAATGTTGTCTATTCATTTAGACGGCCGGCCACATTCAAAGGGGTAATTTACAATGGCTAGTGTACTTCTCTGTTTGCAATAAAACTACTCAGGCAAAAATACGATTGGGGGGTTGGGGTGGAGGGAGTGGGAATAGTTGTTTTCTCCGATGCATTTATTTCTCAATTAAAATGCCAGGCCATTGAAAGGATGAGGAGGCTAAACGACCGCAGCTCAACATTAAACGGCATACCCAGTATATTTTCTTAAGTCCTCATAAATGTCTGTGCAGAAAAATATGCAGTGACTTGTGGTCTCTTTTATGGACCTTATTTAAAACACCATTTTATTTATTTTATTTTTAATATTTTTTGTTAAGGTCTGGTAAGGATATGATTAAATTAACCCTGTACAATGTTTTGCCAATATTGCACAGACGCCAAATCGTACATTCCACGTTCAGTCCCAGTTGCTCTTCAACTAGGAATGAGCGAGCAGAAAACTCTATAAGCTTTGGAGAGGCCAGCTGTCCCGTCACGTTAAGTCATTACCAACAGACAGTGTGCAGCTGCTTAAACGTGGGCTGAAGCTGGAAACATGCAGGGCCAGTCGCTAAACTGGCCAGTGCTCTCTGACACACCTGCCCCAGGCATGAGCTAAGGATGTAATCTCCAGGATGGATACCCCTGCAGAGCCCATAAAATGTGGTTTATCTCAACATAAAACACCAAGACACAAATATGAATTTACAACCAGCTCGTCTACAAAAAAATTATAAAGATCTTTGGTCGTGTTTGATGTTGCTGCAGTAATTTCTCAATTAAAATGCCAGGTCATTTCAATGACACATATAAGGCAGGCAGACATCAGTTCCATTTAAAAAGCTATGACCATGAGCTTGAGATTCAACCCACCACAAACGATACAATCTTATATACAGTCTCTAGGCTCTGAACCCTATTATTATAATCTTAATACACTCCAGTACAGTATTGATACTTAACTGTTAAATGAAGACAGCCCCAAAAATATATCTTACCATACAGACATTCCGAGACTGTTCTGTCCTATCCAACATCAGTTTGAAACTTTCTTTTAATTATACTGAGAAGCTCCATCATAAATCTCTAAGTGAGGCTACCGCATTGATGTAAACCATATGGGAGTGACATCACACTGCTGTCACGAGGGTGCCGTAACGATCAGCTTGATGGTAACTTTAAAGTTTCCTTTTTATTAAGAACCCTTCAACTCTACATCAGACAGTGAATGACTCTGAGCCGAGTCACGTATCTGAAAACTCATTTCTTTAGAACTGCTTTTTGTGTCTAATCTTGATTTGAAGCTTTCGTTACTGCAGGAATCCATACTCTTTGGTTCTTTCGGTAAAGTCACGTAGGTATAAAATAAAATAAATCACGACGTTTCGGGCGCAACACAAGCGTCCATCATCAGGTGGGAAAACATGGCCTGCTGCTGAGGCAGACTGTTTTAAAAGGTTTGAAATGGGTGTAGCTCAAGGGTCATAAAGAAGTGGCCGGGGCTAGTGATGTTAATGTGAGATAGGAGAGCGGCCTCCTCGACGAGGGCACGGAAGTGGCTATGTTGTCCTTAACTTGTATTTAAGAGCTTGTCTCTTGGAATTTTGCCTCACTTGATACAGTAAATTTAGCTGTGACGGTCCCACCTGATGACGGAGACTTGTGTTGCCTCCGAAACGTCGTGATTTATAATTTTATTTCTATTATTATTTCTATTATTTTATTTTTATTATTTATTTTTACCTACGTGACTTTACCGAAAAAACTAAGAGTATGTTGTCCTTCCTCCGCACCTCTGATTAGCACGGTTGGCTACGTACGGTGCGAAAAAAGTTCAACATACACCTGGTGTTTATTACACAGTGATATTTTATGTTATTTCAAAACAAAGACAAACAAAAAAGCATCATCATGATGATATTCTCTCTGAATTTCATTACAACAATCTTGAGGTACTCTATATTAAAGCTTTGATTGTATATTTAAAAGAGCAGAATGAAACCAATGTCATCTGAACAGAAATCAAGAGGAAAGGCAAGGCACACACACACACTTTCCTCATTAAAATCGACAAAAATGGCTTTGAATAATTTAACATCTGTTCAGTATCTGTGCATGAAAAGGTTTATTATTGAAGCTTTTTTGTGAATGACACGGAAAGGCTACCGAACGACCAAGGCAGCGTGCCAGGCTTCACTCTTGTGAGCAGAACTCAAAGTAGGAAGATTACATTTCGGTAAATGGCTGTGCATTGGTTCCATATGCAAGCCGCTCAACCGCACGAAAAAACAATACAGAGTGTGTCCCAAAGCCATATTCGCGAACGTTATCCCGCAACTGTTGGACACACACGGTAAGGTGCTGACGTGCCATGGGAATGTGTTATGCAGTGTTGTGTATCGTGTTTCAACTTAACAAGAGTATTTTTTTATGTCACTTTATCACGTCTGCAGTTTACGTCAGTGGCGGGGGGGGGGGGGGGGCTTTACACAATTGATTATAGCAACTCTCAACCATTCAGCAACAGCAATGTACAGAGCTAAAGGTCTTTGGTGCCACACATCGCTACACTAAGTTCGTTCATTGGTGTCGTACATTACAATTTGTGTCCTATTTTATTAACAAGGCAAAGGTGGGCCTGCAACTGCCAATTGTGCATAGTTGAGAGTTATCTTAACCATAGGAAATATAAAGTTACTTTTAGCACAATAGCGCACAATCAGGTTTCCTGGTGCTTGGCTCGGACCCTGCTGGAATTAACCCAGCATACCTGAGTGATCAGTATTCACTTGCCATGCAGCATAGCGAGGGTTTGTACGGGCATGTGTTGTACTTAATAGAGCAGGGGAACGTTATACCCCACTGCACTTTATACACACGCACACGTTTTCAAATGCTTTGAAAATAATACGTGTCGAGAAATAAGCACATGGGAATTGAGTTACTTGTTTATTTTACGAATTGGCAATGTAACAATGCAAAGAGAACACATTTACTTGTGCTCTAGCCAAAATACCAAATGTGAAAATAACAAATTAAGTACATCAAAAATAAAATCCCTACCAAACTGTTGTAAGCCAGGCTACTCTGGCAAAGGGAAATTCGTCTGAAAAGGCTCTCACCTGATTGAATAAATCATGTAGTTATGTTGAATGACCTTTAAACAATTAATCTGATCCAGCTGCAATAACCTTCTGTCGTGCGTACATCAGCATTTGAGCAGCATTTGCTTATGCAAAACACAACAGAGCATATTAAGTAAACAAGTTTGTGATTTGGGCTGGGAATTTTCTTCGTGCTCAAGCAATGAACACACTCGACCACTGCTCTCGTCAATGTGTTATCACAAGCTGCAAGTGCAAGTCAATCAATCACATCTGCAAGAGGAAGATTTTTGTTCAAAATTAAATAAGCAATTACCAAAACTGTGTCTTCAGTGCCATGTAAATGCTACAAGATGCGTTACACAATGCGAGCCACTCTTTGGAGTTATTGATCAATTCACTAGCACGGACACTTTTACCGCGTGGAATGTGAGCGATCGTAATACATAGAAACATATAGCCAAGACAGACGCATTGGGTAGTGTTCAGAAAATGCGTCTTGTAATTGGAGCAAAACAGCTATTTTGTGCAATGCAATTATCGAGATAGGTGAGAAAAATGTAGTGAAATACAACACAAGCGGGGTCGTATACATCTCAAATAAAATGATGAATTGAACAGAAACATTTTACCCAATGTGGCTTGGCAAGATGCCGCATTGCTCGCAGCACTGCATTGGGATAATGTCTACAAGGTTCACAAAGTAGTCACTCATAATGTAAAAGTTGCTTCCACCACAGTATTTAATTACATCACTTAATAAAGAGTTTTATTGATGCCAAGAAGAAACGGTTATTGGAGCTGTCACTCATACAGCCCCTGGCACAAAGTCCCAGTCCCAAAATTGCATTGATGCGAAAGATGGCAACTTTTCAGCAAAGGAGACCAACAAGAAGAGCTGCTTTGGACATGGTAGAAGCAAGCTCCAGGGCCACGGGGAGAACGTGACCGGTGATTTCTGGCATGCCCCACACAGAACATTCCAGAATGAACATCTCCAGGAACATAAATCAGCTTCTGTGATCTCCTCCAGTGCATGCCACGGGACAGCTTTTAGAACAGGTGCACTGAGCTCAACAACATCCTCTGTGCGAGATGTTCGGCACAATGGTCCCCAAAACCAGGAGGGGGTGAGCTACAAGTGACCGCTTCTTAAATCTTTATCATGCGAAAAGTACCCCTTGCGAGAGACCTTCAAAGCATTTAAAATCATACGGAGTATGTTTTTTTTACCATCAATACCATTTTCATAGCAGGCAACAGTCTTTAAGGATAATTAAGCTATCAACACTACCTGCTGTTTTATATATATGAATAGTTTCATGCTGTGTAGCTCTTCTCTATCTTGGCTGCTGTAAATTCAACTCAAATCCCAGAGGATATATTTTTTTTAAGTTTGCTATAGTTAACATTTTAGGACCATCATTACAGATGCTGAGTGACTGCAGCTTATAAAACTTAATAATGGTGCTGGAGTGTACATTTCATATCTACGAACGGTGGCAACACATTTGCAGATTCATTCATTCTAAAAAGAAACATATCTTTAGTGCACCATGCATAAAACTAATGCTGCATAGTTAATTTTTCCTGCATTAACCCAATAATAAAAAAAAATTATTTTACTTTTATAAAAAATGCACATCAATTCGGGCCAAGATTAACTTCAAGGCAAACCACAGGTTTCCTTTGTGAATTGCACAGGATATGGTTCCACAGCCATACAATTATCGGCATATTGCATAGCGCTCCCTTGCTACAGTCCTCTGGGAAGTCAGCATGTGCACACATGCATGCATGCATACTCACACGGACAAACACAGTAACCCTCACATACAATGCACGGCCTTACTTTCAGCACACCTAAACATAAGGTCAAAAGCGCTATGGAAATGACACATTGACAGGCATCTGTTAGTCATCTACTGGTGGGTGTACAATATACGGAAAATGCCTTGAACGTACCACATTACAATCAAAGACTTTCTCCGTTTCTTTGAAATACATTTTCAATTTCGACATAACGGGAATCTGTTGAGACAATTGTCGTCATATCGATTATTATAAAAAACAGTTCCGATATTTAAGAACAATGTCTAAATAAGTAAATGTACATCTATAGTCCATGAATGGGCAAAGGCTTCCCCCTAGTGGCAAAAAGTGTTTTCTCACCATTAACTTGCTTGACCAAAAATGTACAATGATTGTGCCCGATCTTGACATATCTCTGAAGCTAAGCAGAGCTAAGCATGGTTAGTACTTGGATGGATGACCACCAGAGTGTGCCGGGTGATGCATGCATGAAGCTGTAGGATACCATGAATACACTCATTCATGGTATTGGCCAAATATTCTGAAAAAGGTTCAAAAGTCTCATCGAGGAATTTATGGACGCATAATTGGCATTACAGTATTACGAAGTTAAAATCTGTAGGTTGCATTCCATATTGTGCACGCATTCACATTCACAGCGATTGCCACACGGAGACCTTTGTTTGGCCTTTTCTCTATTCTATTTAACTTTACTGGGTCACATTTGCATCCCTTAGCTGGTCTTTCTCGCCTGTCAGAATCATCCGTCACAAGCATCGAGGCACGTGTCCAGGTCAGTCGATTAACTTAAATCTCAATGTTACTGGATAAAAGGGTGTCACAATCACACCGAGTTACAAGCGTAAAGCATTAAGACTATCCAGCTGGATGGTGCCGTCATTTGCTTGTGCGACTCCTAATCAGTGTCGTAAGTTTAATTACATAGCTTGCTGTCAATGTTGCCTCTCATCCTCCGGATTGTGCTGCAGTGCCATACCATTGCTTATTTGCGCAGAAAGATACTTTGACTTGACTTGAGGGTGCACAAAGGTGGCTTTGTCTTATTATGCCGTTTGCATTACACGTCATCTTTTTACATGCGTGCTTAAACTTTTGGAGCCGTGACATAAGGTGTCGACGTTGGATCTCTCAACATGGCAACCATGGGGAGGGCACCTGTTTTTGCCGAGCATGAGCACCCGCAGCGAGCGAAGGTTGTAGAGCCCCGAGATCTCCTCCAGCTCGTTGGCGTACAGGTCGAGGAAGACAAGGCGGCGGAGGTGGGACAGGTGCTGCGCTCGGCGGATGAGGTTGTGCTGCAGGCTGAGCAGCCGCAGGTCCTCCTCGCCATCCAGGATGGGGCACATGGTCAGCCCACGGCTGGGAGAAACGAGCACACATCAGTAAAACAGAGCAGCACCATGTATGTATGTGTACGTGTGTGTGTGTGAGGAGCGGTAGAGGAGCGGTTAGCGTGCTGCACTACAAAGCAGGTGACCCTAGTTCAATTTCCACTCATGGCGATCATACGAACTGGTCCTAGGCCTCCCCTTAGTCGACTCAGCCTTAAATAAGTACCTGGTGCAGCGTGTAAACATCACCACTAGGGAGACAAAGGTGGCCGTGCATGGTGTTAGCCACCCACCACCTCGCGTGCCATGCCGGCCCTCATCGGTGCTCGCGAACAGCACTTGCCCAAACAGTCTGTTCAGACTATACGGGGGGGATCTGTCTTGTATGTATGTTGAACCTCTTTCACACCGTACATAGCCAACCGTGCTAATCGGAGGTGCAGGCTCCCGAGTATCGGAAGAAAAAGCGTTACAGATGTCCGCATAAGCGCATCTGAAAGCACACGATGCAGTGACCCCATCTTTGTTCAATGGCTAGCCAACAGCCACGGCGACTGTAGTTAATGTGATGTTTTATGCTCCTTGATGAGATCAGAAAGGTATTGTGTAGTTCATTTGTGTCAAGCACTTAGTGTCTAATGAGCGCGACCCTATAACTAGTGCAAATATAACAACCACAGTCGGCTCTTGTTCTCAAATATTATTTTTGTTACATTCAGCTTGTGCATTGGTTTAAATATAAACCACAAATGGATGGCTACCACTACCAATGCGACGTAATCTAGCATTTATTTAACAAATTATTAAACTCTGTTATTTAGAACTAATGGAAGGCCATTTATATGTAAAGTAACTTTTGAAGGTATCATCTTGGCCTTACATTGTATATCCTTTTGAAAATTCCACTATTTTATTGTTTTATTGTGAAAAGGGCCTCTTACAAAATGTTGTGCTGTTAGAAATGAGATCCATATAATTAATATATCTTAATACTGTGCTCCATACGTAATGGTTGAGGCACATATACTTGTGAAACAAATATGAGGAAGGCATAGAGGGTGGGTAAGTTTGCACTGACACTTGTTACATTATTAATCATGAATGTAAGCATTGGAACATGCAGCAAGAATGTAAACTTGGCAAAAAGTCAAATGTCACGAATATGAAAGATGTAATGTTGATAGTATTTTCTAATTTAGAATGTTGTGTAGTGTAAAACAAAACAAATTTAGAAATGCAAGACTTCATACCTGTGAATATAAATGATACCTTCACGTACAACAATATTTTTTCACGTGCAAATGTAAAGTACTTATATACATATATATAAATGTTAGACGTGTTCGTAAAAACATGTTTTAATTTCCAGTGGTTAACCACTACATGTGCAGAGAGAGATGTTTTCAAAAAAAAAAACATGTGGGACATTCACGATGGCGGTAAAAGTGGTCATCTAAACCATTCGTGTGGGATCGTGGGCATCCACTTCCTTCAAAAGGGCAAGTTCACAGTCCGTCCTTTCTACTTCTAAGGCGTTCACGGTCCAATTGTCAATAAAAGTGTCCTGCGAGTAATTTAAAAAACCCCACATTGCCAGGAAGCCAGTGTTGTCTGCCCTTGGTGGAATTACAGCACCTCCGATCAGCGCGGTTGGCTACGAACAATGCGAAAGACGTTCAACGCACATACACACACGTTCTTAGGAGGATTTGGTCCCTGCCTTAGTAATGTAAAATTTCTACTTCTGACTCTGGGCCAATATAGCTCCACCGAATGAATGCTCATTTTAGCAATTTTTTGCTCTGCTTTTTTGGTCCACAAAGTACATTATACACAAGTTTGAAACCTGTTTTATAAACGTGGTATTACAATTGTTTAATCTATTACGATAAAAGTGCACAAAAGAAACAAATCGAACGTGATTCATGAATACTCTCCACAATTGCAAATGATGTTGTTGTATTGCCTGTTCAGAGATATACCTGTCAAGGTTGAGTCTCTCTGGGTTGTATGCTCTTTCCTCCACTGTCCGGTACACAATGGGAATTCCAGGCGCGGTGGAAGATTCGGTGAAGATCACACGGTCTCCTAGGAAATGCACATAAAGCATCACCCATGCAGTAGTGCTGAAGTTAAAAGTGTGCAACTACACACAGAGCTTCGTTTGCTCTAAGCCTCTCAGAGGCCCCTGCAGCATCCCCAAAATATTTCCTTCATGGCTGTGGCAAAGTTGCTAACAAAAATCGATTTGTCCTGTGGATAAGCAGAGATGCTGTCAAGAAGAGGAGACTAGAAGCATGTCTGTAATTTAGTGTGAAAACACTTAAAACATCTCAACATACTTTGAACAACTTTTACAAAAACTAACAAGGTTACTGTTTGGACAGCAACAAGAAGTACTTCTAGAGTGTTTGCTTTACCTATTATTTTTTTTGCAACATTGCACATCACAAAACAAATCAGTTTCTTATTTCTAGAGAGCATACATTTACACATTTTATTCATAATTACCTAACATTTTAAATAATTTGGTTCGCCTATACCCTGTTCTGTTTTTGTTCAAGTGATGTACTTGGGCAGGCGTAGTATTTCGTTGAGGGCTTAAACCTGGCAAGTAGGGCATGCTGGCCTGGCTGCTGTTTGCCTTGGCAGAGCCTGCGCGCTGTGCACCGTGCCGCGACGTGGAGCCCGGGCCCTGGGCCAGTCGGTTGTCAGGAAACACGGCAAAGGTGCTGTGGGCCTCCGTGGGCCTGTGAAGTAACGTGTGATGCGCCGGTACCGACAGGTCGGCCACAAAAGCCGTGGCCGGCACACGCACCTTGCCACGGGACAATCGGCCGTCTGTTGAAAGGACACGGTACATGAGGATGGTAAAAAAATCAACAAGCAATGCGAGCTTCGTATTTTACACAAGAGGCAATCAAGTATCCTCAAGCGGCTCGTGTCACGTGCAGGGATGGGCATGTGGCATGCCAGGTGTCTAACCGAGCTTGTAGGGCTGGTGCTGGGTTTCTCTAATCAGCAGCTGCCCATCTGTAGTTGCGCATCGGCCATAGAAGAGCTGGCTCTCCGGGACTTTTGACCCTGCCTGCGGGTCCTTGTTTACCCTGTACTCAGACTGTGTCACAGAAATGAACGCTCACTTAGTAACCAGGAAAAACACTCAAACACGGCAAACATCGCAGGCCACTTGTTTGTGAATTTACGTTGTCAAATGTCAATTTATAAAATGTAAATATTGCCACATGGCAAAGTTTAAAGCAGTATTCATAGCTTCAATTAAACACTGCCACAGAAGAGACATTAATAACCATGTTAATTCACTGAACATTGATTCAAGCATATGAAAATAACCAACAATTTCTGTAAAGAAATAAACGAACAAAATATTGAACTCTTTAAATAAAAATTAAATAGTTTTGGTTCAATAGCCTATGTGCTTCTTGGACTATTTCAGAGCAGCATTTAAACATGTTTATTATATGTTACGCCTAAGTCTCAATGTAGGCGTATAAAGAGTGTTTTTTATTATCATAAGAGTTTCTGTAATTACAGAAAACACTACTTGCAGATGTATTCAGTAACATGCATGTCTATAATGTTTCAAAATTGAACAGCACTGCATTGAAGTGAACATACCTGCTGTTTACTTGGAGAAGACAGCCTGTCACTAATCAGGGTCTTGGGTATTATCTGTAGGCCATAGATGTTCACCTAGAGATAACACAACATTGTTAAGCGTTGCAAAATCAAACATCTACAAGTTGGTACAATTCTATAGAGCTACACATACTCTTGGGGCAGATAGATATCCAAAAAAATGGTTATGTGCTACAATGTGCATCTGATGAATGTGGTGATGAAACTATAGTACGGTCAATTTTCAAGCTGGCTGGAGAATGCAATGGAGCTTGAGTTTCAAACAAATGCATGCCAATGTGGAATACATTTACAAGCCAAGGTGTCCAGGGAAAACTTACAATCCGTTCCATTTTCTCTGGCAACTAAATGCCTAACGGCCAGGCTGTTTATTTTGTTGCCAAATACCTTACATAAGCAAAAGTGTGGCCCTTTCAAATAAAATATTTCAACGACCATTTGTTTTTATTCACCATTGTTTGAAGTCACCAGTACAGTGTATCCATTTTTTAAAATGTCCGACCATGTCCATCCAGTGTTTGCTGAGCTGCATTGGCTTCCAGTTGCCAAACAAATACATAAGGTCGCACTCATTACACACAAAGTGCTTGCCGCAAATGAACCACACGACCTTGCTGATCTCATCATGGAGCATAACCCATCATGCAAACTCTGGTCATCCTCGCAACAGCTTTTAGCGAACCATAGAACAATGACGGTCACTGCATTTCACTATTTCAGATGCACTTTGGCGGCCATCTGGAATACTCTTCCTTCCAATATTACAAAGCCACTGGAGCTATGCACTTTTAAATCTTGATTGAAAACTCATTTTTTTAGAACTGCGTTTTGCATTTAGTTTGTTGTCGCTCCCCAGCACGTCCGATGAGCACGATTGGCTACGTACGGTGTGAAAGAAGTTCAACATACATACATGTCAAAATGTGAGGCTAAAGAAATTCCTTCATACACCTTTTGGGCCTCTTGGGCTTTGTAGTGAAATATGTTCAAGCAACCCACATTACTGATACATCGTGGATGGGGTGGGGGGCCTTGACTATAGGCTACATAATTTATCATTATTATGCTGATGAAAATGTTATCACCATAAATGCTCTAAGCAAACACAACTTGTGGATTGCAGAGCCTAGACCTGCCAACTCAGATCCTCGTTTTGAGGACATCCCTACTGTTTTGGCCACATGGCCACAAGCCGGTACAGCTCCTACATCGATTGTTTCTTCCACCGTTTACAGTCGACAGGATAGTGTTTGTTGGGGGGGGAGGGGGTGTGGAGGAGATAAAGCAATGCTCCTGCACTACAGAGAATACTATTGTCTCAACTGCTCATGTTGAATGCTCAACATGAGCAACTTTGCCCGCGGCAGCTGTCATTGTAACGTCAGCCAACATGGCATAAATGTCACATTTACTTTGGGCACTGCTTGTGTATACAGAAGTGGTGTGTGCAATGCTGTAAAAATTGGCTTTATAAAGTGTCAACAAATAAATCCGTCAAAGAATACTCTAGCATCACAACAGTGGCAGCATTGATACGCACGCAACGTATTAACGCAGTGGTATGTAGCTTTTTTTCAAACAACGCAGAAGACGAAATTACCTGGAATGCGTGTGTTATAGGGTACAGACTGCAAATCTTGGCGAGGCAGCAGAGGGAAGTGCAGGGAACGTATCCCCCTGGTTTACATGGGGGACGCGTTCCCGAAAGGTACGACGAATGTCGAAACATGAGTCGAGGGCGATTTACAGGTGAGGTGGACGGGAAGGCTGATAAAGGGCGGATGATGCAGTCAGCGACGCACGTGTGGCTCAAGACGACACAAATCAGGTAGCGGTGTTAACGAAGTGACAACGTATTTGCGTAAAAAAGATGTAAGACTGCTTCCCACATTTATGCCCCCCTCCTTCACCATCCCACACTGGGCAGCGTGATGAAATATGCTCAAATAACCCCCTCGCAGAACTGGCAACGACGTGGGGAACCTCTCATCCAGCAGTGGATTAGAGTGTACCGTATTTAAGTAATATATTGTAACACGAATGTCAAGCTATACTGCGCCGACCACTGCACATGACCAATGCCCTGATTGTACAAGGTCCGAACTGGTGACCAAGATAAGGGACACCCACAACACTCATGGGGGAGTCAGTGAATTCTACACGAACAAAACGTTGGGAAGACGTCACTGCAGACTTGCACTTCATTCATTTCAGCCGGACTGCGTGGGGCAAGCTCCTCCGGAACCGAGGTGCCTCAAACACAACAGAGGACGACAAATTTTGACTTAAAACTGTCGTGACTGCAGGAATTCATATTCTTGGTTCTTTCGGTAAAGTCACGTAGATAGAAAATAAAAATAATAAAATTTAATATATTTTTTAAATATTTGTATTAATTAAAAGCAAAAATATGTTTTACTTTTTATTTTCTATACGTGACTTTACTGAAAGAACCAAGAATAAGAGGACAACATGACCAAAAAAAACTTGGATGGCAGTAGTTGCCCACATTCTGTCCTGCTCAAAGGCACCGATGGATAAGCTCACCAAAATAAGCGATCCCCAAAACAACTCACCAGCGCGTTGAGTTAAACTACCGCAAGCAAAAGCTCGTAAAACTAAACTGCTTGATGAACATTTCGATTTAAAGCTTTCGTGACTGCAGGGATTCATCTTCTTGGTTTTTTCGGTAAAGTCACGTAGAAGGGAAGTAATAAAAGAATAAAAATAAAACATAATGTTTTATTAAATAAAACAATGTTTATTTTTAAAAATCAAACATGTTTTATTTTTATTATTTTATTACTTCCCTTCTACGTGACTTTACCGAAAAAAACATGTTTATTTTTAAAATAAAACATTATGTTTTATTTTTATTATTTTATTACTTCCCTTCTACGTGACTTTACCGAAAAAACCAAGAAGATGCTTGATGAACAATTCAACAAGGCAATGTACACCATAACCGAAACGCCGAAACTGACAGCAAACCCCCGGCTACTTTGCTTGTTCTTAGCGAGAATTATGCCACCAAATACTCGCAGGCATATGCAAACTGCAATAGAGTTGACACGTTTTATTGCCAACAACAAGCTATCCGTCAACCAAGACCTCATCAATGTCCCCTCGCCATAACCATAACTAGCATCTGTGTTGACTGCGGCCATGCAACCCAAAATTTCGACCAAATAGCGAGCCACTGGAGTTTGCGCTCATTCGTCGGAGAAATACCAAAACTACACGAACTCTCTCCTGAAGCATCTCTCTCTCGTCGTGGCTACCAGCACACCTCGACATTGGCATTTAAACTCATGCGCGAGAATAGAATTGGTCGAAGTGATGGATGGATGTGTACAGACGCTGTACAATATCGTCTTGTTAATGTTGTGCTCTGTCGCCGAGTATTGCTCGAAGTTGTGTTGCCCCGGTGTTGTTATTCGCCTCCTAGTGTGACATGTGTGGATGTACAGCACACGACGTCTGAACGCAACGGCATCTCATGTTGCCGTTGTCGTGTAGCCCAACGTTGGGTCATGTGTCTCTTTGTGCTGTGTCGCCTTGTTGTGTCCTCATGTTGCACTCACTGCCTTGTGTTCATTACGTTGAATAGCCTAGAGTTTGTCCCCGTGTGTTGACCAGCGCTCTTTGCTTAAGTTGCCTCATCTTGTTGCCAAGTCTTCTTGCCTCGTGTCGCCTTGAAGCGCTGTTCTGTTTTATCGTGCAGTATTGCCTTACGTTGCTTCCTATGTTGCCTGAACGAATGTTACCTTGTGTCGGCGTGTGTTGTTGCAGTGTTATGTAATTTGGTACTGCATTGTGTTACCATGCGCTGCCTCATGCTGTACAGCCTGGTGTCTAATGTTGCTTTGTGTCACTTCGTATCGTTTTGTGCTGCTGCATTGTGTTGTATCCCATTAGTTCATCGTGTATGCCCAATTTTACTTGTTTAATTGAGCGATAACTCAACAAACGGGGGGGGAGATAGTCCAATTTGCACGAGTAACCTGGGGTCACCAACGTGACGTGTCGCCTTGTGCTGCCCCTTATGCTGTCGTCTCTAGCAAATCTGTCGTTGCCTTTGTCACCGCTGCACTATTGTGATTGCCTCCCGCTGTTGTGGTGTCCCGTTGTGTCTCGGTTGCGTCGTCCCCCACGTACCGTGCTGGGCACCACGCGAGCCCTCATCTTATTTTGATTCATCTTCCCCGACGCAGTCCCGCGGCCGCCGAGCAGGGAAAAAATGCAACACGGCCGCTCGCATTCAACGCCTCACCCGGTAGAAGAAAGCAAAAATAATACCGACCGGCGACATCAGTACGGTTGCAAGCGCACAGCCGCAAAAACGATGATAATGTATCGCTGTAGTAAAACAACATATGGGTTGTCAAAGAATAACAACCCCCCCACCACCACCGCAGCAATAAAAATATAATAAAATAAGAGAATAAAGCAGCGAGCAGCCGCCGCGCACGCGCTTTCAGCTTCCGGTGCGACGCCGAACGCTTCCGCGTTGCCAGGGGCAACGGCGAACTTCACTTCCGTAAACAATCCGCTCCGCCCGCCCACGTGACCGTCGTCGGCTGTCATTGGAGTTCGAGTGTCGGCCCCCCCACCCACCGCCCCCACCGCCAACCCCCACCCACCGCCCCCACCGCGCCCACCGCCCCCCCACCCACTGCCAACCCCCACCCACCGCCCCCACCGCCAACCCCCACCCACCGCCACCCCTCCACCCACCGCCCCCAGCTCCACCCCCCCACCCACCGCCACCGCCCCCACCGCCCTCACCGCCACCCCCCACCCACCGCCCCCACCGCCCTCACCGCCACCCCCCACCCACCGCCCCCACCGCCCCCACCGCCACCCCTCCACCTACCGCCCCCACTACCATCCCCCTACCGCCCCTACCCACCGCCCCCAGCGCCACCCCCCACCCACCGCCCCCACCGCCCCCACCGCCACCCCCCCCACCCACCGCCCCGCGAACTCGACCGACCAATGAGACGCCATCCCGGAAGTCCGTGCGGGCGTTCCGGGTGGCAGCGGTGAGCACGTGCCGCTTTCACTGCGCCGTTTACGGGACGACTATTCCACACTCGCCGTTAAAAGGGTTTTTTTTTTTATCCTTTTTAATTTTCATTTCGAATATTCGGTGCTTTGCTTTAGTTCTCAGATGGCCGAAGCAGCTTCAAGTAACCAATTTGACCCCTGCGGTAAGGTTACGGCACTCGTAAGTGACACTGCACTGGACCGCTATGTTGGCTGCACTTCCTACTCGATTTGAGTCTTATTCGCGTGCTGTAATTGATTAAAACAAACATGTCATTAGCATGTTATTGATGTAAGTCGACAGCTGCGATAGGCTATCTTAGACACCGGCTGGTAGACTTAACAATAGCTTGGGGATCTAGCATAAGAAACATGTGTGAGTGGGGTGTTATAATTATAATACTTTGATTGATGCTCCTGCTGTTGTGGAGTGACTCATGCAGCCAGCTAGGGCTGCAGGGTTTTGGTAGTACATGTTGTTTATGTAATTTATTGTGAAAATTCCGTCACAGTTCCTATGATCACTGTTTCATTGCTTTCATGGCTTTATTTTGGTGATTTTGAAAAGTTTATTCGTTTAGCCATGTTTGTTTGTTGTAGTACGGAGTAAGACTGATGGCCTTAATATAAGTTGTCTTGTGGTTGTTGTTGTTGTTTGACTTGCATCCCACCAGGATTTTTGCACACAGCGTTGGTGTACGGTGTTTTTTCTGCAATATTTTGCTGTCTTTTCTTGGATTTTCTGTTTTCACTTAGTCACATATTCACTTTAAGATGTTTTCTTGTTCATGTTTTTTGTTTGTTGCGGGTGCACCCGATTCAAGAGCCGAATGACTCACAGGGCTACACCTAATAAATGAACTTGAACTTATCAACACCATTGATTAGACGAGATAGAGTTCGTAGATTTTAATACTGTACTTTGAATGACCAATCCTAAACAAGAAGGCGAGGCTGCAACTTGGCTGTTATTTTATTGGGAGCAAAGTTAATTTCGGCATGCAATACAGTTTTATGGTACTGCAACTCCTCTAAGACGAATACCAATGTTTTTAATTAACTTAGAATTGCATTGCTTACGACAGTATTTAGGTGCGTAAACGATTGCAATTGACTGTCGACGTCGTTTCATGGGGCGTGAACTTATATTGCTGTGTAATGTGTGAACGTATGATTGATCCTTATGGCGGTACCTCGGGGTAACCAATAATAATATAAAATCACCGAGGCAATTTAATATCTTATTTAAGCGACACTATTTTTGTCCAGGGGGTGTACTCAACTCCGCGACTGGGGTACCAATCAATCCGAAATCGGTGCCACTCCGCGATGTCGAAACGCATCGAGGACGATTGCGCCGAAACCCTGAACGCTCGTACGCACCGTAGTGGTGGTGCATCGTGTACAGCTCGTCGAGATGAGTCGATAGCCGCATCGCCGACCATCAACAGACTAAGAATGACTGCATCACGGACATTATGCGCCATAAAGTTGAATTCAATGATCTGAGAAGCTCTTTTGAATGACCTTTCCGCGTGACAGCACAAAGACATCACGTGACCTTGCACGCCCGTAAATACTTCTTATACGATCCACATAACCGATCAACATGGTAGGAGGCTCAATGATTAACATTGCAATTCGCCTTACTGCAAAGAGCTACGATATAGAGAACACGAGTTGCTGTAACTATGCAAAAAGGGTTCTCAAAAAATAATTGGTCTAACATCTCAAATACAGAATGCTGCATTGTCCTTAGTCTCAATGGGGATTTATATAAATATACTGTACACGTTTTGATTTACCTCAATACATGGTATACATGTGTGTGGAGCCGGTGGTTCAATAAGTCTACACCTCAATCCTAGCAACGGTTTGATTTCTTGTAAAGCACAACATCGGTGGAAAGTGGAATCTGCCACTCTGCTGACCCCTTCCTAGATGTTATTCAGCCTTGAATAAGATGTTATTCAGCCTTGAATAAGATGTTATTCAGCCTTGAATAACATCTGGCAAGACAAAGACAGCCGGGTGTGGTGCTGACCACACTAACTCTGTCAAGCAAAATTGCCTCGCGTAATAGGTGCTCGCCAACACTACTTCGTGATCTTCCATGTGCCTGTGTGTGTGCGCATGCAACAGAGCACCAGCATATCCGCTACAACCCGCTGCGGGACGAGTGGGTGTTGGTGTCCGCGCACCGCATGCTGCGGCCGTGGCAGGGTCAGGTAGAGCAGGTGGCAGAGAGCGAGGTGCCACGCAGGGACCCGGCGAACCCGCTCTGCCCGGGCGCCATCCGTGCTCTCGGACAGGTGATCTACCTGGGCCCAGTACACCTGGATGCACTTCGCTTATCCCCACACTTGCCCCAATGGAAACGCGGCTTTGCAGAGTTTGAACTTTTTTGTTGCCGTCGCATAGGTTAACCTCTAATTGCAATTCAGTGTTGTCATTTTCTAGATTTGAAGTTTTCGTGACTGCAATAAAATAAAAATAACTAAATATTTAGTTATTTTATGTTATATTTTATTATTTCTTATTTTTATTTTCACCTACGTTACTTTACCGAAAGAACCAAAGAGTATGTTGTCATTTTGTCTCGTTTTAGTGCTTCGTTGTGGGCAGCAGAGGGCAGTGTAGAGGAAAAATTCAATGTGCTGTACCTCATTGCTAAAACTGCTGTGCTCCCCCCACTAACCCACACTGACCATAATGGTGTTATGTATGTTCATATAACCCCCGCTACTAACACGGCATGGACAGGCCCTCATCCAGCAGTTTAATCACTACCACTGGTCTGAAGCAGACCCACATGAGTTTTTCAGTTCGCAAACACATCACAGTTCACCATCCCTCATTGATAGTCCACTGGCATGTATATGGGTGTAAGTTGCCTTGTTTAAAGTGTGCGCTTTTATTATTGCTTTCTCACAGGTAAACCCTGAATATGAAGGCACTTTCACGTTTGATAATGATTTCCCAGCCTTGCAGCCTGATGCTCCGAGCCCAGGTAAGGATCAAGCATTTTAAGCACGGCATTTTGTATGTTATATTGCAGACACATCCATTAATACTTGCACCACACCTTGTGTTCCACAGGCCCAAGTGAGCACCCACTGTTTAGGACAGAGGCTGCCAGAGGCAATTGGTAAGACTTGTAAATTTCACCACAACGTACGGTGCGACAGAAGTTCAATATACAACATTAGCCCTGGAATTTTGTGTTTTAAAATACTACTAAGACAAACTAGGAGATTGTTTGCTTGCCTTCTTTTAGACGAAGTATTTTGTATGTCATGTCATACTCTATACACCCATCTCTGGCCGTCTATGTGAGATCCAGCTTGTGTCTTTGTCAGACATGGTGTGGCTGAGATGCTTGGTCTCATCATGTTTGTTTTAATGTTGAATAAAACTCCACAAATAAACGTTGGGCATGTGGCTTGGTTCCTCTCGGTTGACCCTGCCCACCAGATTCTCTGTGCTCAAGTTCCTCATGGGTGGAAAGTGAGGCTGAGGGTTTATCAGATCGACCGTTAATATAGAGACTTGGGGATATGAAAGAAGCTTACTTTGGGGACTTTTCAAGGAGGGACCCGAGGGGTTGGCATCGGATGATGCATGCTGCTGCGTGCTGTCTCAATGCCATAATTGCCACTGATCACTAATTAACATTGGTGATATTTCTTCTGAATGAACTCCACAGTAAGGTTATGTGCTTCCACCCGTGGTCTGATATCACATTGCCACTGATGTCCGTTCCTGAGATCCGCGCAGTGATTGACAAGTGGGCAGACATCGTTACAGAACTTGGATCGCAATTTCAGTGGGTACAGGTAAGCACTGCCACGTGGCCCTTCCAGACTCTACTATGTTAAAATAAAATGCAACTTTGTCAATTTAGTTCAAGAAACAGCAACGTAAAATGTTTGTTTCTTTTGTAGATTTTTGAAAACAAAGGAGCTGTAATGGGATGCTCCAACCCTCACCCTCATTGTCAGGTATCAAACATTGCTATTTAATTTGCTAATAAATTCATGATTATCAATGTATCACATTAATATATACATTATATTTCGAAATAAAGCTTTCGTGACTGCAGGGATTCATATTCTTGGTTATTTCGGTAAAGTCACTGTAGAAGGGAAATAATAAAATAATAAAAATAAAACAATAAAATTCTCACGACGTTTCGATTGCAACACAAGCAATCATCATCAGGTGTGACTTTACCGAAAGAACCAAGAATATGTACATTATAATTACATTTAATTATTCTGGCCCTATTCCTGGCATGACTAATATTAATGTTTGCTTGTTATTGATACTGGCTGTTGATCAGCATCACTAAAATTGTCACCAAACAGTTTTTGGCATGTGTAATATTTTGATACGAATACCTTAATTTGCAGTGAACCTGTGGTGTGCAGGTGTGGGCGAGCTCCTTTCTGCCCAATGAGGCACGTATAGCAGACAGGACTCA